TAAACAACTCCTGAAGTTCCAACATTTAACTTAGCTAACTAGCCAAAGTGGGCTTATTAATGTCAAATCTGCATTACAGCAAATTCCTTTGTTTTAGAAGAATAAGCAAAGCAGGACAAAGTAGCACACATTTAACTAACTAACAAGACAGTGAACGTCCAAACTGTGCTATTTTCCCGTTAATTTAAATTCATTTCACAAACTTCGGACAACAAGAGGTTTGTTGATGTTACAGCTTGTAGCAGGCAGAGGCAGTAACCCTGAAAAATAACTCTGACACCATCTCTTACTGCGATCAGGTTTAGCTACAGCATCGGTACAAACACTGTGGTAGTGCAAGTACCTGCAGGACTAAAAGGTTGCAGCTTCTAACGTGAATATTTCCATGTAATATATATAATAGCAATGATAAGTAATGATTCTGTCAAAATTAACTTGAGCTAATGTAAAGTACTATGTTAATGATCCAGTGCTGCACTCATGACCTGTTTTTTGCCGTTGCTAAAGAGAACTATCAGAGCCAGTTTATGAGGAGCCTGGCCTCTTTCTGTTTCCCCCGTTATATTAAAAACAGGACTGCAGAGGGCGCCCGCGAACGAATTCTAAATTAATGGGGGTAAATGGAGGTAAACGGCTAAAAACAAAAAGTTAAAATAGTGTCTAATTACCTGCCCAGAACTTTCCTTTAATTTTACAACGTAGAAGGATGTATTTCACTAAAAAAGCAGAGAAAACACACCTGTATGTTTCCCTTTTTTCTACAGCAAATAGGTTTTGGTCAGTACAACCATAGCATTACTGCTAGTGAGTGATGATTGGTTGGCAAGCGGAGCAGCTCATTGGCTGTTCGTGCTTACTGATGTCATAAACGTACATGAGGCGCCGTATATAACTCCTATAACTCAAGTTAAAAAGTATTTTAAAATATAACAGTGGTGTTAAAATGTTTTATGCTGCTCTGTGTTTAGGAAATGATTGCATTCTTTATCTTAAAAATGTTTAAGCGGCTCCCGAGTGGCGCAACTGTCTAAGCGTTGGCCCTATCATCAGGAGATCGCGAGTTCGAGCCCTGGTGATGCTACAGCCATCCGTAGCCGGGAGTCCAAGAGAGCACAATTGGCCTCGCTCTCTCTGGGTGGGTGGGATGGCCCCTCCCTCTCCCCCCATCACTCAGCGCGATGCTAGTCAGCGCAGGCGTCTGTTAGCTGGCATAACAGATCTGGCGGTTGGCGCTTTCCTCCGAGTGCGTTCGGCTGTCCAGTGACGTCGCGTGAGCGGCAGTTCGAAAAGAAGCGGTGGTTGGCTTCACAGGTCTCGGAGGAAGCCTGTGTTAGCCTTCGCCCTGAAGCCGAGTGATACGCTTTTCCCCAAAGCCAAACAGCAGAGGATTGCCATGTCCCCTTATGTTAGAGAATCTTTGGTTATTACTGATAAAGCCATCCTAAAATCAAAATGGACCTTTTTACCTCGTTAGTTCATGTCCCTACATTATACCTCATTTCATCACTGTACTGAAGGAAATGCATTATGATTTCTGGCTCACGTTGACGTAAGATGGGTGTATGGAAATGGATGGTAATACATTCTAATAATCTTAACATGAGTGAGAGCTACAATAATACCAATTTCCTTTAAAGCCCGCACGTTACTTTCAATGTTGTTAGGCTCTTAGCTTGTTAGCTGTTTGATAAGTTATCTTGTGAGGGCAGTGTTTATTTATGGAGAAACTGTTAACAGGAGCCCGCAGTGTTACATTTTTCACCTGGTTGGTTTTGTTTTCATAGATTCCAGTGATGACATACTGGCAAACTGCATTGTTTTATTTGATTTTTTTCATGTAAGAACAAGATATGTTTGTAATTGCGCTTGTTGGATGTTTTCAGGCCTGAGGCCTTGAAAATGGACAGAAAAATGGCAGTTAGACAATTTCTGTAAATTGTTCAGCCCTAAGCATCACCAGTATGTTCACTGGTCTTGAAGTAGAAATGGACTGAAGCCTAAATGACCTACAAAAATAGTTTACTCAGGTAAAATGTTAACATTTTTGCTTGCACATTTGCTTTTTTAAAGAACGTTAAGTCTGCAAATAAAGAGAGAGAGAGAGAGAGAGAGGAGAATCATGGCCTTTGAGAAGTTGAACCTGTGAACTTCCCTTGAATGTTTGAAGAGATTAGCTTCCAGTGCGCTGCATAAATACAGCTGAAAAACAGCCCCACGCAGAATTACACTTTGTACAAAACCTCATTGCGTTTCTAGGGAAAAACTTGATGATATTTCTCTTTTACTATGTCTTATGCCATATTTAATATATTTTTCTTGTCATGTCTGCTGTTTAAGGAAAGCCGTTAGCAAGGTAGTCATAGATATATTCTAAGTATCTTAGGGCTCAACTGAAAAGAACATTTTGTGGCCAATACAGATTGGCCATTATTATAAGTTAGTTAGGTGTGTTGATATAGTGTGTGTTGATAGCAGACTGTATGAATATAGAAAATGCATATGAGATAGAAAAGTAGAAAGAATGATTCACTGACGAAGACTCCACAACAAAAGACCTCAGTCGCTGCTCACACGCTCTCCGTCTCCCACCGCCATTCCTCAGGTCTCTTTACATCTCAATTTCTATCCATTTTACCCATTTACCTCCTTTTGCTCGCAACTTTAGTCTTTCCATTCGTTTTTCTCTGTTCCTCTGTCCTCTGCTACCCAGCACCATCCCTTTTCTGCTTCTCTGCTTTTTTGTTTTTCTCTGATGAATAAAAAAAGTACGCCTTGTATGATTAAGTCCCAATCCCATTTCTTATTTTTAGCCTTAGCCGTTGTTTTCGAGTGTCACCTTGCCCCTTGGAACCGTGTTACAAGGGGTAGTGGATGAAATCTTCCCCTACGAAATGGGACAACCCTGAAATAAAAAAGAACATTACTTCATTAACAGGCTATTAGCGGTGCTCTGTAGACGACCCTGCCAGTCTGCAGTGATAGCAGAGGAGGGTAAAATTCAGCGACCTCGCTGCTGGGCTTTAGTTACATTTATCGCCCACCCCTAATTCTTTAGTGGCAATGAAGCTGAAGTCAGCTATTCACCAGCTTCTTGTTTGAATTTTCCTGCTCCACCTTAACTGAAACAGCAGTTACGTTCTGGCACTTCAGGCATCAGTACTGCTGGCTTATTTAAGGTGGAATGGGAAATTTAGCTAGCTTGCTACCGAGACATTTGCATACTGTTAGCGATTTTTATGCTTGTTATGAAGAAAAGAAACATAGTACATTAAAATTACTTAAACAAAGACATTACAATGGTTATTGTAATTTTTCAGTGGAGAAAATAACCACATTTGTGGGTTTCTTTGGCCGCTTATGCAGCCGTCTTGCCGTTTTTTTCTCACAACACTCCGTTTGGAGTGTGCCTCTAAAAAACCTCTGTTTGGAGGGCCATGTAGCCCTAACACTCCGGCCTGCCCCTCTACCTCAACAAAAATCGGGACACCCTACCCCTAGGCACGAACACGCAAAACAAAGAGCTAAGGGCTAAGTGGTAGGGGCAAGGGGTGAAATGGGATTGGGCCTAAGTTTGAGGAGAAGTATCATGCAATTCACATTTTGCCAGATTTTAAAACTATTGTCACATTTTACACTTTTTTTCTGTATATTCAGACTGATGTAGTCTGAATACACCAAATTGAGCATGAAATGAGCAATAAAATGTAAACATGAGGACAGCAGGTTTCTTTAAGAATCAGTGTCTGGACTTAGTTGGAAGTAAACAATGAACAAAATAATTTTGCATTAAAATGAATATTATTCAACAAAATTGCTGTGGAGTTCTCTGTGGAGCCTTTTAAAACTAAACTATTATTTAAAAAGACTTAATTTCTTCTTGATCAAATTCCTATTGTACAGAATTAAGAAATATGTTTTATCTAATAAAGCTGAATCCTTATCTGCTCAAATTAGCTCCACTGGGAATAGTTCCCTTGTCATGTTGCCTAACATCCTCCAGATGTTAGCTGATCTAATGCAGAATCTGGAGTGGTCCTGGAGAGGGATACCATTTAATGGTGGTGATTGAAAGAGATGAAAGCATGCAATAAACAACAGCTTGGAAAAGCTTCCTTATTTCCTCAGCTGAGCTGCATTGATCTGAAAATGCATGCATTCAAAATGAATTACTTTTGCTTATTTACAAATCATACTGCATGAAACAACAGCGTATAAATAGTTGTTTATGTGAGATGGTTAAAATTAGTTGTGACCAGCTCATATGTGACCAAAGTGATAGTTAGCCAACTTTACACATCAGAACATGTATAAACCTTCTCTCTTTGGCCATTTCAGCTATACAGACCTGTATGTTTCCTAACAGTGACCTCCTATGCAAGATGTCCTCTGAAACAATGGTTGTCCGTATTCAGGGATTTGGTATCTAAATCTGTTTAATGCATTAATCTAAACTTTCTGGCTGTCAGATATCAGCTAAGGCTTCTGGTACTGTGACCTGAGGTGGAATTTAATTGTTTAAACAATATGTAGTTCAAATAGTGAGCTTATAGTAAATCATTGTAGATAATTGACAGTAAATGAGAATTTAAAGAGATTAGGGATGTTGCTTTCGTTAATGAAGTAACAAGAGGCTAATTAAATTAGGGCTGCAGGTTGGTCCATCAAGGTGCCTCCTGCTTGACCTTCTCACTTTTCTCTTGATGATTTATGTTGATTTGTTTGCTTGAACAAGTTTCAGTTCCAGCTCAAATTGGTTTGAAAGAATCATGAAGAGAGACAAGCATCTGTATGCCAAGATCTCTGAAAATTGCTGTGATGAGAGTTGAATTTTAAACTTAACCCTGAAAGAATCTGTGTTGCAGTGTTTTACAGTCTTTTTAGTTAAGTGGTTTATGTATGTTGTGGTAATCCAATTGAGAAAAACACACTTCATTCCCTTTATTTTTATGGACCTGTTTCAGAATGTTTCTTGAACTTTACTGCTTTGTGTTCCTCTGCAGATCTGATCTCTGCCACCAATGAGACAAACGTGAACATCCCGCAAATGGCTGATACCTTGTTCGAGAGAGCCATGAATGCCAGCTGGGTGGTCGTCTTCAAAGCCCTCGTCACCACCCACCACATATGCATTCATGGCAACGAGGTCAGTGACCACAGAAGGGTGGACCTTACATATTGTTTACATAGTGTTTTATTGAGATGTGCAGAACAATATCAGTAGCCAGACATTTTCATTATCATTAATATGGGTTGGGTTGATTCTCTCAAGTTGTCTCTCAAATAGTAATTTTCCATCTACTTCTTTTATGCAAATTTTCTTAGAAATGCTGGAAGAAAAAGCCAGAAATTCAAAAAATGACTAAATATTGCTGAAGGAGTTGTTATGCTTGAATAATGTGGAAATGTTGGTTTATCAAAAATGAAAAAAATTTGAAAGAGTGTTTGAATAAATGTTGATGAAGCGGGAACAAATTCATATGTTTAGCACTATGCTGTGTCCAGACTTGTTTGTCCTAGTGGTGTTCGCAGGGTTTGGGTGAGTGGACGTGAAGTGGACCAGTGCTCTGCTCAGCATCTCTGAACTGTTAGGCCAACAGCTGTGTACATCTGATAGAGGGCTGTAAAAGCTTCTTTACTGGGAGCTAATGAAATTTTGAATCTTTCCATTGTATACGCCAGTCACAGCGAGCAGGACTATTGTCTGACGCTGACTGGTGCTGACTATTGTCTTGCACAAAACCGTAGCTGATGGAAACACTGCAGTGTTTCCCACAGTTCTGAAATAAACCCTGGGGGGAGCGTCTAGCAGGAGGTGGAGTTGAAACTGCTGGGCAGGAGGTCTCCAGGCCAAGGATTGTGAAACATCTGTTTTCTATCCACCTTTTTTATGCATTTTTTGACATAAAAAAGACTGAATGGATAAAAAAATGACCTGAAGAAAATTCCAGATATTGAATCAAATGTGAAAGGTTTGCATAAAAGTTTGTATGCATGCTTGAGGTGGATATAGAATAAGGTCATATGACTGATCAGCCTTTTTCGTTTCTGCCCAGCTGTAGCTACAAAACATCACAGAAGGCAGCAGGTAGCAGTGGACTAACAAGAAAAATAAAATGTGCCTTTATCTTACCAAAGGAAAAAACATAGCTGTGATTAGACAAGTGTTGATATTCAATTAAAAAAACTTTGAAATACAGTCACTACATACATAACAACCAACTGTTAAACTGTTTTCTATTAAAAATGACACTCAGAGCAATGCATGCATGCATGTGTTAGTGGGCTGTATGGACAAAAGTGTATATTTTCAGTTCCACCTTAAATAGAGCAGCAGTTACATTCTGGCACCTACACAGGCACTTGAATGTAACTGCTGCACCACTTGGAACCACGTGGAACAACAAATTTGAATAAGGAGCCAACTTCAGTTTCATTGAGTTTCTCAAATCATTTGTCCTATACATGTGTCCTGTACACTCATACCTCAGATTTGCAGACACTGCTGCATTTGGATCTTAATCTATGGGGGTCAGGGAGATTTGCAGAGCTGTAGTGCGCATTGTCCTTAGTTACAGTCATTCACACCATTCTTACCAACTGGTCTACAGCTTGTAGACCACACAAGGTCTGCAGCTGAATGTGTCAGGCAGCTTCTCAGCCCACCCTCATCGGTTTGGGGTCAATGTTAAGGGTAACCCCAAAAGACCAGCAATACATTTATGTCTATTGCCTCGAAAACAAAGTGGACGACTTCAGATGCAGTATTAAGTCAGTGAAAAGGTTCTGCAGTGTTTTCATTTTCATTTGAAATGTGACTGAAACATTCCAGGCTTAGCCACTCAGCTAAAAGGGATAATGTTATCATGGTTTGCACTGTTTGTATGTCATGTTATCTGCACTTATTTGCAGCATGTAGATATAGTGGTTCAGACAAAACTCATACTTGAGGAAGAATTTTGACCAATATACTGGAGGAACTGGTATACCACTCAGTACTATGTTCATGTATTATCTGACACAGTGTTTTTTTTTCTTAATACAATATCATGATATCGTATTGATAGGTAATATTAGGTCATTATAGTGATGTTCTATTTTTACAACAGCATATGACCCCGATGTTAGTCAGTAAACAGACGTTAGATACCTGACACCTATTAATGGACAATTCCTGAGCCGTTAGGGTTCAGTGCCAAACGGCAACGAAAAGCTGCTGTTCATTAAAGATTTCTCTGTAGACACATATTCTGAGTGTTTATAAAGTGACGTAGAAAATTCTCCTGTACAAAACTCCAATGAAGTCACATGATTTTTTTGTGATGAATTTCATTTGACATCTGGTTGGAAAACTGTTTAGCGATGTAGATAAGACTAATTCACCTTGATCTTAATCTATGGGGGTCAGGGAGATTTCCAGAGCTGTAGTGCTCATTGTCCTTATTTGATTTTTCCAGAGGTTTATCCAGTATCTGGCTTCCAGGACCTCTCTGTTCAACCTGAGCAACTTTATCGACAAAACTGGCAGCCACGGTGAGTGTGTGTATTTATGCATGTGTCTGAATATTGCTGACTATACAGTATATCGTCGCTGTTGGAACAAAACTACGTATCTCCATTTTTTTTGTTTTTTCATTTTTCACCATAATTTGAAAATATCAAATGTCCTTACATTGTGTCAGAATGTCATGATGAATGGATCGTTAGAAACGGTTGAAAATTACTCAGTACATTCACTAACATCAAAGTTTTAATATTAGAGATATGAGGTTTTGCTCCGACATCACCGATATTATAATATTATGTCTGTCTATTGGTACACTCAATACCAGCATGAGATTGTTGATGGTGGGTCTATACTTGTAAAAGACTGCACTTCCAGACCTATTTTAATCTCTTCCTTCTTTTGCATAACAAGGCTATGATATGTCCACATTCATCAGACGATATGGGCGGTACCTCAATGAGAAAGCATATGCTTACCGCGCTATGGCCTTCGACTTCACTCGAGTCAAGAAAGGGTACGTCAGTCTTTTCTGGAACTGGTGCTTATTTTGGAAACTCTTAGCCACTGGTCACTCAATGCTGCTATATTTGGCACACCCTTGTTTCTTGTTGCAGTACATTTGATGTCATTTCTTAATGGGGATGACTGACCATCATTAGTTGGTGATCAGTAATTAACCAGCGTGTCTAAAATCAAGTACACAGCTTATTAAAAATATCAGTTATAAAATAGATATTTCCAGTTTTGAAATGTGATTGGCTAAAACATGTTTGAAGCTTTTGTAAAATACTTCATATATGTACACTTATGAGCACACACCTCAAATCAAGTCTATTTAAAAGTTGATAGGTGGGCCAGGCAAAAGAATATACTTGAAGTAAACCTGAAACCATATTAAACAGAATTTAAACATTTGTTTAAACTGAGGGGCTGACAGCTATAGTATATTTAAGCAATAGAACACGAGAGGGAGTGTGTTATCCAACATACAACAGTAAAATAAATAAAGTAAAAACAAAATAAAATAAACTGGGCCGCGAATGTGACATTTAATATGTTTTAATTCCTTAACGAGCAGCTTGTTGCTACGTCAGATTGACGAGCTCCGCCCACTCGCTGCACAGCCGGCATTTCATTCTCCAGCTCCACACAGACCAACTGACAGTTTGGGAATTTAGTGTAGTCTCATCTTCACAGTCTGACCAAATCGGCTGTCGGTCAAATGTGATCATAAAAGTATCATTTTCTGTTTGTGTGTAAAGTATGAAGTGAAAATATTCAAATGGCTTGAGCGTCTCCTACAGCTGTCACTTAGCAGTGGCGTCTCAGTGGAGTGATACAGTGTTTGTGAGAAAAAAAACCTGTGCTGTTATGACGAAATAAGAACACGATTAGAACTCTTCTCAACCAATCAGCTTGCGTGGCCAGAACTAACTGTTGTATAATTATGATTATGTGACCAAAAACTAAAAAGTTGATTACAATGACTGGAATGTACGATGATGAGGTGCTACAAGTTCTATATTTCAAAGTTCTAATGTTACTTTACTGCTCATTACTAGCCCAAACAGATGTAAATGCCCTGTCTGGTACTAGCTTTGGCACAGAGTACCTCAGCAACTCCTGCCATCCACCATCCTTCTCTTTAATTTTGAACACCCATGTACTTTTTCTTGTGGAGAACATGGACAAAACTGTTGTCTGCCTCATTGCCTTCAAATGTTTGCTTTAAATGTGGTATGTATCATAGTATTGTGTTGCTGTCCTGATCACAATTATTTTTAGTTGCATGCTTTATCCCTGCTGAAAACACCAGCACAGAGCAGTATAAATTTCATTCGGGTCTAGGCTGGTTTATGCTGGTTTGTGCTGGTCTGGCGCTAGTTTACCTGGTCATCGAGAACATGGTGCTAGCATCATGTTCATGCTGGTTGACCAGCATACATCCAAAACGCAGTATATGTTGGTTTTGCTAGTGACCCGCTATGCTGATTTTTCTCACAGGTCTCATGCGTACAATCCAAAAACATTCCATAACTTGAATGATAAACCCATCTATTCAGAGCTGTAGTTTGTTGAGAATTAAATAAAATTGCTTTAACGTTTCTTTAACTGCTAGTGTTGGTCAAAAAATGGTATTAGTCAGTTAATGGTAATCTGTTAATCCCTCTTTCTTGCATTTCTCGTGAGGTGTCATTTGATTAGAAAGTTGTAATGCCATTTTGTGTGTTATACTTGCACAGTAATTAGATTAAAGAATGTGTAATATTTGATAGCAAATTCTTTTCACCCTCTTTGTGTACATGTATATGTTCAGGGCTGATGGGGTAATGAGGACTATGGCTCCTGATAAACTGCTCAAGGCTATGCCTGCCCTGCAGACTCAAGTGGACACTCTGCTGGAATTTGATGTATGTACAGTCAGCAACAGTAAAGCAATGTATAAGATTGTACAGACATATTCCTTTAGATATGAAAGGTAGTAACTGGTCCTTACTCAGAGAAGATTCATGCATACAACATGCATACAAATGACGGTGCTACTCTAATGCTCTGCTGCTCAACATCTTTTTCATAATTACATGGTTAATATGTAAACAAAGTCCGTCAGATTGGTTTGATGTAGGGGTGGGAATCTCTAGGAACCTCACGATTCGATTCAATTATGATTCAGAGGCTGCAATGCGATTATAAAACGATTATCGATGCATCTCGATGCATCTTTTTTTCTGTACAGGATTTCTATTTTCTCACTGTGTGAGGACTTTCAAAGCAAAGTATTTGTAATGATCCATAATGAATTTACTTCCAAAATCTTTTATTAATAAAACAAATGGAAGTGATGTGGCAAGTGAACTGGAAGGCTCTCATTCACTGCTCTTGTTTGGTGCACATGAGATGCAGGCTGCCACTCATCTGCGATAAAATGCAGTTACGGTGACATAAGACTCTGTGGCAATGGATGTCCACGCAGCACATGTTCGGTTTTGGTCTTGTTGTTCACCACTTCATCAAACCACTCTGAATGACTGTTCACATCTGAGCAATTGAAATATGCGGAAAAATCAGTGTAATTCTCCTTAATGACTGAGAAAGCTGCATAACATTGAGAAAGAAATTATAGTAAGCATTCAGAATGCCTTGTATTTATGCCTTGTAACTTTATGGTGACCAAATCTCAGGTAGGTAATGGATCAAAAATTACTATAAATAAATCTTATCTTAAACTAAGCTTATCATTTACCATTACTCCAAAAAATCTGATATTATATATATATATATATAAATTTTGAGCATCAAGCTATTAAACATACAGTAATACATTTATATTAACCCTGAGTACCTTGGGTAATCTTAATTTCTTACTCTTTGTAATCTGGACCTTCTTTAACTTTTTCAAAGTGTTTAAGGCTGTAGTTGTCACGTGTGTGCTTCATGGCTTTCACTGTTTCTTTTTCTTGCAGGTTCATCCCAAAGACTTGAACAACGGCATTATCAATGCGGCTTTCATGCTTCTTTTCAAGGATCTGATCAAACTGTTTGCCTCCTACAATGATGGAATTATCAATTTATTAGGCAAGAGGCATTTTACTGAAACCTCGCTTCCACTAACCATAGGATTCTTTTGGCATTAATGGGGCTCTTCTTTCAAAGTGTCGTCAGTAAACGATAGAATGCTATGATCTGTGTTTCTGCAGAGAAGTATTTCAAAATGAAGAAGTCTGACTGCAAGGAGTCACTTGAGATCTACAAGAAGTTCCTGACTCGAGTGACCAAGATTTCAGAGTTCATGAAAATTGCAGAGGTATGAAAAGCATGAAACCTTCTTTATGAAAATGTGTATTTTAAAAAGTGTGTATAAATAATGCTTGCTGTTTTGTATGGATTAATCTGATGCTCTTGTGATTTTGTTCTGAATGTAAATATCCTCTTTTTCAGCAAGTTGGAGTGGACAAAAATGACATCCCTGACATATCTTATGTAAGTCATCAGTAACATCTTTCACTTTCATTCTGTTTCAAACACTTACAAATGTTGGTAGTTATATATCTACCCACTTTGAGAAGGGGAAATTGAAATGAAAAATGGTGGCATTTGTGTTTCCCTTTGAAAAATTGAAGGCAGTCCCTAAAAATAATAACCCTATTTTGCAAAAGTATTTGTAATCTGATATCGATTTATTATTTCTCAAATGGATCACAGATTCTTATTTTAATCCTATTATATGTATTCTGTTTCTCTGCTCATTTGATGAGTTCGAATATGACCCAGTTTAGGCTTGTTGTTAAGCTTAGATTCTTTCAGTTGAAACACCCTGCAACAAGGTCTGTGTGATATGGTTAAAAATGGTGTCTCAATATTTTCCTGTTGGTGATGTCTCAATATTAATACACTCTCTCTGAAATGGCTGAAAATTATTCTTTGGTTGGAAAAAAACAGAATTTGGACTATACAGCCTTTATGCAGCCTGCCTCCACCTTTAAAATTTTTATTCAACACAATATAAAATTAAGCAAAAGAATAATTTATAATCAAGGTCTGACTATTTTCCACTGAAGTCTGGTTTTTACTAAATGAACATAAGAAAGAATACTATACAATCATAATTCTTTTGTAGTACAAAGGATGTGGTTTGAACTGGTGAAAGATGTTTGTTTTTAGATACTAAGTCTTAGTAAATCTAAAGAGTAATCCCTCCATTTCTGTCTCCCAGTCTTGCGGGTCCAGGCTGGCGACAACTTTTGGCAATGAATTGTGCTCCAAACAAGAGTATGTCACCTCCGTGAAGCTGGCCCCCCATATGGTCAGAAATTGAATAAAAATGCAACTATTGGTTTGTGCTGCATTTGTGCTGGTTTGTGCCGTAGAAATAATCATTTGTGCTGGCACCATTTTTAAGACATTAAATATTACATGTTATTGCCTGTGACGTCACACAGCCCCCCACCAACGTCCAAATCGCACCAAAAGGGTCTCATTCGTTTGTGCTACGTTTGTGCTCGTTTGTGCCGTTAAAAGAAACATTCCAGCTGTTTTAATTCTCGAGTTATAAAGCCATAAAGGTTGGATGTCTGACGTCACTCAGCCCCCCATCAACGTCCAAATCACACCAAAATGGTCCCATTTGTTTGTGCTACGTTTGTGCTGGTTTGTGCCATTAAAAGAAATGTTTGTGCTCTTTTAATTATTAAGTTGTTGTATAAACAGGTTTTGTCACTAACGATGACATCATTTACCACAGGATTAACACTAGTTGATGGTGAAGATCTGAGAAAGGCCTTTTTGCCTCCTGAGGAGCAGCTGTCCCTGATCACTACAGAGTCATCTGGCTTTTTCAGCTTTAGTTATTCAGCTTCATTATTGCACTGAGTAGAAGTCCAGAGCTGAACTAAAAGTGATGATTAGAAATGACTACTTTGCTCTTTAAAAACACTTTCAAAACGAATCAAGGGGTTTGTGAGGTCACACTTAGTTTAAGGAATAAAAACATTCATGTTGGTCTTTCAGTGTATCATGTGTGCTCGTGTTAATGTGTGACTTGTTAAAATGCTCATCAAATATCAACGACAATTTACTGGACCCACCAAGAACACAACAGATTTTAACAGTGACCAATGTGGGCTTTATCCCACTCTGGAATTTTTGTGGATATTTCCTTTTGGTAGAAATGTAGGAGTAACACAGAAAACCTATATATGGCAAAAATAACTTTGAGAACTGACTGAAGAATTCAGTTTCAATGATTGCATTTTGCACATAAATAGCATGACAAAAATACAGCCTCAAATGACCTGGCCTGTTGTGGGAATTTATTAACTTTAAGCTAGATGACTTAAAGTGAAATATAGTTCCTACTGTATTTACATAGTTAATATTTCAGCTCAATTTGTAAGAAAACTGCATATTTAAGAAATAATGTACAGCAAGTTGGGCAGACTTTACCAACAACTCAAGAATTAAAAGAGCACAAACATTTCTTTTAATGGCACGAACCAGCACAAACTTAGCACAAACGAACGAGACCATTTTCATGTGGTTTGGACGTTGAAGGGGGGCTGAGTGACGTCACTTATTAAAAAAATATTTTTAGCCTATAACTTGATAATTAAAAGAGCACAAATGTTTATTTTAACGGCACAAACGCAGCACAAACAAATGAGACCCCTTTGGTGCGATTTGGACATCGATGGGGGGCTGCATGATGTCACTCGTCCAACCTTAATGGCTTCATAACTGGAGAATTAAAACAGCGGGAATGTTTATTTTAACGGCCCAAACCAGCACAAACGAATGAGACCCCTTTGGTGCAATTTGGACATTGATGGAGAGCTGAGTGATGTCACTCGTCCAACCTGTATGGCTTTATAACTGGAGAATTAAAACAGCGGGAATGTTTCTTTTAATGGCACAAACGCAGCACAAACGAATGAGACCCTTTTCGTGTGATTTGGACGTTGATGGGGATCTAAATGACGTCAGAGGCAAAAATGGTACCAGCACAAACGATGATTTCTACGGCACAAACCTGCACAAACACAGCACAAATGAATAGTAGCATTTTTATTCAATTTATGACCACATGGGAGGCCAGCTTCACGGAGGTGAGTACGTCCCCTCTGAAACCCTCCCCCAAAGTCCTCTAGTCTGTGCTCTTTTAACTTTTGAAATTAAATCGAAACACAAACAAAAGAAGCTAGGTAGCAAAATACTGTAGTTAGCTATTGGAACAGTTTTTCGCTTGCAAGAGGTCTTTTTTTTATATTAACTGCATTATTTGTTTTCCACACATTTGACACATGTCTATATACTTAAAGTTTTCTGGCAGGACTAGCTATGCTAACTTATGTTACGAGTGCCATCGCCCCCTACTTCAGTTGGTTTGCATCCTAATAAATCTACTTTCCATCCACTTTCAAATGTCTCATGGTTGTCCCCATGGGCCTCATTTATAAAAAGCACTTTAATTTCATATTGAAAAAAAGTTCTGCAAATGATTTATCAAAAGACCTGTATGAGTATACACATGCAACGTTGAATTGCAGCTGATTATTTATAAATTACAAACAGTCCTAGAAGTGAGCACATGTGAACGAGCTTTTCAACTCCACCCATGCTTGAATTGATTTGCATATGAATGTTTCCAGCACTAGGGACGGCGCAGTGTGTTCTCTTCAACATGAGTGAATGAATGAATGAATAAATAATAAATGTTTTTTTTCGTGCAGCCTGCCGTACTAAAGCCTTATTTGCCTGAACAATTTTGAAAAAAAGGCAAAACAGTGTAAATTGTATTTTACTGTGATTATTCAAATTTGCACAATTTGCAATAGAAAGATTAGACCTATAATATCTGTAAGAAGCATTTGTTCACAACTGTCTGTTACTGTTTGTCTCAGTTTGGTTCATTTTCTGTAAGGAACCTAAAATATAAGAAAAGTATGGTATACCTCATGAGAAAAAAAAATTCATTGAGCTGAACTTGGATTGCAATACGTAATAACTACATCATTGCTATTGTTCTGAACATGTTTGTTGTGAGACTTTATCTTTTGTGAGAGTCCCTTCAGCAGAGCCGCATGAAGAATGTGGTGGTAAGGTGTGTTAACATTAGTGGCTTAATCATTTATCATATTGTCAAATAAATTTTTCAGCTGCGTGGTTCTGATGAGGTGGGCTAGTGGGCTAGATTGCTCATGAAGAAAATCTAGTGAAACAAGCCAGGCCCGGTCAGGTGGTCATGAACCACTGCTGTTTGTACGTGCTGTTATAGCGGCAGGCGGCAAACTCAATCAAAGTGAAGCAGAAGCAGAGCGCATGAAGTGTATTTTCACTTTGATTGCTTTGCTGTCTGTAACTATAGAAGCATGAACAGATAGTAGTATAAAAGGCTAGATCGATTAACATAGTAGGGTTTGAATGCTTCATTCTGCCTTGGCTGTATTATTGGCATGTTGTGAGAATATAAATCTGCAGATTTCATAGAAGCGTGGACGTTTGGTGACTTTAAATGTGGCTCTCCTTTTGATTCTTTCCTGTATATCATGTGGTTCTTTTGTGAATATCACAGAGCTCTCCTGCTACCCCAGGTCCTCTGTGGATATCCCCACTGATTTATCCTAATGAATCATTTGGCAGGGATTAATTGCCAAATGTTTGTACGTCAGGCTGGAAATATTCATGCATACAAATGTTTTATGAATGAGGCCCAAGATATTCTCGCTACGAGATCACATCTGGCCCTCTGAGACTACATTTTAGCAGACAGTCATTCAGAGCAGCTTAATATGGTAGACAAACACAGCCTTAGGAGTCATTCTTGTATTCCCATCCCAAAGAGGAATCAAACCCAGGTGTCCTGGTTGAGGTTTCTGTTAATGAGGCTTAACAGTGCTCAGTGTTGTTATGTGATTCTCACTGTCTTTACACCATCTGTGTAAAACATACTTTAAAATCAATCCCCAAAACCAAAATCATGAATTTGTCCTAATTATTTGATACTTTGCTTAGCCTTTTCCCCAACCACTAGCTTTCATGTTCCTACATAGCCTGTAGAGTTTTTTTCAGTTATTTTCTTTCAAATGTGTTGTAGAGAATTTTTAAAATCTTGACAGAGTATGGATTCAAGTAGCAGTAAATCTTACTGGGTCTTCCTCCTCCATCCTGTTCCTCCTGATACTGGGCATCTTTAGTGTCTTCACCCTGGAGTGGTGGCTGACCTGGCGGACTCAGACAATGAAGATTGCCCCTTTAACAACTGCCGGGAAGAGGGCCCGGTAACCATGTTGACAGCAGAGTCGCCCAGACTGAAGCTCATTGCATTGCTCATGTTGATTGTCAAGACTTAGCATATAGTGCTGTGCAAAAGTGAGAGACCACCCATTATTTATTTAATTTACAGTCAAAACAGCCATTCAGGACAAATTTATTTTTTAGTGTTACAAAAAGCAGAAAATGTTATAGAACCCTCAGCAACTAAATATTATATTCTCTCTCTCCCTCTCTGTATATATATATATATATATATATATATATATATATATATATATATATATATATATATATATTAGTAATTAATGTGTCCATCCTTTGTTTGAGTTTTCCAAAGAAACCTGCAGGGATATTTTAGAAGTTGCATTTTCTGCTTCAAGTAATTCAAGCAATTCAATCCAAGTAATTCCAAACGCATTCAGTGATGTTTAGGTCTGGACTCTGAGGTGGTCAGTACATTTTTCTGATAACACCAGCAGCCTCTTTGTTTGACTTGGAAATGTTCTTTTTCCTTCTTTTTCCTTTTCTCCATAAAGTTGTTGATAGCTACAGATCCTTTGAGACTTACAGTGTGAGGTTGTCTTCTTACAGCGGAATCTAAAGCAAGAGTGAAGCTTGATTTTCTGTCAAAGTGCTGTTTATCTGATGGTGACAAGTTTGGTGGTCTACCAGGTCTTGCATGGCTGCTAGGCATCCCATTTTCTCTTTATCTTTTAATTGTTTTTAACTCTAGTTTTGGAGACTCCTGGTTTTTCACTTATTTTCCTTTGACTTTCAACTTCCTTATGTAAGACGATTATATTCTGTCTAATCTCTTCAGAAATATCTCCTGAAAAAATGAATAAGATTGCTCTTAACTCTGTCTATTATATTCCAATCCCTAAAGAACCTTTAGTGTCATTGTTAGGAGTTGTCCCCCAGGGATTTGATAATAGGTGCCAAATCTACCTTCTTCAAATTTTATTTGTAGCAGCCATTAAAGGTATAACTGCTGATTGGCTGAAAACTTCTGTCCCAACATATGAGTCCTGGATTCAGCGTTTATGGGAACTATATAATATGGAAATGACACACAATTTTAGACTACAGAAGCAGAAATTTGTGAAAAGATGTCCAGCATTGTCAATAATGCTTTGAAGATATGGTATAATTAAATTTAAATAGGTAGTAGGCATCAATCCTGATGCCACTACATCTCCTCTCTTCCATCCAGGTTATTGTTTTTCAAGTTCGTTGTTAGTCTTTGACAAGTATATGTGAACACCAGTGTGAATGTATGTATATATGTCTATATACACCTGACTTACTGTGGCCTGACTGCGAAGTTGTGAATCTTTTTGTGATCCTTTAATAAATAATAAGTTCCAAAATAAGACATACTTAATGGATGTTTTGACTGAAAATTAAATGAGTGAAGCACAGAACATTTAAAGTATCTCTCTCCTAGATTTTTTGTAGAAACTGAACTAAACTCTAAATACCATGTGACAATTTAGCTGTTCCTCCCTGCATTATGTGTTGATTTCTGATTGGTTATTGCTTTGAGCACACTAACAACATATGGACAAAACAAAGCAATGAGTTGAGATTCAGCAATGTTGATGGGCCTCTGTGTGCACTGTGTGTGCTGTGTGATGGTGTGATGAGCTGATTTGAAGTGCCTTTCAGAGTGTTCTTAGTAATTATGTTAATGTGGTTTCAAGGCTTGCAGCTGAGGTGTGCTCTTGCTAACTGACAGTGTGGAAATGAAAGTTTGGGGTATTTTGCTGTTTCCATGTTAACAACCAACTACTTTGTGTGTATAACGCTTCTTAGGCCCCCAGCAGTATTCTGGAGTCTCTGGAGACACATATGAACAGCCTGGAAGGAAAGAAAGGGTAAGAGACGTCAGTTTCCATCTGTTTACATTTAGACCTCCTTCATGTACAAATCTCAATGCAAAGATGTATTTAACACTGGCAGATATGTTCCTGCTTTCAACATCTTTGATCTAGCACGTAATTTTTTCATAAGCAATGTTTATGTATTCCTATGTGTTCCTATCCTATTCCTATACACTGTGCAAATGGACTATTAGAAATGGTCCCAAATTAATGTTCAGGTTTTTATGTAAATTAAGAACATTTTTCACTCTATAACAGGGGTGTCTCTCTGGGCCACTGCTCTGCAGATTTAAGCAAAGTGCCTGAACAAACTAGCTAATTAGCAACATCTTCATGAGTTGAATTCAGAGTATCTGTAGAGGGAAAATGCTAATTGTTGCAGAGCTGTGGCCCAGGATGTACCTCAACTGTATAAAGTTACAGTTTTGAAGATACAAGATTTCTTACGACAGTGACAACACACAGAATACAGTTCCACTCGGGTTTGTTCAGTGTGCAAAAGTGTATGTATGTATGATCGCATGACACTTTTTCCTTTTTTTCCTATGTGTGTGTCATTTGGATTCTCAGAGAGGGGTGAGTTTCTTTGTGTTCTATGCTATGTATGTTTGTACTTACTTATTTGTTGCTGGATATACAGTCTTTGGTCTGAATGGGTGTGCATTCTTTTCCCATCTCGTAGGTCTCCAACAAAGGTAAGTATATAAATTCTCATATGCACACTCCTATACACATGCAAACAAACACAAACTAAAACTCACACCCTCTTTTTGTACTGTGCTGCAGGGATCACCCACCAACAATGTCTCCCCAACCTCCACTCCTGCCAAAACCGCAGGTGCTCTTCCCACCCTGGAGCCACCACCTAGTGAGGCCACGCCTGCGGCTGCTGCACCTGCTGAGGCTGCCACTGAGTGAGTGATGACTTCCTTTGTCTTACGTTATAAAGAAAAAAATATCAAAATAAACATTTTTTTTACATTCATGTTTATTGGCTGTAGATATAGATAAAGGCCATATGATAATCTTACGCATAGGTACTCATCCAACATGTGAAAGAAGTTTATGAAAAAGATGTGAAGAAAATTTTACAAGTTGAAAATGAAACTCATGAATCTAAACACTATTCTTTTCCATTTTTAATACTGAGTTGGGAAATGTGGCTTAAATTCTTCACCACTTCTCTCTAGTTCTCTGTTGGACTTGGACCCGCTGTCCTCTTCAGGGCCATCTGGGGGTGCTTCAGCTGCTCCTACATCCTGGGGAGGTAAAGGGTTCAATTATACAATGACATACAGTTGACGTGTCTCACACAAAGCGAAGGCTGCAGACAAGGTAGAAGAGACCTTCCTACCACAGGTAGGAAGATCGAGATGGTCTGAGCAGGTTGCAGCAACATGTCACAAATACTGAAAACAACGTGACATATTTATGTCCTAAATTAAACAATGTTAACTTAAAATGTACATTTCATTACAGTTAATTACATTACAGCATATACTCTGGTGTAGGAGCTTCTCACCAGGCATTCTCAAGTTGTTTTCAGATAGGCGTAAAGGATTGTGGTTGACTGGCAGTCTCGAAAGATACACCAGATGCATCTCGCAATTTCTCTCAAATGAAACATTTTTTGGCCACATTCGTAGGATCCTACAAAACAGGACAGACTTCAGTGATGTAATGCCAAAGCAATACAGCCTTAGCTTTTAGACACAGCTTGTATGTCCAGAAGTTTGTAAAGGCTTTACATTGGATGTTGTAACATTGCTGAGAAGATTTGATAGCATTAGTATTAGTGGGGTCAGGTACTGATGTTAGATGATTAGTTCAGGATCACAAACTCCACTCTAGCTTATCGCACAATTATTGGATGGTGCTCCATCAATCCAGATGATGCAGTTCCACTGCTCCACAGCCCAATGCTGGGGGACTTCATACACTTCTAGCCAGCACCTGGCTTTGGACATGATGACCTTAGGCTGATATGTGGCTTCTCCAGAGCATCCAATTCAATTGGCAATGCTTTTATATGGAAGCCTTGTGTGTAATTGAACACCTATGTCAGCAGTGGGTGCACCTTAAAGTAGCTGAATTCACTCATTAGAAGGGGTGTCTGGATACTTTTAGACATGTTCTGTACCTTGAACCACTCCACTGACCTGAGTAACAACAATGCTAGTATCAGGGAACGCCTTACTTGGACACTTTAAATTGCAGTTTTAAATATTTATGAAAAAGCAGCAATGACACTTGTTAACTTGCTGTTGATGTGTTTTCCTTTTGTTTCTTTTTTCTTTGTGCTGTGCTGCCGCAGACCTGCTGGGGTCAGGTAAGTGTCTTTTTGAGAGTTTACAGTGTTTTTTTTGTGTTTGGTGCCACATTCTCTGCACAGGAAGACTCCTGAATCCCAGATATTTCTAACAGTTATTACATTCTAGATGGTAGATTATCAGTGTAATTAACCCTTGTAAGTCTAGAGTTATTGTTGTTTTGTTGTACTAACAAATACAGAATTACATATAATTAAACATAATTACACCCTCGATCATGTACTTAGTTACATATTGAATTAATTTACAAAGAGGTGGCACAACGCCACATTTTCTTTTCCAACATCAATACTAAAACCTTAAAAATCGGCCAATACTGACACCGATCCATATTTTTTTCTTTCAAAGCTACTAAGATTTAAAATTAGCTGTTTGTAATTTAAGTACTTCACTTAAGATGAGCATCTAAAAGTAGTCTATTATGCTCAAACCACCCGATCACTCTACACTACAGGAAGAAATACACAGCTAACAGCATCACATCACACATTGTGAGTGAGTGCTATTTCAGGATACATTCGTTGCAGGATTGAATCAGATTCATTCTTTTTCTCCTCTGATAACCGATCCAGTGTTTTTGCTGAAGGAGGCCTGAATTTACATTGGAGTTTGCCTTTGCAACTTTTGTCTTATTATCCAATGAACACTGAGAAAAAAACATGATAAAAATGAAATGGTTATTTTTTCTTTCTGCAAAATAATACACACATCAGTACCATCAAATGTAAATCATAATAAATTAATTAATATCTAACTACAACGTACTTTTGCTATCTCTTGCAATAACTATGACTTCTAAGGGTTAATCAGGTTTCTGGACACACAACTAAGAGACAGACTTGTAGTTTTCCACTGTTTTCCTTACATGCTGCCTTTCCTTCCAGCCTGGTCTTAGCTTGAATCTCTCTTTTTCTCTTTCTCCTTTAAATGTGCTCCTGTCCTCTGTTTTGCCTTTGTTTTTTGTCGTGTTGTGTTATTTTTCGGTTCTGTTTCGGGAACATGGCTTTTGTAGAATTTGGTTCTCTCACCACGGAGACTCTCCTCCCTGATCCCTCCCCTGCTGTAGACTCCGCTTCTCCTGCACCAGCCGCACCTAGCGCAACAACCGGTGAGGCAGCCGTCTCTTTAGCTCCTCCCACTACCGCTGCTGGCTCCGCCTCTAGCTCAGCGGATCTCCTCGGAGGTCAGTAGGCAGGTTCCTTTCACAGGAACGGCGAAACAGAAAAAAAGAAAAAAAAACAGAAAAGGACTTGCTCCATATGTGACTTGGAATCACATATGTATTCAACATTTCCATGCACCAGTTGTGTGGAGGGGAGGTTCACCATTGTGATTGTAAGAAGGTTGCACAATCTTTGTTTCAGGATCTTATTTGGGGGAGTCAGTTAGGCTAATTATAGCTTTAATGTTGACCTAATTCAGCTTCTTTTAAAGAGAAACTCTGGAGGCAACGCAATTATTAACTTGCCAATCTTATATACTTTTTATAAGAATATGATTATGAAACTTTGAAGACAAAAAACTCAACTGGTGAACCCTTCCTTTAAAAACTTGGCCAGCTGAGCACAATTCCTGGTAGTTAGACCCTTTTCCCATCCCTGTTGCTTTTCCATCTTTCTTTCATTTTCTCTTTCACTTCAATTTCTTCCATTTTTGCCCTACATCTAATTTATCTTCATTCAACCCAAGACAAACCTGTGACTAGTCAAATTTTTGTGTTACAGTGAGTGAAGTTTTATAGCAAATAAGATCAATATTCACTAAATTGTATTTGAATTAAGTTGTAATTGAATTGATTTGCTCATAGTTTCTGAATCAAGGAAAGTGAGAATCAGTGTTTTAGAGCAAACGCAGTGAAATAAGCAGAATGAGAGAAGTGTGCTAAAAATGTATGAAGTGTGTATTACTGTCAACATTGGACGGTGATCTTGAACTCTTGTATAGCTCTTAGGCCTGTTTCACACATACTATCTCAATCAGTCAACCTTTATTTTGACTTGGAAGTACATTGAGGGTGACCTTGATTTATGATTATAGCTGAGCAAGTTGAACAAAAATTGAAAATGTAATAAAATGAAATTTATCAACTAAAACAAATCAAAATCAGTGAGACACAATGAACAAAAAGATTTATAAGAAATGGAAAAACAAAAGCTCAAATAAGAAATCGGCATAAAATAGCATACATTGCTATGAAACAAATTAAAAGTATGTAAAAGACCAACTAAGATAAGCAATAAGAAAAAAAAATCGTAGGAATACAGTTGTGCAATGAAATAGTAAAAATAAAAAAATGAAAGAACTAAAATAAAATAAAACGAGGGGAGCTTTAGAGTTTCCTGTAGTGTATCCCAGTTTGCTGGTGCACTGTAGCCAAAAACTAAAAACTAAAAACTCTTGGAATCTGACAGGTGATTGTTATTAGAGCGGGTCTTATAAATACCATAATTTACGGAAAGCTACCTCTGCATGGCTTGAGTGATGTTCCCTTTGGTGCTCATGTTAACAAGTCAGAGCTTTCAGACGGGCCACATGAGCCATGCAGCAGTGCGTTCCAGATGCAGCACAGAAGCGACGTGGTGTCTAGAGAATGACTAGCTATGGAACCTAGACAATGAAATAAGCCACGAAACACAAAAACAATGAAAAGGAAACAAAATACTGAATGAAAACTTGGCTGGAAATGTAAGAAAGTGCAGTTGGCCTTAGTCTCCCCCATCACAGCAATGCTAGCCAGCTCTCTTAGCATTCTCCTCCAAAGTGTTGACCTGTCCATCGTGCTTTTTATGAACTGTGTTTTGTATATGTATGTTTATTTGTAAAAGAGCATGGATTTGGCTCTGTACCTAGTATCTAGTACATAGCACTGGTAGTATCGTTTTTTTGTGGAAGGCCTTGAGGTGTGATCAGGCATGACTAAATTGGGTTTGGGAAAAAAAAGAAAAAAGGATTTCTGTAAAGCGTACTTACTGTACACATGTCTGCTGTATATATGAATGACCAATGTTTGCGAACGGTAGCAGTCACAGTGCTGGATCGCTCATGTCACACAGACATAGCATTTGTAAAACAGGCCTTAGACTGTTAACCACTTGACGTCCTAAGCCTAACAGTGGCTGTTTGGGTATGACTTTGTATTTTTGCCTGTGAACCTAGTGAAATATTACACCATAAATAAGTGATCTGTGTCCTCGGCCTTTTCAGTAACCCCAACCTAAATATATAGTAGAAAAGATGAAAATAGTGTGCAAAAGAATCACACGCAGTGCCTTGACTGGTGTGCTAGTATATTTAATCCTCTAATTAATCGTGTGTTGTGGTCTAGCAGGCAGAAATTCCAGAGGAGTCTCCATTTGTAGTCTTGGTTGGGCTTGTGATTTCACAGGAAAATATGATGATGCATATCAGCTCAGCCTCTCTAGTTTAATATAGAATTTAAAGCATGTTGGTTCCTCCAGTGGTTGTAAAGTCTGCAGTGACAGGTTTGTCTCTTGAAGAGTTAACAAAAGAGATCTAGAGATCTGTCCTTTGATGGAGCCGTGATTCACTCTCAAGTGCACTCACCACTTTTTATCAGATTGCATGCCCGTTCTGTTCTTACTCAAATCTCCTTATCTTTTAGACCTCTGAGATTCTGTTTCTTCTTTTCTCCTGTCTTTCTCTCTCTCTGCCCTTTGGTTTGGCTCGTCATCTTGGCTTTTGACCCCTTTTCGGGGATTCAGGCACGTTTGCGAGTCCAGCAGCCGAACCTGCTGCTGCTGCAGAGAGCGGAGCTGCAGCCACCACAGCTACTCCTGCTGCTGAGGCTACTGCTGCAACTGGTGGGTGGTGATGACAATGTGTGTGTATGTGTGTCATGGTGACAGAGGGAAGCCCCCTTTGCGTATGTTGTCCTCAAATGCATCATTAAATGTGTGTTTGTACGTGTACAGTGTCCTCCAGAATTGTTGTCACCCTGGGTAAAGATCAGGAAAAAAGGGCTATGAATAAATGTCTTTGTTGCTTATCAATTCATTTTTTATGGATTTGTTGTTAATTTTTTTGTTTGTACAGTAATGTGCAAAAGTCAGGGACCACCCTTTATTTGTTTAATTATCAGTTAGAACGGTCATTAAATACAAGATATTCATTTTTCACTGTTAAGGAAAAAGCAGAAAATGTATTTTTAACAGAAAATTAAACAAAATTGCATAGGTGTGTTATTATAGCTTCCGTTCATTTCTGAACACTTGCTTTCAGTTGTTCAAAGAAATCTGCAGGGATGTTTTTCTATACTTCTGAAGTTCAGTCTTAGAGGATGGATGCATGATTCATGTACTTTCCATTATATTGGGTGTTGTTGAGGTCTGGACTGTAGAGTGGTCAGTTCATTGTTCTGAGAACACCAGCAGCTTCTTTATTTGATTTGCAAATTTTCTTAATTTTTGTCTCTTTCCTTTTCTTAGTAGATCTGAGGCAAGAGTTGAGCTTTATTTTATTTAAATTAAAGCTTTATCTGATGTTGACAGTTTTGGTGGTCTACCAAGTCTTGTACAGTTGTTGTGGTGTCCTGTCTTCTCTATATCTTTTAGGGTTTTTAACTCCAGTTTTGGAAACTCCTTTTCCTTTGACTTTCACATTCTTTATGCAAGTGGATTATCTTATGTCTTATTTCCTCAGAAATATCTATTAAAATGAAGAACTTAATGGCTGTTTTGACTATAAAATTAAAGAAATGAAGGGTGGTCTCACTTTTGCCCAGTACTGTGTTTGTTTGTTTTTTTTTTCTTTGTATCATTTACCCCACTAACCAAAAGTTAGATTTCTCTCATATGTTCAGTCTAAGACATATTATCATAGCCTTTTTTCTTCTTAACAAAGGTGCTAATATTTTTGGAGGAATAGGTTTGAATGTAACTCAGCCTGATTGAGAGATCTGTTACATTATGAGGCCGTTACCCTGAGTAGCGCACTGACGCAGCGTTTCCAATGATAAGAAGATGGTTTGGTTCTCTCCCTGAACTGGGATGTGTGTTGCCATGGTGATTGCTACTCTAGGTTGTCATGGTGAAGTCTTTTCAACGTTTTGAGTTGCGATCGCTGTGGGGAAATGGCCAGCTGTCACACTGTAGCTTCATTACACACATGCTGTTTACAGTGTGGGCCGAGTCTTATCATTCTCTTTTAAACAAAGGGGATTTTTGACATGGTTTCATATTGAACTCCACAGGGATCACGTTTTATTTTCTTTTCCCATTACTCATCCTCATTTCTGACCTTCTCTTGCTTTCTCACAGCTCTCCTGCTTCAGGATATTCTTGATGCTGCTTTAAAATGCGTTTGTAAATGAAATATTTATAACATCCGTATGGTTGCCCTCCTCCGGTTTGGTTTGCAGAGCATCCCATGTCTCAGTATTTTTACATAGACTGCGTTTGCCCCAAAAGTAATTGTGTTCTAATGGCTTTTAACAACTAATATGTATTTTTTTTTGCCCATGTTGTTTGTTTTTTATACAGTATGGTGTTTACAGTGCTGCCCTCTAAACTCATCTTTTCTCTTTTTGTTAAGACCCTTTCGCCCCAGCTGCTGATCATGCACAGCTGGACCTGTTCTCCATGCAGCCTGTAGAGAGCAGTATCTCCTGCTTCAGCTCTGTGGCACCCCCTGCAGTTCAGACCCCACTCACGTCTAACAGTCCCATCGCCCTTAGCTCTGCAGCCCCCACAACAGACCTGTTTAGTGGTAAATGCTCCCTGTGTGCCCCTCCATGAAAAGACCCGAGTGAAGCATATACTTGTATCTAAAAAAAGTAAATTTACAGGAGAAGGAAAAGTGTTCTTATTGTCTGTTGAAGGGACCGATTCTTTCATTATAAAGACATACAGTGGAAAATGAAAATGTTTGCAAAGATTAAGTTGACTGTGGTGTGAAAACATTGTTCAACTTTCAGAACATACTGTCCATACCCCAGTCCATGCAGTCCATAGATAGAAGCCAAGCTGCAAAAATGGCCTGTTTGGATACATTGTTTTTGTGATGTCGCAAAAACCAGTGCGTTTTACATGTATTTGCCCATTCAGCAGACAGCACTTAAGCGCTGCCCATTCACCCTGAAGTTCTAAGGAGTGTTTCAGCCCACACTGTTTTTTGAATGAGACACAATAGAGCAGCCAGTCAAAACAGAGCTCATTTACATGTATCACTCTTAAAGGCAGAGTTCTTTCTAAAGGATAAAAATGGTCATATAAAAATTAATTATGACTGTTTTTGGTACGTAAACCAACATAAACATCACGTGTAGACTTTGGTAAAACTAGAATACAAGGAAAATGCAAGTTGAGGCTTCTTGTAATGTAATTTAAAAGGGTTTGCTTTTTAAATTTTATTGCTCCATTCATCATGAAGTGTTCACACAATTTAAAGACAGCTGGCATTTTTAAAGAGTATAAAAAATACAAGCAAGGTCTGAGGTTTTCTTATGACACTGATATGCTCTAAAAGAGAGTTTTTGTTGGAAACATTCTGTCAGTTTTAGAGAACATGCTAGTCTAGGCACCTTTCAAATAATCTGTCTTTCTGTTATTAAAGGAGGATTCCACCCATTTTTCTGATTTTCTGCATAACTAAATAGTTAAGGAAACAAAGTTATTTAGAGTAGTGTGATGTGAAATACCTTGTTCTAGAGAATCAGAATCAGAATTGTTCACAGTGGTGGTAACAGGAACCAGACATCTGAAGAGTTTAACGCCTATAAAAGCTCCCTCACAGAAAATTATTACATGAAATAGTTATGAAAACACTGCCTGATGCCACAGACTGTTTTATGTTAGTTTTGTGAAAAGCTTTTGATATATATAAATTATTATATTTTTATATTTTATTTATATATAGTTATTATAGTTATAAAACAGTTTCATTAAAAAAAATAGTTATATAGTTATATTCCGTCACTACCACTGCAAAGAATTCTAAACATTCTGAATGACTTTGTTTACGTCTCAACAATTTAATTATGCAGAAATGTAGAAAAATCTGTGACATTCCCCTATAAAGGCTAACTCAACTCATTTTTCAACATTTCTGTGTAATTAAAAGGCTAAGATATAAACATCATGCAGAGTGGTTTGATGTGAAATGCCCTGTTGTAGAGAAAATGACCAAGTCAGAATTCTTCATAGTGATAGTGACAGGAACCAGACATCTGAAGTGTTTAATGCCTCCAAAAGCTCCCTCACAGAAAGTTATTACATGAAATGATTATGAATATGCTGTCTGAAGCCTAAGACATGGTAGTTTTATGATAAATTTTTGAACTAAAACATATTTTTTAATCCATTCATGGTGGGGAGGAACATGCAGGGCATTGTAAGGCAAAATAGTCCCCAAAGAAAACATATTTCCTCAGATTTACCACTATTTTACCATTATGAATATAACATATAAAAACTCAGAAGACACAAGGAGGTTCATTGGTGGTTTTGGAAAGTAAAGACAATGTGTTTGTGTTGTAGACATTGTGACCCCCTGGTTCCTGTCACCACTATTACAAAGAAATCAGAATCAGTAAGATGCTTTACATCGAACCACTCTGAATGACTGTATACATCTCAACCACTCAATGCAGAAGTTCTGAAAAATCGATAAAGAACATGTTTAAGATACAGTGCTGTCAACTACCTCCTCAAAATCAAAATACACAGAAGTGCCATGAGGCACTTATAAGGCCCTGTGAGATGTTTTAGAAAAGGATTTTGCTGCTTGACAATTGATTTTTAAATGAATGTGAATCATATGTCTGAGAATGATTCATCTGGTTTATTTTTTATGTATGAATCATTGTATTTGTGCTCAGATCCACAGAGGTGTTTTGATGTGCGGGCATGGTTTGTGTGGATTAACATGACTTACTCAATTTGCTCTCCATTGGGTTCATTTGCTGGATTTTTTTTTCAGTCATTGCCTGTGTCCCCGTGTGTGTGCTGCATGTGCGTCTGTGTTCTTGCTCTAGGTTTTTTTGATTCCGTGCCTGAGCCGGCCGTTCCCAAATCAGACCCTGCTCCTAGTCTAGACCTGTTTTCGTCAGGTACAGGATGTCCCCTCTGGTGTGTGTTTGTTCCTGTCCTCTCACGCTCTTCTCGCCATCTCAAATACCTTCTTGTCCCTCTCTGCTCTGACCTTGGCCCCTAAAGGACAGCTAAATTTGCTCATCCCCTGGGGGGGCCAAAAGGAGCTGGACCCCCTTCCTACACCTCTACACACACACTCTCTTGTCCTCTCTTCCCTTCAGCAATTTCTCTCAAAATTTCCATGGTTCATGATTTTGTTGTTAATTTTTCAGCTTTAAAGCAATAGTTTGCCAAAAAAAAACAGATTTACACATTTTCCACCTTACTTCAAGTGTAGTCAAACAGCCAAGACATGTTTGGTGGCCAAAGTTGTCTTCTTTAATTTTGCACTGGAGCTACGAGGCTAATGTAGCTAACAAGTAATGGAAGCCTGTAGCCTACAATTAAGCATTGTGCTAATTATGCCCAAATGATCACATACTTGCCTTAGGTAATGTCTAATTATTTGAAACTACACTTTGTAAGATTTGGAGATTCAGAGACCTCTTTGGTGGAAATGTCTAATTGCACGCAATTACACCATATTGTAGTGTGTTTTTTTTCTTCTGACTCACTAATGCTACTTGTTTCAGTTTTAACAAAGTTTCAGTTTCTTACATAGTGCATCTTTAAGTAATCTGAAATAGACTTGCCTATGTGGTTTCTGAAACTGTAAAACACACTGTAATCTACAAAAATGCACAAAATATGGACAAAATATTTTTGTGACTTTTTTGCCAAACTATTTCTTTAACTTTTCAAAATCTCTTCTGCTGTGCTTTTAAAAACCAGAGTACACAGACTGGAGAAACATGGACACAAGCACAAAGGTGTGGTTGGTGTGTCACACCTGCGTTTGATTGTTAAAAGAATTTTGGATGTTCTTTTGGTCATTTATTTGGGTTCATTTGGCCTGTCAGTTTTTTAAACTTGCTAAGTTTGTCTGGCTGCTGTACTCTGGCCTTAAAGGAGGTACTTTATATGTAATTGAAAGACAAATCGGTTGTGCTTCTAATTTCTTTTGTGTCCTATTTTTCTTCTGATTTAATAATTAATGAGTTAGTAAAACCAGCTATATGAACTAACCCCCGAATTGATCCTATTGTTACAGATGTGTTTTGCCCCCCTCCCGCCGCTCTCTCGGCTCCTGTGAGCTGGCCAGACAGCGGGGCAGCAGTGGTTAGGGGTGGGTAGTGAGTGGTTGGATGGGGCTCTGTCTAGGGTGTGGTGCTTTTGGTGATTTTCTGTGGCCACCTTCAATTGTAGGTGTTCACGTCATGCATATTTGAGTGAAAATTGTCTTGGGAATTATGTGGATGCCAGTTATGAGGTGTAAAATGTAAAGATCTTTCCACTTCTGTGTTGTGAACTTTAGCAACTGTGTTTGTGTGCACTCTCGCAGGCATGTTTCTCTCCTGCCTCTGGGTGACTAACACTCTCCCTGTGTTCTTGGGGTTTTCTCTCAGTGTGTCGGAGATGGCTCATTCTTAACCATTCTCTGCCCTCATGCTGCATGGATACTCTCTCTGTGGCCTGGCTTTGGTGCGGTCTGGTCCTCCAGACTCTTCGGCTGCTGGTAATGGCCAGCCTGCAGCTCCAGCACCAGCAGCATCTGCAGGAGGAGATCTGATGGGAGGTAAGCTAGCCCTCCGCTTCTTGCCTGTCTGCCGTTCTCCAGTGTTCTTTGTTATTGTGATCTGTGTCTCATAAAAAAAATTCTGCTACAGCTTCAGTCATGACAGTGCGTTTCAGCTGTGAACTGTGCTTAGGCCTGGGCGATGAACTGTAATGATAATTAACTAAATGAAGTACAAAAATCAGAGACCACTCTTTTGTTTATTTCGTTTCCAGTCAGAACAGCCGTATGAGTTATTTAATTTTCAGTGTCAGGAAAAAAGCAGGAAACGTGAAGGGTTTCGTTCTAAAATGCATTATAGGCTATTTTCAAGAATTAGCTTTTTTTCATAATATATGTTTTCATGATATAATTATCAGTGCTATATCATGATTAATACCTCCTTTATTGAAGAAAGTAAAAATGTGTTTTTCATTATATGTCAGTTGTTAATCTTAAAAACTGTTATACTCAAAATTGTTACAAATTGATATACAGCATAAAATAATACAAAATAACACAAATTTTGGATCGTTGGATAACAAAAACAGCCTGTTTAATTCTAAGGGATAAAGAGAGGTTGGAAAATGGTCATGTAAAAAATGCATTTTTACTTTTTTTGGTACATAAAAACACAAACATCATAAGTGGACCTTAAAAAGTAAAATAGAAGAAAAAGTAAGGATATGGGCCCTTTAAGGAATAAGCCTTTTGTTTTCTTCAGTTTTAGGAGGAGGGGACTATTCTTAAAAGCATTATTAAAATGGCTGTAAAAATTGTTGATACTGAATGACATAGGAAAATATATTATGGTAAGACTGCTGGCCATATCACCCAGCCCTAACTGCTGAGTGTGTGAATTACATTGTTTGCGTGTGCAGTTGACTGAAGATACTGATCAGTGTTGTGTGTGTTCTACATGACATTACTTGTGTGTGCTACTGTTAGGCATTTGATTCTGGTGGGGTCTGTTGGGGTTTGGTGGGGATCGGGCGTGAGTGGGACATTTAAACCAGTGTGGTCTTGCTGTGTGCAGAGTGACTGCAGGCAAAAGCCATTTTTCATCTGTCCTCTCATCTGTCCGTGCCTCTCTGTGCACCGCCGTTCATGTACTTACAGAATTCTACCTGCTTAATGCTCAATTCCTCTGTACTGCTCTCTTCCTCTCTTTTTCACTTCACTCTTATCTTCTCACACTCTGGACATCTCAATCTCACTGCTTTGATCACGCTCCTCATTTTTCTCTTCCTACATGTTCTTTACTCTTTGTCATTGTTTTTCATTGATTTTTTCATCTTCCTTCACTCTGCCATGATTTCTCTCCACTTCTCCCCCTCTTTCTCTCCCTCCGCTCTTGGTCTGGGTCATTGCTTGCTTCCTCCTGTGCCACGGTGAGTTCTGACGCTCCTACGCAGGCTGCTATCCCACAGTGCATTGCTGCATTGCAGTAAAATCCTCAGCTCTGGCTCTCTGGCAGCAGCTTAGTGCTGGAGAGGGGGGAGGGGACTGCTAGCCAGGGTGCCAAGCCAGGCAGACTGTAGTAAAACATGTCTATACCTAACAGTCTGCCACTCAGGCTGAATGGATGGATGGATGATTAAGGAGGAAAATTAAGGAAGGAACAAAGGAGAAATGACTGAATGGATTAAGACTTAAGTTAATGAATGGAGGAGGAAGGGTGCATGCTTCATAGTGCTCTCTAAAATATAGTATAGACACTGTAAAAGGGGAATTTCAACAATTTTTAAAAATTTCTACGTATTCAGTGTTTGAGATGTAAACAAAGCCGTTCAGAGTGGTTTGGCATAAAATGGGTCATTGTAGAGAAACTTACAGTCTCAGATTTCTTTATAATGGTAGTGAAAGGAGTGATATTTACAATGCAAATATAGCCATTTTATTTACTATCCAAAACCACCAGTGAACCAGTGAAGGTCCTTTGAGGTTTTATGTGTAATGTTAATGGTAGAATAGTGATAAAACTGAAAAAATAAGAGGTTTTTGGGGAGTGTTTTGCACCACAATGCCCTGCATGTATTGATGGATTTTAAAAAATATGTTTTAGGCCAAAACTATCTTAAAACAATGTCTCAGGCATCATGCAGCATGTTCATAATGTAATAACTGAAGGTGCGTTTAGAGGCATTAAACTCTTCAGACGTCATTTCACATCAAAGATCTTTGTTTACATCTGTATGTTTTAATTATACAGAAATGTTGAATGTCGATGGAATTCCCCTTATACATGTGCAGTCTAGTGCAGTCTAGCAATGAATATTGTACTTAAGAAGTAGTCCAATGTTTTTTTCCTCTAAAAACATTTATTTTTTCTTGTTTTCAGATTTAAAAAACAATTTAAGTATATTTTTTGAATTTTTTAAATTAAAGTTCTCTTCGAGCAGGATTATATGCTTTATATGGGAGGTTTTGGGTGACATAATTATTGTCGGTGTTTCTCTGTGATTTTAGTCCTGTCCGAATCCACCATGTCAGTAATTTGTACAGACTCTGCGTTCCTGCATTAGTAATACCTTTAACCGATTGTAAAGTGAACCCTAGAAATAAGCCCAGATTATATTAATTCTGTGTGTGGAAAAAGAGTTCTCACCTTCTTCTTTCTTAAATCTGGATTTAAAAAACCAAATCTAAATGTGGCCTACATCAAGCCGATATATTGTCCCACCTCAAGCAATATATTGTCCCACCTCAACTTTGAATATTAAACAGGTAAATGATAGAAAAGATTATTATCTCAGTCAAGTACCGACTCATATGGCAATAAAGTATTGAAACTTAAGCAAAAATATGATGAAGTTTTTTTACTTGTGAGCTCATGGAATTGTATTCTCTACTTGTGAGCGACCAAATGTATTGTGTGGAGCTGCATAAATTGAGTAGCTACTTTTATTTCTGTAGCTTATTCTGAGATGTAAACATTATAGTTGTTCTGTGGTAAAATTACAATTCCCCACCTGCCCATATAAAAATAATTGTTTTTGAATAGTATTTAGGATGGTGCAAGAATTTCCAGCTATTAACTTCCCTAGGGCATAGAACAGGACAGCAACATTACACAGCACAGTATTCTCCAATCATTGTACAGTTATTTCTGTTTCATAGTCAGACCTGATAAAGACCAGAATTCTTAAAATCTCTCTTAAAATAATTTGCTTGTGTGAATGTTGTGGGTAGTGATGTGTTTCTCTACATCATATTTTCCATTTTCCTTCCTCTAAGGAACGCAACTAAAGCTGGTATAACCAGAGTAGTGGTGAATAAGCAAATACATAAATCATAGTCTTATGTTAAAATGTGTTAAAATATGTTTAAATGTTTAAAATATTTCACCCAATGCAATTCTCCATGGAAGCCTATGGGAGTTCATTTTTGCACCATATCCTAACTTAGGAGCATGCAAAAACATCAGATTTTCATTAAAACTGTGAAAACTGGAAAACTGTTTTTGAGGAAAATTATTGAATGTATGATGATGGTGTATCTGTGGTGTGAGTGCTGTGGTGTGGCAAAGTTGTCCTGTGCTGTACAGGTTCTCTGTGTGAATTGTTTGATTTCCTACAGTTGTATTAGGTTTTAATAACAGGTTATGAAGGCTCACCTTTCTGTTTGGATGCTGTAAGACGTGTGTGGTTGTGTAAATTGGCTTTACTTATGTTCATTGGTGTGAGCAAAATAAGCAAGGATATTTTACTTATTCTGTCTCTCTTTCATCCTTTTCTACTGTAGCATTCGGTGACTTGGGGGACATGCTCATGCCAGCCATGGCTCCTCAGGCAGCCGGAGCAGCCTCCCCTGTTAAACCAGCGGGAGGAGACTTGGACTCCACCATGGCCAACTTGGCTGGAAGTGAGTTTCAGTTCATGCTCATACTGAACATTAGGGCAAACAGTACTGCAACTATTCAGTAGGGCTGCACAGTATATAGTTAGTTTATCTGCATTGTAATACTGGCCTTGTACTATTATCACAGAGGACTATAGTATGCAAATGAGCCTCTAACTTCTTTCTGCACCTCCCCTAGTGTCCATTACACTGGCAGAATGCAAATTGACTTGGATATTTTTTATCAGTATGATCAAATAACATATTATTTCCCCATAACTCTGTTATCAAATTAACTAGGACTCTGTTGGCTCTCTCAGTTTGAAATGTTGTTACTCTGTGTTGACCCAGTAGCAAACATTGTAGGGTGAATGGGGAGGGCTAAGAGCTGCTTTCTTGATATTCAAAAATTGTGTACAATTGTCACAATAAAAAATAGCATACACAACACAAACACTTTTATACTTTTGCTTTGCTTGGTTACCTCCAAAGATGACAATCCAGTTTGCGTCGGATTTTGTAAATTATACACTTCTTGTTACACTTATTGTTGCTGTTGTGCAAAAACCTTGTATCTCCAGTTTTGTCGTTCTTTACTTTTTTGCATAATTTAAAAATTACCCTTTGGATTGTGTTAACTTTTCCTGTTGCATGGACAAATAGAAATGAACTAAAATTACTTGGAAAAAAAGCTTTTTACATAAACCTCCATTAAAGTTAAAAATGTTTTTGCCTTCTCCTGTTTTGTTATGACCGCAGCGATATATTCTATCAAGGTTATTCAAATATTAATAATAGTAATAAATTATTGCTAAAATGCAATTTCGACAGGCTAAAAGATGCGAACATGCAAAACAACTCCAACGTTAATATCACAGGCTTGAATTACTCATGATATATTAGGGGTGGGAATCTTTAGGCACCTCACGATTCGATTCGATTCGATTACAATTCAGAGGCTGCGATGCGATTATAAAACAATTATCGATGCGTCTCAATGCATCTTTTTTCTCTATACATGATTTCTATTTTCCTACTGTCTGAGGACTTGGTAGTTTTAAAGCAAAGTATTTGTAATGATCCATAATGTAAATGCATTACGGATCATTACAAATACTTTGCTTTAAATATCTAAAATATCTTTTATTAATAAATCAAATGGAAGTGATGTGGCAAGTGAACTAGAAGGCTCTCATTCAGATCCAGTGGTAATGGGTCTCCACACAGCGCGTTACAGCCATCCTTCCCGTTTTCTTTAGTGATTTTATAATTTCGGTTTTGGTCTCGTGGTAGAGAGTGTGTGTGTGTGTGTGTGTGGGGGGAGCATAACGTGAAAGCCGACCGAGAACAGACAGCAGACAGCAGGTCACATAGCACCGAGGTCTGGCCTCACTAGCAGCGACCGAAAAAACAGAGATTCAGACGAACATTTGGAGGACTTATTCACATTTATAAGCAGCACGGTTGGTTAAATCTGCTGAGAGACTGTCTTTCTCTAAAAAGTTGCGAAAATGAACTCGCTTCTCTTTCGAATTTTCCAGTTCCACCTTAAATGGTGCTGCAGTTACATTCGGCGCCTAAGGCAGAATTTAAGGTGGAACGGAACAATTAGAACGAGAAGCTGGCAAATGAGAAGCGACTTCAGCCTCGTAAAACAGCCGGACGCTGAGACATTTTACAAGAAACTCTTCTAGTTTTGAAGAAAAGTTTTCTGTCGGAGATGGGAGGAAAGCGGCTGTAGCTAAAGCTTAAAGCGGAGCGAAGTGAATCTGCGCTCTCGTTTATATTGTTTAGTCTATACTAGGACATTAACACACACTGAGACATACTGGACATTAAATGTTGTGGCTCCCAAGGTGGTTTGATTTTTGTTGAAAGGTCAAAATGTCTCTTCTTATCATTTGTGTTGTGACTCCTGATCTAACCTGACTTTTAATGCAGAGGGAGCCGGTCGGATTTCTCACTCATCCAGTTGTGTTATAGTTATGTGCCGCCAGAGACCGTCCGGGCGCTGCACTTACCCACTGCCAGTGCAGCCTTTTGCGTTCCATCAACATTACATTATAAATTAAATATTTAGAAAATCGATTTTGACGTTGAATGAATCGATTCAGAATCGTTCACGTCCACATCGCGATGCATCTAAGAATCAAGTTTTTCCCGCACCCCTTATATATATATATATATTTTTTTTTCCTCATTCAGTGGTCAGTGGTTGCTGAGCAACGATGCCATACTCTAAAGGAACAACATTTCTTGGCGGAACACTTGTTTATGTCGATTATTATTAATAATAACATATTTTATATGGGAGGAAAATATATTTATTAGAAACTTATATTTTAGCTGGGAGGAAATATACAGAGTTTTGCTTCTTCTGTATAGGAGATGTAGGAATGCCCAGTTTCTAATATGAGTGTCTATGGCTCTCTTTCAGATTTGGGAATGGGGACCCAGAAACCGTAAGAGCCCTCATCTCTTTCACTTTGTCTCTCTCCTTGTTCTTAACTTTTTGGGTTTTTTTCATTCCTTTTTATTATTATTATTTTTAACTGAATCTTTCTCTCTCTCTCACTCTCTCTCAGAGGTGAAGCAGCAGGAGGTGCAAACTGGCAAGCTCAGGTAGCAGCCCCTAGCTGGGGCATGCCCATGGTAAATGTTGTGTTGTCCTGTAGTTCTGACGCATGGTTTGGAGCAGCATGGCCTTGAGTGGCATGGCATGGAGCCAATCATGTGCCCTCTGTTTTCCGCTGGTTCTTCTAGCTCCTCCTATAAGCTGATCACAGATGCGTTTGGCTATAGACAGCCTGGGATTGGTTATGCTCACGCTAATCAGCAGGAACAGTTTTAACATTTGCAAAAAGGAGGAGGGATAAAATATAAAACCAATGTAAAATAACAAATATTAAAAGAAAAAACAAATATACAGTATAATGCAAACATATGTAACGCCATTATTCATTGTGGACCAAATCAGTAAGTATGTATTTGTTTGAAAAACACTAACATTAGAAAAAACAAATAAATAATGTGATTTTAATGGATGTGTTAGCTTAACCCCCTTTGCAACTCAAGGAAGTTCTTATTCACAGGTAGAATCCAATGCTTAGCTAATCAGTCCTTTATTAAATAAAATCAGGTGTTGATGGAATTAAACAGATCCATGCAATGACTGAAGAGCAGCGAGAGGTCTGAAAACAAATGTGTTCTAACCAACATATCAATGACTTGTATGAAAACTAAAAATCATGTTATTTCTTATTGTATTTATTTTATTTATTGTATTTATATAATTTCTTCTAATGTTATATAGTGTTTTACCGATAAAACACGTTTGCTGCTGAGATGAATAGTTTTAAACAGTTTTCATGGTGGCCTAAGATTTTTGCACAGTACTAAATAATATATCCAATAGGCTAAATGGGCATTTACCTTTTAATTGGTAAAGTTGACAGTTTGGCTAACATCTACTCTGAGTGTGGCCAGTTTTTGCCATTTATTTCTGAATAAAAGCTTCATATTGACAGGGGGAGCTGAACTTTTTCTCTGATAGCTCTGACTTCACTAATACCTGATACAGACCAGGGCCCAGGTCTTTCAGCCCATTAGACTTTATTACTGCTGCTGATTCTAAAGGAGATCCAAAGCTTTAACTGCATGTTAAATTAATCTCTTTACTCTTATTTTAAAACCTGAAGTCTGGTTTTAAAATCCCAGGCCTGGGGACCCTTATGCTGCATACTTTTTTCCCCTGCCCCAGCACATTTGATTTGACTACCTGATGAGTCAAACCAGGCACGTTAGCCAAGGAAAAACACAAAATTGTGCAGTGCCTTCTTGCCCCAGGACTGGAATTCAGAACTGATGCTTTAGACACATGTAGTGCATTGAAGACTAAGAAAGCCCAAAAAGTGCTATGGCTACTTAAAGCGATAGTTCAGTGGAAAATCAAATTTATGCAATTTCCCCCTCAGCCTAGTTGTCATTATTCACCTGAGATGTGTTTGGTGTCTGATGGTTGTTTCTTTGATTTTGCACTGGAGCAACAAGACTTATGAAGAGTGAAGGTCATATTACTGTTTCAAAAACAGATTTGAAATCACTGGTAAAATCTGACAGAAACCTTGTACAAAGTTTGTAGCACATAACAGAAAAACATGTTTTTCAGGTAGTTTTGGTTACTGTGCTAACACAGATCTCCACATCGAGGGGCTTTCCCCACTCACAGCATAACCAGCAAGCTGACTGGCTCTTTTATTGAAGGGTGGGACTTTCTCCGTAAGCTTTCCCATCCAGTTTTCAACCAGTGACTGGTCTCCCTCCTTTATAACGTCTCTGGTTTAGTGTGAACCTTAGGAGAAAGCAGAGGTGTTTTGCCTTTTTTATACATCATAGAATATTTATAATAAGTGAGTGACCCTCACTAGTCCCACAACGGGGAAATGTCACCTCTGTATTTGACCCATACGTGCAGTGAAACACCACATACACACTAGTGAGCACACACGCATACTTGGGGGCAGTGAGCACACTTGCCCGTAGCGGTGGGCAGCCCTATCCACAGTGCCTGGGGAGTAGTTGGGGGTTAGGCGCCTTGCTCGAGGGTACTTTAGTCATGTACTGTCAGCTCAGGGGATCATACCTTCTGATCACAAGGCTGGTTCCCTAACCTCCAGCTCACGACTTTCCCCAATTCTTGCAACCTACATAAGCAAGTCTCTTGAGATTACTTAACAACTTGACACCAATTAAGGCAAGTGTGTGATGATTTAAAAGCAACCTTAAATCAAAATGGGGCCTTTTTGTAGTTTGTTGGTCCGTGTCCCTGATCATATTAAGCACGAATCATCATATTATATTGTTTGAAAGACAAAATTCCTGTTTTCCCATTATCTTCCATCAAAATGACATTTGCCTTACTCTAAAAGGTTTTCTACATGGGTGGGGAAAACAATATTAACCAGTAATATCATGTTTTATGTTTCATGAAAGGAAGATGTGTTATGATTTCATTTTGTAGCCTCGTAGCTCCAGTGCAATACAAAAGAATCAAATTTCAGACACCAGACATTTCTGGTAGGCTGCTTTTGGGGTCGGGAGTATGTTTTATTGAACTATCATTTTAAGAAAAGGCTTTAGATGAATCTACATGTAAAGTAGACTTTCAAACATGTTTGGCTTGCTACTTTCTCCTCTACTCCGGTTAGCTGTTGCTACTCAGATATGCATGCTCGAAGACTGGATAATGATCATTAGCAAAGATGCAAATCAGATAGCTCTGAGTATTCACTTACTCTTCAGTTTTCTACAGGTTGAATTATAATCACTCCAGTGTGTAAAGGTTCTGTGTACATCTTTGTGTGTCTGTGTGTGTCAATGTGTGCAGAGATTATGTGTATGTGTGTGTTTGTGTACTGTGTTACTGTCCAGTCTTGTTTTGTGTTAACCCCCTCCGACTCCCTCCCCCTGTAACTCACTCCCCTTTAGCCTGCTCCCTCCGGGGTCTCTCCTCTCATGGGGTCCCAGCTGCCTTTTGGCATGGTAAGGCTGTGTGTGTATGTTTGTGTTTGCGAGTGCTCGTCCGTGTGTGTGTGTATCTCACACTCCTTTTCTCTCACACAGCCTGGCGCTGCTGGAGCTGCTCCCAGCTCTCCGATGATGTTCCCTCAGCAGCCTATGGTGAGACCACAGTTTCCTGCTGCAGGAGCGCCTGGAGCATCGGTAGTACATTAATGCACTTACAGTATCTGAATGAAAACTGCAGTATCTGTAAAAAGTTTGGAGACATTTGGATCTAAAAGCTTAGGCTCAAATGCTTGGAATTTGTTTCTAAGTCATGTTTTACACTGTGAAACTTATTTTATTAATTTCAGCCTAAGTTGCATGCAAATAGCCATTATGGTTATAGACTTGATGCCTTGTTAATCAAGGACTATGCCTCAGTGTTCTTTTCTGTAATAACTTTCATATTAGATTCCAAATTAATCTGAACACTGTGCTAAAATTAGGAGGCATCAAAAGAGCAAGCGGCACAAGCTGACAACTACCAACCTTGACCCTTACAGAAAAGTCACATATATTTCACATGTGAAGTGTGCAAAACACACGTTTTATTCACATGTGAAATTTATTTTGTTTTCTGTAAGAGGATTCCTTGTGATCTCCTTTTCAACTGCACAGTAAACCATCTTTTTTTATTAGGGGTCCAAGTGCAAAGTGCTGGAACCCTATTGTAATTGTTTGGATTTTTTTTATTTTCTTTATTTTTGTTCAGTATGATCACTTGATGTGTTCATGTGCTAAGGAAACTTGTTTCATTAAATTGACATGCAAGTGAGTTGCAGGAATGTTTTACTTTATGCAGTATGTAATGTGCAATTTAGTTTCATGTAGGCTTCAAACAACTAAAGTTGCATGTAAGTTCCACTGTGTAAAGCCAGTCTAAGGCAAAGACAAATAGCAAAGTTGATGCTTGTGTATGAATTTGTTTCCTAAACAAATGTTTAATAGTAAGACATTTTTTTTAAAATGCCCCAGTAGTTTTCATCAGCTAACAAGATGTCAGGATATATGGAGCTTCTTCAGGCCTCATGAAGCTGACTGAGAAAACGCCAAAAGTGTACAAAGCTACATCAAGGCAAAGGGGGGCGACTTTAAACAATCTAAAATATACTATATGAGCAAAAGTATCCAGACACCCCTTTTAATTAGTGAATTTGGCTACTTTAAGGTGCATTAATGTGCACACAGCTTGTATAATCTCCATAGAAAAGTGTTTCTAATATAATGGGGATGCTCTGGAAAAAGTTCCTCGGCCCCACAGCCTAACGCTGCGTTCTCTAAAATTCTTTAGGATGAGTTGGAGTGGAGTTTGTGATCCAGAACTAATCATCCAACATCAGTAGCTCAACTCACTAATGCTGTTGTGGCTGAATGCAATCAAATCAGCAATATTCTAACATGTATTGTAAAGCCTTCCCAGAAGAAAGCTGGATGAGCATGTATTTTTTATTTATAACATTCACACATTATGAAATATAAAAAATATTGTAATGAAGAAAAATCCTTCTTGAATTGATGTGTCAAGACTTTTGACTTGTACTATACATAAAGCAGAGTTCCAGTTTATGTAATATGCATGATAGTTTGTAGGCACACTGTATGTATTAGTGAATGCAAATTATTTCTCCAAAAGTAGTTTTACGCTTTTCTTTTTTCTTTATTTCATTTATTTTATTTCTTTTTCACGAAGGCAAATCAGAGTGGTCAAGCAGACAAATCAGAATTCAACATTTAAATTATTTAGCAGATACTTGTGAAGTAGACAAACAACATTTAAATATGTTTTCTGTACATCTTTAACAAATGCTGTTATCCAAAACAATTTAGAATGGCAGGTGAGGGTAACTTTAGGAGTCTTGCTTAATGACTCATTGGTATGTTATAGTGGAGTGTTTGATTCATGTCTGGATGGGTGATGGAACGCTGTTCTCTCATGTGGTTCACTACACTATCTAACCTAGTGGTCACCAACCTTGGTTTTGGAGATCTACCTTCCAGCATAGTCAACTTCCAACCACAATCTGCCACACCTGCTCCAGCTAAAAAACTTCTTCATACATCCTTCATTGGCTGGATCATATGCATTAGCGTTAGGTGTTAGATGCATGTGGAATGAAACTCTGCAGGAAAGTAAATCTCCAGGAAGAGGGTTGGAGACCATGGACTGTTACTAACAATTACAATTCACAGACAGAAACCTTGGTCTCAAGAGAAAGAAACAGCGCCATCTTGTGTATTAGGAAAACAATGCATTTTGATCATTGATCGAGTCTAACAATGGGCTTAATTTACAATTCACTATGAATAATTAAATAGCAAAACGCTGATACTTAGGTCTCTGTGTATCAATACTAATTTTAAACATAAAATATTGTGTGTTTTCCCAGATGTCTCCAGGAATGGCTCAGAGCCCTAGAAAGCCACCTCCTCCCAAAGATCCCCTCGCTGACCTGAACATTAAAGACTTCCTATAGATCAGCATCAGGTACCTTCATACAGTTTAAGAACAATGTACAGTTGTTTGCAAAAGTTTGAATACCTCTGGTCAAATGACATGTTTTCTTGATTTTAGAATAGAAGTTAGAATAAGTTAACACATCCTTTAGAGGGAACATACTTACCTTTTTTTGCATTTTTTCTGCAAGGTTAGTGCCATATGTTAAATCAGTTAATAAACAGTAACTGTACACTAAAATGTAAAATGTGGAGCATGTTACCTTATTTTCACTTAAAAAAATCAACAAGTCATTTGACCGGGAGCACTAAAACTTTTGCATATGACTGTACCTCATACATCATACATCTTCAACCATTTTCTGATTCTTAATTATTTGAGTATGTTAAGTAATATTTGGAAATGGAATATGAAGAACTGCAAAAGTGTACTAAAAGCAGGTTTATGTTTTTGTCTCTGTGTTTGATCATAGCTCCTGTTACCCTGAGGAAATGGAGGTGTTCTTCTCTCTTCTGATCAGTAGCTTCAGGGTCTCCTTTCCTCCCTCCCTCCCTCTCTCTCTGTCTAATGTTGTACCACAACCTGTGAAAGTGATCCTGTACACGTGTGTTTGTATTTTAATGTTATCCTTTTGTTTCCAGGCTATATTTAAAAAGATGAACCGTGTAAGGTATTGATGGATGCATCCTTGTACATCTGCAGTGGTGGATGTGTGTTCCTTTTTATTTCTCCTGGCTCGCTTTTCTGTGAGAAACCCCAAACAGATGTTTGACGTTTTCTGTGGAAAAAAAAATAAAATGAATAATATTTCGGTGTGGTAAATATCACTGGCCAATCTTGGGCTCACTTGATCCATGTCGTCATTTGAGGAATTAATTGTCTAGCTTTTAGCCATACAGCTTATGGGAATATATGAATGGACATGACATATACAGATGTATTAAAAGATTGTGTAGCATCTCATTTCTGTTTTTACTGACGTATCGACCTGGTCTTCTTCCTCTTCTGTTGGTCACGTGCGACATGCAACATTTGACTAGGCCTGCTGAGAAAGAATATGCATTTTAGAATATTTTATCTTTAGTCTTTATTTTGAGATAAACAAATGTTGAATATATTTTAGTTATGTTAAAAGTACCTTATGTATTAATGAACTGGTGCAAAGCATTTCATTTGTAAAAAAACATAAAAAAACACTTGTATTCCTCTATCCTGCCGCCTGAATGAAACCGAGTTCAGTTTGAAGAACAGCACTTCGGCATGGATAAATTTCCATGTGTCCAGCCAGATTCTAATATACAGCTGCATCTACAAAGGCTCCCAGCGTCTTGCTCACTTGTAATAACCGAACAGGATATAAACTGGCTGTTTGATGTTGTAATTTATTGCAGTTGACTATAGCAAGAGCAAATGTGAAAGATTGTTATAAAGACTGATGGAATAATGTTATATTTACTGTGGCTGTGCAGGTCTGCTTTGTTTTCTATTTTTCTTTTGTTTTTTTTGATGAATTTTATTTTGGATGGAATATCCCCTCTGCCCCCACATCCCTCCTCTGTGCATGTGAGTCCTGTTGAAATGCAATAAATGATTACCTGGAAAACCCAGGAGTCACTGAGTTCTTAAGGGGCATTTCACTTTTCGAATCGTAAATTCAAGAACAACCAGTGGACAATTGTTCCTTTCAGAAATCATGAGTTTGTGTCTGAAGTGAAACTGACCTCAACCCTGTCATGTAACATGGTTCAGTTTGAATAATGTGTTTTAAATCTTAACAATATTCACTGAATCATTCTTGGCAAAATACTTTCTAGTGATTGAAAAACGCTTTTGCTTGCAATTAACATTTTTCTTTGCATATCAGTCAGGAGTTATGGGTTATACATATTTTAATTAAAACATCATCTGATATTTTGCTCATGGACCATATTTACAAACAATCTATGCATAGCCTCCACCTGATTGGATTGGATAAAACACTAGAGCTTAAAAATGCTCTTCTAGAATGATTTGAGATTAGCTGATATGGGGATTGTTGGCCAATGCAGATATCCAGTATTTTTCATGGGCGTGCAGTTATATGTAAAAGTCATAGGTTAATGTTTGTTGATTGTAATTTGATGTATGTTTTCTCAAAAAAAAATGCAAATAAAAAATTAGTTTCAAAAAAGTAACATCCTTTACAGGGAACAAACTCGAATGTGACATTTTTTCCCACATTTTAGTGTACAATATTGATTTATTTGCTCAGAAAAAGAACATAAAATATAAAATGTGACCACCTTTGCACAGACCACGATTTATGCTTGTTTCCCCCAACATGTAAGATTCAGCAAATAAACAGTCATTGTACATTACAGTGTGAAGAAGTGTGTTCTCAGTACAGCATGCATCAACATTTTCACTCAGAAAGCCAACCCCAAACTTTACATACAACTCCCTCTGCCGACGCAGATATATAAACATTTATAAAATGTAGAAATTGATACTAAACCCACCTGGATTAACATTAGGCAGAAATGTAACATTAATTTGTAGAGGTTACAAATTGTTACAAACGCAGTAAAATGAATTAAACGCAGACATGTTCGCCCAGAGTTGCCTAAACATTCAGCTTCTCTACATTCATGATAAATACATCGTGTCTGTTTGACATATCAGTCAAATGTAAACACCTGCCTGAAGCCAGTATTTTTTATTAATTTTCTGCCCATACTGATAAAATTCTGATATTATCGTGCATCCCAAAATATTCTGAAAAGATACCATTCATGACCTTTAACTCCAAGAAAATGTTAAATTACAGTGGTCAGTTATTACGATATATCATTTTTATTAAAAATTATTCATTACACAGCAAAACATGTTCTTGCGCACACCAACGAGGGATAAAGCACACTAAAGGAGTCATTTCAAAAGTTCTCCAAGGAAGCAAACCCATTTAGATTTCGCATAAAAGCAGAACCATAACATGAAAACTTGGCAGGAGCTTACATAGTGCTACAAAATGTAGCTCAATCATGCTAGATAAGACTCCAGTGTGGTCCATATCACTAAGTTTTGGCACAACACATCGTGAAACGTTGCCTCTATAAATAGAAGGATACAGTGCTTCTGACCTATTTAAAATGTCCCATAGTGTCAGAATGGTGATCATAATAGGTCAAGGCCGTAGTGTTAGATAGGTGTCCTCAGTAGATAAAGGTATAATAGAACACAGCACTGATGGCCAAGAGTGCTACAGAGAGTATCATATTCCTCCTGTTCTCTCCTCGCAGCACCTCCAGCTCCTTCTCTGAAAGACAAGCAAAGAACAGACGTCTTCAGTAGCATAAATACAAGAAACATCACTACACAGACATTTTTCACTATGATTACTATCAGTAGCATTCTTTGACCATACCGTATTTCTGTATGCTCTCATTCATGATCGTCATTTCATCTTCTAGGGCTTGTCTGTGGGCAAAATGCATAACTTCCGTTAAAGCTTTCTCCAGTATATGGTCACTGTCATTACTGTCCTCTGTATGCACTCTCACCTGTCCTCGTCTGAAAGCTGCTCCTGTCGGTGCCTGAACTCTGCCCTTTCCAGACTACTCTGACAGCGCAATCGCTGCTCCTCAATACGGTCAATCTGGGAAGAAAGTGTTCCATTTAATACATATTGATCCCAATTGGAAAAGAAAGAACGTCCTTAGAGAGGATCATTGCGACAAAACTTTGGTTTATTGCTTCTTGAAGGCAGGAAAATGCATCAAGTCAGTATCACATAAGCAGGCATATCATCAGAATTGTAACAATTTTTTTGTTTTTTCAGAAGGTTTTAACCATATGAGTGGCGTAGGTCATCAGCTCATCAGTGTCCTCTCTCTACAATACCCAGCATACATTATACAAATACATCAAACAACCATTGGGAATCCTTGTGGTGTCAATCAATCCTGACTGCTAGCCTAGCCACCAATCTATAGACTAAAAAAATACAACCAAGGTAGCATCAGTGTAACTGACAACTGTTTCAACCAGAGAGAAGGAGCCAAAGGAACTATCTTGCCAACTTTAACCTGTTGCACTTTCATATCTGATGAGTCAATTCTGTCATTCAGGTAATGTCAGGTAAAATTCTGTCTTTCCACTGTAACGATTATTTGATGACAGTTAACACAGTTAATACGTTAATAAGATATTTGGAGTTATAGCACACAGCCTTAGCCTTCAAACTGGATATTCTCACTCTAGAGCAGGGGTGCACAACTACAGTCCTGGAGGGCTGATGTCCAGCACAGCCTGAAGGCTTCCAGCTCAAACACACCCACTGAAACTGACAATTAACAGATGAGTGTAATCAGGGGTGCAAAACATGGTGATGAATAAATTCTTCATTTTGGCTGGAAAGTGTCTTTAACACCAGTGACTGAATCACTTCATTTCAAGCTGTAAAGCAGAGTAGCTTACAAAGTCCATGTGATGTGGTCCTCAATTCCTTACCTGGGAACCTACAGCTTGACAACTTCAGGTCCTCCCATCTCCACCAGACCCAATTCACACCTTTATTTATTACTTACTAAGCCCCCCCAAGAGATTCAGGTAGTTATGTCTTTAGTAAGATTAACAGTAGTGCTGGGCTAAACTTTGTATGGAAACGCAGAGGACGGTTTTAGTGAAGGAAATTCCTTTCCTGAGAGCATTTCAGTGTTTTTTTCCCTTGTAGTACGTGATTCAACTCATCAGGTGATTATGACGCCCTGAAGACTTAAATAAAGAGCATTAAACCGAAGAAAATACTGAACTATTCACTGCTGACACTCAAGACTGAACCTGCCCCTCTCTGACACAGAGTCTACGACTAGCGGGCTATCAAGTAAAACCGTGTTTCCTAGCTTCGTTCATCTTATTGGGTTCCTGTATTTCTCCTTTGAACACGGTCCCAGCCGACACTACAGCACAGCATGGAAGGATGCAGGATTAAACCGCTGTATAATCAGTAAACGTAGCACATTCCAGCTCACCTCACTCGCTACACTTATCTTCTCTTTTTTCTCTTTCTTCATGTTCTTTGATTTTGTCATTTTGATCACTGGTGTGAGTAAAGAGAGCTATAAAATCCCTCTCTGGTTAATGCTGACGTACTGCTTCTCCACTCTCTGCAGTGAAGGAGACGTGTAAATGCGGACACCGCCCCCTGCCGCACTGTAGGTAAAACAGTCTAACGAGGCCGTGTTATACAAGAAAAGAATAAGAGAGGAAGAACAGTCGCCACGGGATAAAAACACACGACATGTAGATATAATAATAATAATAATAATAATAATATTCATCATCATTATTATTATTATTGTTATTATTATTATTATTATTATTAATTTATAATAATAATAATTATTATTATAAATTATTATTATTATAAACGGTGAGATTCTTAAAAACAGATGTATATTATTACCTTGGGGGGTATAATAATCAGTATAACCACACAGAATAGCCACTGTAAAACACTGTGAAGAAAAAGCAAATCCCAACTTCTGTTCTCGGCTCCATGTACATACACTTTCCAAGCCATGGAGATTCAGTGGAGATCTAAAGGGAACTCAGCATTTGAGAAATTGGTGGCTAGTTTTACTTTAACCTGAGTCATTATTTCCTTCAAATTAATGACTTTTTTGGTGATTTATGGGTTTTAGGGAACTTTTTTACTCTATAAGTAAGTGTTATAGCTATGCTGATCCAACTTTATTTCATTCAAAATAAACTTTGTCTCAAATCCATATAAGAAAGTGTCAACAAATCCCGGTCATGTCATTGTTGTGTATATGTACATAATAATATGTATAGGTAATCTTATGGATCTGTATGTATGTTTAATAATAATAATAATAATACATTATACTTGTATAGCGCTTTTCAAGAACTCAAAGACGCTTACAGGTTTTCGAAATACAGAACAGTAAAGACAAGCATGAGAACATGAAGCACAGTCATAACATCACAAGCAAAACATAGCAGGACTTGGCAAAGGGCTGGTTTAGGATTGAGAACAGTTATAAGCAATAGAAAAGAGATAGGTTTTAAGTTTAGATTTAAAAGTGGAGACAGAGTTGGTTTGTTGAATATGTGAGGGAAGAGAGTTCCAGAGTCGGGGAGCCAGCCTAGAGAAAGCACGATCACCTTACCCATGTAGGTTGGAAGGTGGGACAGTGAGTAAACCAGCAGAGGAAGACCTGAGAGTGCGAGTTGGTGAGCAGCAGAGCTCTGTACCATCTGGAGTTTGCATAAATGGGATGAGTTAATACCAGCATGTAGAGAGTTACAATAGTCCAGGCGACTAGAAATGAATGCATGAATAAGGGTTTCTGCAGCAGACTGAGAGAGTGACGATCGAATTTTTGCAATGTTACGGAGATGGAAAAAAGAGGTTTTAACTACAGAGTTGATGTGTGCACTGAATGAGAGAGTTGAGTCAAAGAGAACACCCAGATTTCGTTTCGTCTCGATGGAAAGAGAGAAAAGAGAAGTTTTAGAGAGAGTCGATTTGGATCCTATAAGAATAAGTTCTGTTTTGTCACTATTTAACAAGAGAAAGTTGTGCTTCATCCAGGTTTTAATGTCTGTTATGCAGTTTTCAAGCTGGGTGAGGGGTGGATTTTTAATAGATTGAGTGCTAATGTAAATCTGTGTGTCATCCGCATAACAATGAAAGTTTAGCTTGAAACTACGTATTATGTGGCCAAGAGGAACCATGTACACAATAAACAAAAGAGGTCCAAAGACTGAGCCTTGAGGGACCCCCTGAGTAACCACAGACGTGTGAGAAGTATGGCCACCGAGGGTGACAAACAGGACAGTGCCCCTAAAGCCCAGATCATGCAGCCTTGATAGGAGGATTGAGTGGCTCACCGTATCAAAGGCTGCACTCAAGTCAAGTAGTAGAAGCATGCTAAGGGCACCAATATCGGCAGACACTAGGAGGTCATTAGTGACCTTTATTAAGGCAGTTTCTGTGCTATGAGAGGGACGAAATCCGGACTGGAATGGTTCAAAGAGGCAGTTAGCTGATAAGTAATACTGAAGTTGGCCAGCCACAGTTCGTTCAAGGTTTAATGCACTTTATTTAACTATTATCTATTATTATTCTTTATTCTATGTATTGTATTTTTATTTTACTTTTTCCTTAGCTAAATACTTGATAACAGTCTACTTGCTTGTCTGGTCTGTTCAGTATGTTACATGTCATATATGTGTGCACTCACCAAGACAAATTCCTTGTATGTGTAACATACTTGGCAAAATAAAGCGATTATGATTATTAAGTGTAACTGTGTGTATGTGTTTGTGTGTGTGTATATGTGTGTGTTTTCTGAGGACACAGATAGTACAGTGGCATGCACATTTTGAGGGTGCATCATGTGATTTTACAGCATACATGTATACTGCATATACTATACATGAATGAGTTCACAGAATCAAATTCCTCATAATTTATTGGCTCATATGATACAAAAGTTGCCCTGGGCACTGTTTGAATATTATAAGCAATAATTGCTGATGTATATACACTATATGTCCACACATTTGTAGACACTTTCTCCTCCAGTGTTTCTTCTGGGTATTAATAGGGAGTTTGTCTCCTCTTTGCTGCAGTAACAGAATCTACTCTTCTGGGATAGCTTTAGAAGTTGGAACATTGCTGTGAGGATTTGATTGCATTTAGCCACAAGAGCATATGTGAAGTCAGGTGCTGATGTTTAGTTCTGGATCACAAACTCCACTCCAACTCATCCCAAAGATACTGGATGGAGCTCCATTACTCCAGAGAACATAGTTTCACTGCTTCACAGCCCAATGCTGGGGGGCTTCATACCCTTCTAGCTGACGCTTGGCATTGGGCATGCCACATTGGGCTCATGTGTGACTGCTTCAGAGAATCCCATTCTATTGGCAGTGCTATTCTATGGAGACTATATAAACTGTGTGTATGTAATTAAACATTGTCAGCAATGAGTGCACCTTAAAGTAACTGAAGTTACTAATTAGGAGGAGATGTGTAGATACTGTTGGACACATAGTGTATCATAAAGAAATGTAAAAAAGAAAAATGACATCATAGATTAAAAAAAAAACATTTTCCATGAACCTCCTCTTACTTCCTGGTTAAAACGTATGTCATTATCACTACAGCCACTAAGGCAACACCACCAGTCAGCAGCACTGATAGCTCAAATGAACGGGAGGCAGGAGCAGCAAGCTGAGGCTGTGCTTTTAGTGGGGCTTTTTCAATAAGTGAATCTGAAGACGGCTCGGAATTATTGGGTTCATCAGTTAACTCTGACTTAGAGCTCATATGGCTTTCTGCTGGTTCTGGTGCTGCTGTGGAGAAAAAAGGAAGTTCCTGTGGGCATGGAAGGTAATGTAATGCATCCGAGATCATTTCAGGTGCTGAGATGAAGGCAGGGGACTCAGGGAGAGGGGTTGCAGGAGTAAAAGTGGTCAGTGGAACATTGTCCATCATTTCTTCCACTTCTGGCTCCTCCACACACATCAGAAGCTCTCCTGCCTCTGGAGGCTCCAGGTCAGATTCCTCTAGGGACAGGACAGGTGAAACGGATGCATCAAACTCTGCTCTCATCTCCATAAGCTCTTTATCACTCAGCGTGCTGCTCTGGACCTCCATCTCTGCTGACTCCACTGACTCCGCCCTGCCTAAGAGCCCCACCTTTTCCTGCAGTTGGATGATATCAAAATGGTTCTTGCTGTGATCTTCTGGAAGCAGAGCATTCTGCTCGGCATCCAAGTTCTTTGCACCAGACTGCGTAGAACTCAATGAGGCCTTGGCTTCAGCCATGCTGTCAGTCTGTGTGTATGTTGGCCTGCTGTGACTTTCCGCTGAGTAAAATTTCTGGGCTCTTCAGGTTGCCTATTTCCAGACAGGATGAAAAATTCACTGCTGGCCTCAAAGAATGAGACTTCTTTTCTTTAGCAAGCACATCCACCTATACCATGCAATGAGATTGAAAGAGCATTCTTTTAGTCCTCTTAGCAGATTTAATATTCATGTACACTGCCTATTAAACATTTGGAAACACTTTGCCTAAAACAATTGTTTACTTTGCCAAATTAGAGAGACCAGAGGTGTCAAGTTTTATCCACTGTGGCTGCAGGTTTTTATTTCAACAAAGCAGGAGAGCAAGTGATCAATTGTTTGTAGACTGAGATCAACTGATTAAACAAGTGGAATCAGGTGTGTTCCAGTTTGTTTGGAATGAACACCTGCAGTCACACTGGCCCTCTGTGGGTAAGACTGGACACTCCTGAGAGAGACCCTTTCAATAGTGTGGATTTTTGGTGAAATATTTCTGTCTGGAACAATTATGGTGCATCATTAGGGCTAGGACCACATATCAGTTTATCCATAGTTGCCGATAACTGCCATGGTCAATAAGTAGAATATTCATTTTTCTTGACATTTTATATGCATGAGCGTTTTGCGCTCTGATTCATGATCTGAAACTGCAGTCCAGGTTTTAATTCATTTAAACACATAGCAGAGAGTGTCACAATGGAAACACAGACTCACATATTTTGTTTTTTACAGATGTAACACAGTGAAACATTGTGTCACACAATGTTTGTTTATTTAACATTGTGTTATTTAAAGGTGAATTCCAATGTTTTTTCATAAATTTCTATATGATTCAATTGATTACTCTGTTCTAGAGAAATGTACTGTGTCAGAATTGTTCACAACAGTGGTGATAGAAACCAGATGCCCAGGCCTCTGAAAGGTCCCGCATAGAATGTAAGAACATGAAATGTATATGAACACATTGCCTTAAACCTGGAAAATTGTTTTATTTTAGGCTTAAAATAAGATTTTATTATAAAACTTGCTTTTTTAAAATATTAAATATTTCTAAATATTTTAAATATCTTTAAAACCATACAGTAGGGGGACCATATGTCCTCTCTTTTTAACTAGTGAGTTCTCTACAATGAACTATTTCACATCAAACAACTCTGAATGACTGTGTTTACATCTCAGCCATTGTACTATGCAGGAATTTGAAAAAATAGTGAAATTCCTCTTTAAAACTGAGAACATGGAAGAAGGCTCACAGGAAGAAATGGATCCATGGATCAGTTACAGTGACAACAACCAAGTTAGCCTTTTTCTTTTTGTCTGCCAATCAGAAAAAGGGCAGCAAGAAAACTTGGTTCTTTTGTATGAAAAATCAGGACAGCACATAACTTGGTTGATAAAACAAAGGCATTAGAGTAACTCTCCATGTGAGTCATATGGGATATTTTACTCAATGTCACACACCTGCACCGATAAAAATGCAGGCAGGGCAACGGTCCAATCTGCCCTTCTCTACCCCTGCATTCTTGTCTATATATAGGTATGCATGCCCACATCTGACTATGTAAAACCTCACCATGTACACTGCCATCTGCCCCCATGAGTGGAAGCTATTCCAGATATTTCGCATGTCATTAGGAAGAGGACATGGAAGCCATCCTGGTGATAGAGGATTGGTAGCTCTCTTAGAAAAAACACCCCAGTGATTTTTTTCTAACAGAGCTATTCTTCACCAGCCTTCACACAATTAGACTGAACTGAACTATAAGTTTTTTATGCTGAAATTGCAGAAACTTGAATTCTGCTAAATTGCAGACTTCTACTTAAATTCACTGTAAATTATGGCAGTATCAAGAGTAAAGGTCTGAATTATAAGAAAGAGGTCAAAGTAAAATGGGAATATTCTAACAGCACAACAGGTCACAAAATTACCGACTTAATATGACAGCCCCTCCTACAAACATAGCTGGTCTCTACTCTGGAATGTACCCGGTCTCTACACTGTCCATTCCTCAGATCTCACAGCCCTACCCTAAACCACAACATACGTTCACCGGAGTCAAATAACTGTGGCTCAAATTCTCAAACCGTGTCACCAATGTTGTAACAACAGCAAAAATGTTCTTAGGGTAAATCCAAAATCAAAATATACCTTTTTAATCTTTGTTAGTTTATATCCCTTGTCATTTTAAGCATGATTTATCATGTATCATTTAGAAGACAAATTTCTTGTTTTCACATCTTCCATCAAAATGTAATCACTTTTGCTCACCTTTGAAACCTCCTATGGGTTTTGATTATGTCACTGTGCACCAATGGGCGGGGAAAATATTAACCAATGATATCACGCTGCACCTCTTACTTCCACCACCTCCCACTTATTATCTAGATCAGGGGTGCCCGATCCTGGTCCTGTAGATCTACCACCCTGAAGAGTTTAGCTCCACCCTTAATCTAACACACCTGATCTAATAAAGGCCCTCAGGGGCATCTGAATATTAGATCCAAGTGTGTTGGATATGAAATATCCAGGACCTGCATTGGGCTCCCCTCCCTGATATTGTATTTCAATTAGAAATATACATGATAGTATGGAAGGAAAATGCACAATGATTTTTATTTCATTTATTTAGTCTAATGTATGTTAATTTAACAAGTAATTTGAAACCTTTCTATTGGTTTAGTCTTCTTGAAATGTTCACACAATATACTTACAGAATAATAAACTCCAAAACAGTTAGATTTTGATTAATAACTTCACTCAAAGTTAGGTCCACAATTAAGGCATTCATGTCACTACATTAATAAATATACATAGAGCTGAAACAGCAATGAGTTAAAGTCACACAGAGCCACATAAGCCTCCATTACAAACACCATCAAATAGTAGAACAATTACAGAAGAATTTGTACATGGGTCAAATTCTTTTACAACTTGGCAAAAAAGACCTAAGATTTGGCAAAAAGCAACAAATTATTTTTAAATATTTCATTAAGTAGATTGTTCATAGACTGGACAGGTTTCAAGAAGGACATGAATCATTACTACAGGTGTGATAAAAAACACCAAACAGGCTGGAAAGTAATCCGGCAAATTTGGTGCTACTTTGGATAAATCAATTCAATCTTATTGCATTGCATTTGGGAAACTGTCTAATAGTAAACAGAACAGTAGGTGAGTAAGTAAACTTTTTCCCATGCTAAACATAACACTTGACGATTCTGATGCAACAAAACAACACAACACATTGAGACAAGTCATAGGTAAACAATGATTTTACAGTAGAACATCAACTATACTGTGTTTCAAATATAGACATGTGTTTCACTACTCTATACAAGATCTATTATGCTGGACAGAAAAAGTGCACATCATACATAATTTAAAAGTGTTTGAAATAAATGCAACGCTCTCAACCAAAGCGCTGTAAAATGTCTTATATATGGTCTGATTAGCAATAAAGGAAGCTAGCTAGCTGAGAAAATAAAGCCCTTGCTGCTCCCTTTCTAGGATTTACATTGGTCCCATTTCGGCTTATTATCTAGGACTCCAGTATATTTACTCAATAGGTTGACCTTTGCTGGTGGTCAAACAACTTCTAAAAAAAAGGAAGATAATATTAGCTAGTTTGAGCTAGAGGTCAGTTAGATCTCATTCTAATGAATAGAGTGAATACAACGACTAATAGGATTTCTGTCTGATGCCAATGAAAGATCAGATAGTTGAAACATTAACTCATGAATGGTTTTGGTTGACACCAAAGGGCACAGCAGGCAGGTTAGCTGTCTGGTTTAAAAATAACTGAGTAAGTTTATTTTGGTCCTTAATGTTATGAAGCAGAGAGACACAGTAATAGTCTCTCTCTGAATTCAAACATACACAGGAGATGATGGTGGCAGTTCAGTTTAGCACTGTGACAGTCTAAACCCCTTTAACATTCTGATTTAAAAATAAATCACCCTTAGTCGTCCTCAGAGGTAAGTAGTAAGTTATAGTTAGTTACTTAGTTTCTCAGAGGTAAGCAGTAGGTAAGTAGTATAGTTACTCATTACAATGTCATGACTGTTAACATCAGTGCTCTATTCTTACATTTGGTCACACATTCATGACGTTGGTTCAGAATGACCATTTTCATATTACTGACATTAGTAAAAAAGATTTCTTCCACTCACTACATGCTTCCAAACTGGAATCAGATTTTTTTTATTCCTATGTCTATGGAGTATTTCCACTGTTTAGCTTTTTTTTATGCAAATACACCCACATACATGCAGAATAACAACATTTTGGCTTTTTCACACATAAATCTGACTCCTGTGAACACAAAAGCTCAAAAGAAGCCTTACCTTTCTCATCAGTTACTTCTTAGCAAGACTTTTCGTACTGTGGAGAAGACACACATTCACACACATTGAATCAGCATGCTGTCAGCTCTCTTCAGCCCCCCTTCACCGCCCCAACACCCACCCCCCTACCACCAAAAAAAATAAATAAATAAATAATCCTGCTCTGGGAATGATCGGCTATGTTCATTCTGACATGGCATAAAGATAAACGGACGCAGCGTTTTAATCATTCAAAACAGGGAATAATAAGTGTAAAATCAGACACGGTATGAAGGACTTTGGTATAACAGAGCAAAATGTAGCAGTCTGTGAAACATGCCGACAGACCGAGGATCAGTACGATAAAAATGGCGTTTCTAGATTCTGGATTTTTTGTTCACATTTGTGTGGCTTATTAAAACAATAAACTGTATGTCATGCTTCAAATAATCATTTACAAATCATAAAACAGAAATAAAATAATGTTTTAAAATTCGTCTCTTTAATCCTGACTAATCGTGTGTTGTCTAAGCAGCTGATCGCTGATTGGTCTCTGAAGGGGAAGTGACACGTCATGTGACGCTACGCTGTTGGCTGAGAGTCAGCTGATCCGCTCGGGACATTTCTTTTCTCCGTCACGATTCTGTGCTCGGTATGTTTTAATGGTTTAGCAGCTAAATTTCATTTGGAAAAGACCAAGAAAGCAGGTGTTCTGTCTTAACTCCGTTTTACTCTGTGAGACGTTAGAAACACTCCAGCAGTCATGGCGCTGAGCGACGCGGACGTGCAGAAGCAGGTGAGTGAATGAGCGAGCGACGCTGTATAACCTTCAGACCCGCTCTGAGGGAAAAGACAGACCCACAGACACCATAACATCTCGCATCATCCTCAGCTCAGGCGGAGGCGACCAGATCGTGCTGAAATTGTCGACAATGTGTTCTAGTCTTCGAGTGTTTTTTTTACTGCAGGGTGCAAAACACTGTAAACGCGAATGTGTACATGCGTTGAAGAAGCAGTTAATCTAGAATGTATTTTAAAAATAATTTTAAAAATATTTACTTTCAGATTTGCTTTGAGCGAACTTATTCCTCATGATGTGTGAGTAAATGTGTTAAGAAGTGGATGAATATATAAGTATATGGATAGATGAATGGATGTATTAATGATTAAAAGCATTAATACACGGATGAATGAATGAAATGGATGAGTAAATAGATCAATGTGTGAACGAATAAATGGATGAAGGGATGAGTAAATAGACTAATGAGTGAATGAAGGAATGGATGGATGAGATTAATGAAGGGATAGTTACGTGGATGAATGAGTAAATCAAAGATGGAAGATATTTATTTGTGCTATAAATCACAGGAACTCTTCTAAATACAAATAAAACTGCACCTAATGAAATGAAACCGGCTCACTGGGCTAAATCCTTATATGAAAGACTGGAGAGGCACTCCGGCCACAATGAAAACTGTAACCATTGCTCATTCTCAATAGTTGTATGACATATTTGTGTAATGCATGCTGGGCATTGTAGTGAGAGAACATGATTTCTTTTAAACCAGTGGGGCTCATGGATATAATGCTGCACTGCAGAATTCTGCATAACAGAATAACATGATAAATAATGTGTTACACTCTAGTTTTAAGCTTAAATGCCCCTTTAAATCACTGAAGCACACACACACAGACACATTCCACACCTCTGTTCAAGAGGCCTTGGGCTCCTAATTAAAGTCTCTTAATAAATACTGAAAATTCTGAAATTAATGTCCTTCACTGAAATAACATCAGGGTTATATGTTCTGATTGGATACATTTATGTGGCATATATTAGATGAGAGCACTTCAGTGGCCTCAGCTTAGTCTTGTGGAAATATTTTGTTGCTGTGAAGAAGTGTCTTTTTAACATTTAGAATCAGTGAGAATTTATTAATATGAATTGAATTTGTTGATTTTTATCATCTTTTTTTTTCTTTCTCTCTCTTACCAGATTAAGCACATGATGGCTTTCATTGAGCAGGAGGCCAATGAAAAAGCGGAGGAAATTGATGCCAAGGTAAACATCTACAAAAAGTATTAGTTATAATGTGGCAGGGATTCAGTAATAAATATTTTAGTCTATATATAGTCTCCCTGATCTCTCAAAGAAGGTGTATTTGTAATGTTTCATTATGGAGCACAAACATTAAATGTTACAAAATGTTTTTGGAAACCTGAACTAAAAAGGATTTAATTAAGTTTTCAGTGGCTTGACTGTAAGCATCTCCTTCTGTAGGCAGAAGAAGAGTTTAACATTGAGAAGGGTCGTCTGGTGCAGACTCAGAGACTGAAGATCATGGAGTACTATGAAAAGAAGGAGAAGCAGATTGAGCAGCAGAAGAAAATGTGAGTCATGTTCTGCAGAGAGACGTGCCTGGGTGATTCCAGGATTAGACCTGAAACTTCCCTTCCTCAATCTAGAGCAGCAGCAATTCAATAAATGATGAATCTGTGGACTCTATTGAATAATCTATTGGTGGTAAATCTGTTGATTGGATTAAAGGGGAATTCCAAATTTCTACATAATTTAGTTGTTAAGATGTAAACAAAGTTATTCAGAGTGGTTTGATTTGAAGTGCTCCATTCAAGAGAAACTTAAAAAGTATGAATTTTTCACAGTGGTGGTGATAAGAACCAGACATCTAAAGCGCTTAATGGTCTCTTAAAAGCTTTCACAGAAAGAAAGCCTACATGAAATGGCTATGACTATCTTTGACACCTCCACTTTTTCCATAATTATTATCTTTGATGAATGATAGACTTTGTCAGCTCACTGTTGCAGCCCTGTCTCAAACTGTCAGTACTCATTTTGCATGTGCAGAATAATTTAATGTATATTTATGCAGTCCTCATGGAGGACCTGCTTGTAAATATGTAAAGTAATAATGATCTCCTGCCCTTCCACAGTCAAATGTCCAATCTGATGAACCAGGCCAGACTGAAGGTTCTGAAGGCTCGTGATGACATGATCTCGGTTTGTAGCACTTTTCCTTTTGGGTTTCTGCACAAATAATCAGGATATTTCAGGCATGCTGGATGGTGTGTACATGTTGGTAACAGTTTTGCTGTGGCGTTTGTGTAGGACATGCTAAACGAGGCCCGTCAGAGGCTGGCTAATGTAGCCAGGGACCCGTCCAGGTACTCGGCCCTGATGGACGGACTGGTCCTACAGGTGAGCCAGTACATTTCAGAGGAATGGTTTGATTGTCCAGCCATTATCCATGCATTCTTAAGTAACTATAGTAGTTCTAAACTTCAGGGGGTGATCAAGTACAAATTATTGTGTCTGTAAACTGGTTCTGCATCAATTACAATAATAGAACAATGGTGGCAGGTCATAATATGGATGAGAGTTTTGTTTTTTTAACCATCAATAGCTCACACATGTAGCATCAAGTCTGAGTAACAAGTCTGAGACCCCCTTCCCAGCTACAGCAATCAAACAATAAAGGAAATTGTATACCTAGCTACTGGTCACACTTAAAGGTTTGGAAGTTGATGTGCATCATTACCTATCAGGTATAGCGGGCTAACATCCAGTATATTTCACAGCAGCATTACATTTTTCATCAACTGTAATGTAAATAGAGCATGACAAGTTTTAAGTTCAAATCATTACTCTGTAAAACAGCAGTATACAAATTATAAATATAGATCTAACCTGAATGTCTGTTACAAGCAGTTCTAAACTTTAAAGTTCCCATATCATTGAAACTGAATTTCTTGCTTTTTGTAGTACAAGAATTGCTAAAGTTTCAAAACATACCATTCACACTTCAGTCCATACTGTCCATATATAGAAACTGAGCAAAAACAGCCTGTTTTGAATTCATTGCTTCCGTGAGGCTATAAACACCAACACATTTACACATTTCTGCCTTTTCAGCAGTTTAGACTTTTTTTTTTTAAATTAGGCATAATACATAGCCAGTCAGAACAGAGGATATTTACATATATCAGGTCTTAAAGGCACAGTAACAGAAACAGCCTGTTTAATTCTAAGGGATAAACAGAGGTTGGAAAATGGTTAGTAAACATGAATTGTTTACTAAAACTGTTTTTGGTACTTATGAAATGAAAGAAAAATGTAGGATACAGGCACTTTTAAAAGCTTCAAACGTCCATGTTCAGGTCATGACACTAAGCTAATACCGCAAACTGTTGGAAATTAGCATTCTTGCGGTGTTGTAAATCCAATAAACACACCTCTTATTAAGCAAATTAAAAGATTTCCACATTAAACATTGCCATGTAACGACATACTTACAACTTGACTGTATATGACTCTCAGTGTAAACAAAATACTTATAAGCAAAAAACCTTTGAGCATGTCTTAGCCAATCAAACTTTAGAGCAGATCCTACCTGCCCCATCAAGAGCAGACTGCAGAATGAGGAGTTAGGCATCCTGGGCTTAAAAAAATTAAGGACTCTACGGGGCATTTTACTCTGTGTAATGGATTTGATACAGAATCACAGATAGGCTGCGAGAATCTACCACCTCAGCCTGTTCATATTTCTCTTACAGCCTTTTGGTGGTGCTGTTGTTCTTGAATCTACAGAAATCAAAACTAATCAGCTTCTAGTCACTTATTATCTGCCACATGGATGCCAAAAATGAAACATTATTTTGATGCCTCTTTTTCTATGAGTTTTTTCTATAAGTTTCAATATTTGTTGAATGGTTAAAGGAAAAAAAGACTACATCAGGGGTTTGAAACTGGTCCTCGAGGGCTGAATTCCTGTACAGTTTGGTGATTTTCCTTCTCTAGTGCACCTGATTCAATTAATCAAATAATTACCAGGTTTAGCTGGTTGACTAGAACAGAGAAATCACCCAACTGTGCTGGTCTCCACCACCCTTGGACTAAATTGAAGATGAGGTGTGCAAGTGAGCAACGAACTGAGCATGCACACTACAAGACAGCTTGGTTAATGTCCACCATAGAACCACTACAATGCTCAGAATCCAGCTTGGCTTGTGTTGCAGTTTGAATTGTATTGTGACTCATCTTGGATTGCTGCATCACGCGTGTGTTTAGGGCCATAAGTTTATGACCTTATTCTCTGATTGCTAGCTCCAGATATACTGGAAACACTCTTTCCCGAAGATTCTGATTTCTGAAATTCAGTTGTGTTCTGAGACCTTGTGATGTTATTCACAAAAGCTTTTCTTTTTTTTTTCTTGTCTTTCAGGGTTTCTACCAGTTGCTTGAGCCCAAAGTAACCATTCGTTGCCGCAAGCAGGACTTGGCCTTGGTGCAGGTCAGTTTTTACTTATTTTTAAGTATTAAGCATTAGGTGTGAGAGAGAAAAAATTATACAGTGTAATATTGTGATATTCTGTGTAACAGAAGTCAAAGTATTATTTTATTATTTAATTCTAATATTTTTAACATTCATTAATCCCATTGTTAGAGTAATAGCTTATCAAAATGCATTTCTGTCTCAATCCACTAGATGCCCCTGTTTTAAATCTTTGTCTATTAAAAAAAAAAAAAAATGTGTGTGTGTGTATATACATGTAAGGGCAATGTTTTCAGAATATTTATTTGTTCCACTTAACAGTTCTGTTTCTCTTCAATAAATATTAGAGAGGAACAAAATTTAAACTTTTAAAATAAGAACATGCCCTCAAAAGTAAACAATTGCAGTCACAATACGTAGCACATCAAAATTCTTTATATATGGTAGTGGAATCATATTGTAGTTCATATATTGTGATATCGTATTGTGGGGTGTGCAGTGATTTGCACCTCTGCGAATCACTGTTCACAGAAAAATGAAGAGGAACACAGTATTTGCACTGAAACATCAGTTTAGGACAAATATCTCTCTCTCTCTCTCTCTCTCTCTTTGGTCCTTAGGCTGCAGTGCAAAAAAACATCCCAATCTATAAAGCAGCTGCGAAGAACAATCTTGAAGTCCGCATTGACCAAGACAGTTTCCTCTCTCCAGAAGTGTGAGTAACAATTCTAATCAGTTCTAGTTTCCATATTGTTTTACATTGAAATCCTAAACCATGCACTGGCTTTCACTGATTCCAGAGTTTTTCTAATAGCTGTTGCCTGAATCTAAAGTTTTATAGTATATGTAAATGTGAATATCCCTGTTTGTGCAGCTCGGGTGGTATTGAGATCTATAACGCAGACGGAAAGATCAAGGTGTCCAATACTCTGGAGAGCAGACTTGACCTCATAGCACAGCAGGTACAGTGTGATGATGTAGAACTGCAATGCTAAGAAGGCATCATAATTTAATTCCTATTATTAATCAGTAGCTATTTTCCATTATATAAGAATCCAGCTGTTTTGAGTTAAACTAAACTTGGACACAGTACAGCAAGGTTAGGTCTGTCAGTCAGGGGTGAAAAACGTGCATCTCCTCCATCGAGCTCCCTCATACCAAGTGTACAGAGCCTCTTTTCAAACTGATTGAAGCTTGAATCTTAGTGGTAGGGCTGAGTCCGTACTATTTCTACAGTACTTTTTAAAGATACTGCAAAAATAAATAATGAAATTTACAGAAATGTAACATCATCTGGAAACTTTTATTATTATATTATTATATTTTATTATAATAAACCTTTCTTTGTATTGTGGGCAGTCGTCAGTGCAATTATGATTGCAGCTATTTTAGCTGACTGCAGTTATTTTTAATTGTTATTCGCTGTTTATGGAAACTTTTCAAATTGTGTATCATGAAAATGTTAAGTATTATAATATCTGTCTGCCACATTTCCCACCTCTACACACATTGCATAATTAACCCAGCTGTTCTTTTACTTTCATGGTTAGATGATGCCTGAAATCCGAGTTGCCCTATTTGGAGCAAATCAGAACCGCAAATTCATGGATTAAGCATCTCTGTGAACCCAGGGGCACTGAGGACCACGACAGAAAGACAGTGTTTGTTTTTTTTTGTTTTGTTTTTCTTTTTTGCTTAGTCTGTCTAAGTAGCATTTAACTTGAGAAAAGACCATTTATGTGTATGTCTGTGCTGTAATTTGTGATATACTATTACTGTAAAAAAAAAAAATCACAGTAAGTGAGGATTGTGTCTTGATTGGCTGCTAAAAGGTATTTATCATCTCCTGTTCCTGTTGGCTGTGCCATTCAGAGGCTATGCTACATATGTTTACAAGTAAGTCTGAATGGTTACTAGGACTAAAATTCAGTCTTAATCATATGCGAACATTCTCTTATTCATTCATTATTTAAAATATTGCCTCCAAATGTTTGTTTTTATTTTACAGTCCACTCTTTCTCATTGGAAAAGAGTCACACTCAAGGCAGTTGTAAACCCCTTGTAATTTAACTTTTTAGTGGATACCACTTTGTTATTTCTGTCATTCTTGTTGAAGAGCATTTACTATTATAACTGAACCAAATGCATTTCTGTTGAACACTGAGATTATATTGATGTGGAAATAATATAAGGAAAAAAGAACCACCAGGGTGTCCTGTCTGTTCCTCTTGACTCAACAATGCATTCACAGTGTCCAGTTGCCTGCAAAGAAATCCAAAATGGTAGACATTTGGGAGAAGAATGTACTACTTCAGCATTTTGACAGAAACGTCTTTCTGTGAGTCATCCTTGGTTCCTCCATTGTTAACACCATCTATTGCAGAGAGGGAGGAATAATGAAGTGCTCAGTTCAGCTGACCACCATGCAGTTAGTGATGGGGGAAGTGGAATGTTTTAAAAACAGGGTTAATGGATGGGAAGTTAAGGCTCTGTTCACATCCCTATGGTTATCAAGCAAAGTTCAGTAGGAAGAAAATTTTGTGGAAGAAATCCTATCAACTCATGGGTAAGTGTGCTCATGATTCAAATCCTTTACAGCAAACCCTGTTTAACTAGTGTAACAAATCAAGGCTTCACTGGGAGAACTTAAGATGATTCAGCTATTCAGCTGTGTTGAATTAGTCATGCTTTAAGCTTACCACTAAAACATTTTAATAGCTGATTACGATGTTCGCCTTCAGCTGGTGTAAAGCAAGGTGAGAGCTTTTTTTTTTTAGCTTGTATACTTGCATATTCAATTATATGCACAGAAAACACTGAGAATGTTTGGACAGTGGACAGATAGCCTTTGATTGCCTCAAACTAGTTCATGCTGTGGCCCTGTTCAAAGTTAAACATATGCTTCTGTGATTGTGCTAATGATGGAACGAGACACTCAAAAGCATCTTATTGATCAAATCATCAGCTAGTAGAAGGATGTTTTAGTGTGATACGTGCTCTACTGTTTAAGGGTCATTTTTGTTCTAAGATGCTTTTGGGAAACTCAGCCCTGAACAGTTTTCCTGTTTGCAATTTTCTTGCATAATGGGCTTCATTATTAGCTGATAAGCGGGAGCTGTGAAACATAGATTGTGGCAATATGTCTAAAAATATATGTTGTGATACTTAAAGAAATTTTCAGGATACATGACATGTCACAATATTTATTTTTTCAGACATCTAAACAGTTGGGATTGAGAAAAAAGAACCTGCAGTGTTATATTTAAAAAACCACTGCCCAGAAATGGGATTCAGTGATTTTTGTTCAGTATGTGGCATACTGTGTTGCACTAAATCCAGTTAAATGGGACTAATTTTGCTCTTTTTATAATGAAACATGCAGTTGGTCAGTGTTTTGTGAGTACTGACAATATGTACTAAAAATATGTTCAGAAAAGCGTATTGTATTGTGACATAATTTATTACAATAACAATATATATTGTTTTATAGCGGAGCCCTAGTGACACATTAATCTACAATGTTGTGGACCTGCAGGATAGGGAATGAAAAGTACTGAATTAGTGTTATGAGTCTGCATTCACTGACCACTCCAGGAGTAGGAACGCAGATCTAGAATTAAGTTTTTGTGATGACCATCATAAATACAGGAGGCACCTGTTCTGATGATCAGTCCTCTAACTCAAGACTGTTCAGTGAATAGCACGCTGATCTAAGAAGAACTTGTGACTCTCTGTTCCATTTATAGACATGCTGATTTGACCTTCATACTGCTATCTGCACAGACCATGAAGAGGTTTTCCTATACAGCATGCAGGGTAACAGCTCTGATGACCATAATGATTTTAGGCTCTGTGAAAGAGGGCAAAAGTATACCAGACCCTCACCAAAGAGAGCTGATGCTGCAGGAGGAGGCCTCCCAGCAGGTAGGGGGCAGAGTGGAGCTCAGCGCAGCAGAGCAGCGACTGGATTCCTTCTTGCGTAAGCTGAAACAGCAGGAGATGGTGGCTCCACAGTTTCCTCCTGCTATGCACTTCTTCAGAGCAAAGCCCCACATCCAAAAGAGCCCTGTGTTTAAAGTGCTGCAGAAAATGCCTAAAGGTAACAAAGCAAGTTGATGCCTTAAACCAGTGGCTCCCAGCCCTGGGCTTGGAGCACCCCCTGCCCTGCACATGTTAGTTTACTTGGTCTAACACACCTGATGCAACCAGCCAGTTCATTAACATACCCTTACTGAGGTAAAATTTAAAGTTCCTTTACCACAGTGGTTCATATTTTGGTCATTGTCTTTAGTTCAAAAGGGTTTCTTTTTTGTAAATTTTACATATTTTATGAAAAATTAAATGTCTTCCAATCTCAATTTGATCATTTTTATACAGTGACCAATATCATAACAAATCGCCATCATCATTTTAATTACCAACTTACACACACCCATATTATGCACATGCCTGCATGCATTTTGGACCAAAGACTAAAAATGTACAATAAGAAAATGGCTCTTATTTTCCCAAAATTTGATTTCTATCCGAGATATGAAACATAATGGTTATTAAGCATTTTATATATATGATCCTTACCATTAGATTTCATTCAGTTTTATAGAGCAGGAGTGTTCAGTTCTGCTCTTGGAAGAACAGAGTTTAGCACAGTTTGGTGGTTTCCATTCCAGGTTTTTCAGGTGTGTTTGAGCAGGGAAATCACAAAACTGTTCTGGACACTGGAATTGAAAACCCGTGCCACCTGTTCCAAAACTGTTTTTTACATGCCTGTGTTGGCTTCGATGCCATCTAAGCGGCTGTTCCCTTGCCGTATTAGCACAAGGTTATTAGTGAGGGATTGAGTGACATCACTGAGTTAGGCAGCAGAACTTATCAGGGAATCTTTGTAATTGGTGCATATCCCTCTCCAGCCCTGAAAAAAATGATGGAAAAATACTTTTAAAAAATCAAAAAGCAAAAGCTGCAATGCTAGAAACCAAAAAATAGAGGCAATACACCATGCTTCTAAACCAAAGCTTGTAGCCAGTTATTCACAAATTCTTTCTACATTTTGTACAGACCTTTGCATGGCTAGCTAATGAGGTCACTAAAGCTAACCTAGCCAGCTTCTTGTGCTGTGAGTGGCCACTTGTGTAACATAAATGTGACGCACTTCTGAGTCATGGGTCAAAGTTGCAGAGGGCAATGTTAAATAAAGTATTGAAACAGGGTGTGTATGTACCCTCAGTAAAGAATTCTCAGGGATCCCCACTCAATCCACATTCTATGGTATTCCATTTATAAAGGTAATCAAGAACTGTCGAGAGCTCACATGTTTCAGGAATTGGAACTGAACAAAAAAGTGGCTGGGGGTTCCTGAGGATTCCTTAATAGGTCTGCACTTCATGATCTGTCATGCAGTCTGACTATTCTGTTCCTTTAAGGGGCGGTCCTACACGTACACAGCTCTGCTCTGGTGAGCGTGGATTGGCTTGTGATGAATGTGACATACAGGCCTCATTGCTACATTTGCTTCACATGGTCGGGGTCAGTGAAGTTTTTGTTTTCTGCCCAGCGACCCTTCCCGCACTGGGGCTGCTCTTCTTGGAGCCTCCTGGAACAGCTCAGGGCTACCATCAGTGATATTCCAGCTTTTGACAAAAGGTGGTCCACTTCAGCCCATCACATTATTACTATTATTATTATTATTCAAGAAAAGTAAGTAAATAGCCACACCCTTATATGTGTAGGCCAAATATTAAGTGTTTCTACTGCAGTTACTACTGCAAATATTGATCTAGTAAGCACTTGGCACTAGTCTAGCTGTTATTTCTGTTTACATTGTAAAAAGTGTAGTCAATGTAGTTGTGACCACTAAGAAATATAATACAAACCTGAGCCAGTATTCACAAAACTTCTTAAAGTAGGAGTGCTGATTTAGGATCAAATTCCTCTTATTTACTTTGATTTTACTCACTGGAACAGGTCCTTAATCTAAACAGATCAGCACTCCTAATCTGAGAAGCTTTGTGAAAATGGGTCCTGATCTTATATCAGTAATCTTATTCTTTTTCAAAGATATTACATCAAAGGTGCAACTGATCTAGGATCAGACTATGCCCCTGCTAAGGTCATCATAAAACAATTGTATATCACTGTTTCTAGTCTGCAGTAGTTTAATACCAGTCTAGATTTGAACTAATACCACATATATTTCATTTATGCGGACTATTACATAAAAGAGGAATACAGATTTTGTTGTGAAGGACTTTCACTGTACAGCTCCCAAAACACTTGAAAAAAGTACACTGAGGTCAGACAAACCTATTCTATTCTTTTATTCTCAGTTTGATGCAGAACCTCACACTGTTCACTGAGGACCCAGATGTGGCATATCCTAACCAGGACGTAGTGTGGGAGCGCTTTGAGAAGATATTCATCGCAATCTCAGGGCTGATCTCCTATGCACCTGTTTTTAAGGATTACCTGTACCAAGGCCTTCAGCAACTCTATGATGACAACATCTTGTACCTGGAGCTGAGGGCTGGCCTGTCCAAGGTTGGTGACTGTTCGCATTTATTTCACTCTTAAAGGTGTCAAAAAGGGTTCCTTCGAAGAGATGCCATAAAAGAACCACTTTTGGTTTCAGTGGGTGGTTTTTTAAAGAAACATTTTTGTAAATGAGTATTAAGAACATATTAAAGAACAGATTAAAGAATCTCCATATAATATAGATGTTTTAAACGCATTTAACCCCATTTACCCCAGACCATTTAAAGGTATTTCATAGAACCAAGGCTGATTTTGCTTGCAGTTGTTTGCACAGATATATTTAACTTCTGGGTGTGCTGCCTACTTTGGCATATATTAGTAAATTAACCTGCCATGCTGGACTGAATCACATGTATTAGAATAAATAAACAATGAACTCCTGTGGCACTTCAGAACTGGAACTGCCCATACCAGTTTAAGAGTTATCTTAAATTGTTATCTTAAAATTAAATGGGCCATAAATAATTAACTGCAGGCTATGCCAGGCATCGCCATTTGTAATTTCCCATGACACTGACAATTACTTGGATCATAAGAAGCAGAAAATGCAACCAACCAATAAGACTGAATTTTGGAGGTGTGAAAAAATATCCCTGCACATTTCTCTGAAAAACTGAAAGCAAGTGTTCTGAAAAGAATGGAAGCTGTAATAAAGGCAAAGAGTGGACACATGAAATGCAGGGATACTGATACTGAAAAATGAATGAAACAGCTGTGTTGACTTGAAATGAAATTGAAGGGTGGACTTTTGCACGGTACTGTTCATTCTCACCTGCTTGAACCTATTAAAATTCATGATTTTCTGTTTCAGACATACAAGCTTGATGGCACCATCCACGACAGAGAATGGTCCCTCCAAACATACAAAAACATAACTGAACAGTTCAGTTTAGAGCATCCAGACTTTATTGGGATTCGGATCATTGTGACTGTCCATAGGTAAAGCTGATGGAAAGTTATATTGATGTATATCACAGTATAGACTAAAATCTAATTGGGACAGCTATGAAGGTCTAATATTGTAATATGACGGTTGAAAACTCAATTCACAGATGTGGTTTTACGAATGTGTTTAGTTTGCACATTCTGTAATGTATTAGATAGTAGTGACTCAGCAATGAATTGAAGGGATAGTTCAAGCAAAATGTTCACAATGAAAGCAAGCCAATATTGACATTTAGCGTTATGTAAAGAAAGTCAAGCATTTAGACATACTTTTAGCTTGAGTCAAGCAGTTAGACATACTTTTAGCTAGGAACAGCACAATGTAGGGTGAGGATGGAAAAAGTGTTTGAGAGAGTGTCAAATAAGCTTACTTTAGCTGGTGCCTTCCAAAAAAAAGGTTTATAGAAACTTGGCCAACTACTTTTCTGTTTCCACATCTTTTCTGTTTCTATGTACAGAGCGCTCAGTTTGTCTCAGGTGAAACAAACAATCAGTGATACCATAGAGATGCAAAAACAGTATCCAGAGATCATCGCTGGCTTTGATCTGGTAAGATTCCTTACTTTAATGAATTTCTTAATTTATTCATAGATCTCTATATCAAATACACCAGATATCGAATATCTAAAACTGTGCAAGCTTTTGTTCTCAGTTTGGAGTATGTTTTGCTTTAGGTAGGACGAGAGGATACTGGAAAATCCATCTGGTACTTCCGAGAGGCGCTCTCAGTCCCCTCAGAAGTTAAAGCCAACCTTTCCTATTTTTTTCATGCAGGCGAGACTGGTGAGTCCCAAACTTTGGGATAGTATGTGAAATGCAAATCAGAACAGAAAAAAGTGATTTGTAAATCTGCTCTGACCTGTATTTAAGCAAAAGCAGTACAGAGGCGGGATATTTAATGATTTATCTTTAACTTCATTGTTTTTTTGTAAATATATGCTTATTTCAAAATTGATGGCTGCAACACATTCCAGAAAAGTTGGAACAAGGGTAGTTTCAGGCTGGGAACATTGTTAAATGTTCATAAAACATTATATATTATAATTATATATATAATATTATAAATGTTATATATTCATACTTCAGTATAAAAGGAGCATATAGGAAAGTCCTAGTCTTTTATGAGCAAAAATAGTTGAGACTCACCACTTTGCCAAAAAATGCATCAGCAAATCAGCAACATTCTTCAACAAGTGTTTGCAAGGATTTTAAGTATTTCACTCTCTACAGCGCATAATATCACAAGATTTAGGGAATCCAAAAAAATTGCTGTGTGTAAAAAGCAAGCACATATTTTTTGAATTGGGCTGTATAAACATGTTCCCTGACAATAAGTCGCAAGATCAGATTTGACTGAATTGTGCAGCATGTTCTGGTATGAACTCTGTGTATGTGTGTGTAGACTTAGATGGCACGGATGTGGACAGGAATGTTCTGGATGCTCTGTTATTTAACACCACCCGCATTGGGCATGGTTTTGCCCTGGCACACCACCCCCTAGCAAAGGAGCTCTCCAGAAAGAGAGGAGTGCCACTGGAAGTGTGTCCTATATCCAACCAGGTACAGTCTCAGCACTAATATAATGGATCCAGATTAATCACAAACCACAAAACAATTTTGATGTAACCGATTTTCTTTGAATCTGTGTACAAGAAATTGGCTCATCATTTCAGTTGGGCTTTGCCCAAAAACATGGCCTTTGAAGACTTTCAAGAAAAGAGAAAACTGTTCTTGGATTTACTTGCAGTTGAGTGTTGGTACACTTGATAGGTTTCCACTGACTTTACAGCATTTTGTAAGTGATAAAATAAAAATGTGTTGTGAATTTTGCTGCCAGTAGCTTATTTCTGTTATGTTGACTGAAAGCGTCAATGTTTTATGTAAAGAGGAAAAAAAGAAAAAAAAAGAAAAGAAAAAAAAATGCTGTTACATAAGTTTATACTGCAAACTGCAGACACACTTTCTTTTATTTGGCTTCACATCCTTGGTTTATTGGTTTTGTTCCCACCTTATTTGGATAGCCTTCAATAGCTTATCTACAACTGTTTACATTATTAAACGATCTGGTGAAACTATCTGTTTGATTTAGGACTGAGGATTATGACTGGGTTTTGGAAAATTTTTGGAAAATTAAGGTGAATTGAATTGATATTTCGTTAAATAAAAGTTAAAGGCAAGGTGAGCATCTACAAAGTACACTATATAAGTATTGGACACCTCTCCTAATTATTGAGTTTAGGTGCTTTAGCCACACCTATTGCTAACAGATGTATAAAATATAGCATATAGCCATGGAATCTCCACAGACAAACGCTGGCTGAAGAGCTCAGAATCATTAAATGTAGCACTATCAAAGGGTGCCGCCAGCAGCATGGTGGCGCAGTGGGTAGCGCTGTTGCCTCACAGCAAGAAGGGCCTGGGTTCGATTCCCGGCTGGGCAACCGGGGTCCTTTCTGTGTGAAGTTTACATGTTCTCTCTGTGTCTGTGTGGGTTTCCTCCCACAGTCCAAAGACATGCCAGGCTAATTGGACATGCTAAATTGCCCCTGCCCTGCGATGGACTGATGACATGTCCAGGGTGTATCCTGCCTTCCACTGCTGGGATAGGCTCCAGCTCCTCCTGTGACCCAGAAGGATAAGTGGCTTAGAAAATAATAGGATGCCACCTTTGCCACAAGTCAGTGTGTGACATTTCTGCCTTGCTAGACCTGCCTTGGTCAACTGTAAGTGCTATTATTGTGAAATAGAAGCAACAACAGCTCAGCCATTAAGGTGAGGTGACAGATTTCTGAAATAAAAACTGGGGACATTTCAGCAGTCAGTATATCTTTAAAATAACTAATAATTTTATCTATGACATAAAAAAATTCCAGTTCCAGTTTCATGTATTTTGACCATGGTAACTGTTGTACTGTAATAAACGATTGCGAAGGCCGACTGATAAAATTGAGCACTAACTAACTTTGTAAACCGAGTCAGGAAAACCTACAGTAGCCTACCATGATGCTGATCAGAAATCGTCAGCATGCATGGGAATAAATTACAGTAGTCCTATAAAAAGTTCATATTTCTTGTTATCCTTTTTGTGAAATTTGTCGCTCGTTGCTTTTTAGAAATAAAGATGCTGAGTAAAAAAATTCTCAGAACTCTAGCGGCTCAGGCAGGAATACATTTACCACAAAAGATTCAGTGGATGTACAAGCCCATAATTCATATTCATATTAAATATTTTGCCAATAAAAAAGACCTGTAGCTATAACCCAATAGCCAGACCATAAAAACACCCCTGGGCGAGCTTCAGTTCTGGAGAGACAGAGAGCTGCTATCAACATATGCCATGTGTCATATATGGATGGCTGAAACAGTGAACACCTTTGGGGTGAATTGGAGTGTTAATTTTGACTTCTTGTCCAACATCAGTGTCTGACATCACAAATGCTCTTTTGACTGAATGGGCACAAATTCCCAGAGACAGACTCCAAAATCTTGTGAAAAGCCTTCCCAGAAGAGTGGAGGCTATATATATCACATCACACCTGATTTCAATGTAATTATAATTAGTTGCGATTTATTTGGTCAAAAAGATTAGCTTTTCATATTCATTAAAATTACCATTAATTGTTGTCATTGAAAAAAATCCAATAAAAGTGTTTTTTGCATGAAATCTCTTAAATGGAAACCAGCGTACAGATGATTTGATTGAGTCTTTTGTGTGTTTAGGTGCTGAAGCTGGTCTCAGACTTGCGGAATCACCCTGCTGCTGTGTTAATGTCAGAGGGGCATCCAGTGGTAGTGAGCTCCGATGATCCAACGTTGTTTGGGACTACTGGACTCTCTTATGATTTCTATGAAGTCTTTGTTGGAATTGGAGGTCTGAGCGCTAATGTAGGCACACTTAAGGAGCTGGCAATGAATTCAATCAGGTGAGTGGAATTTGTTTTTTGAATGAAAGCTCTTTTTCATTTATAGTTCCAGGTAGCTTTAGTTCCAAGCTAACTTTTTTGTTTTTGTTTAGGTACAGTTCCTTACCGCCAGCACTGAAGGACAAAGCCACAGCCATATGGAAACAAAAGTGGGACAAATTCATACTGGAGAATTCATGACTAAAGACCTAAATGACAACTTTTACCACTCTTCAGACTTGCGGAAAATTGGACTTATGGAACAAAACACTCAACCGAAGCCTCGGTCTTTGATCACATGCTGTATTGTCCACCTCTGTCCACTGCAGTCCTGAATGTACAGTTGATAGTATCCATCTGGTCCAATAGCAATTTCAAGACACCGGCCTGTGTCTCTATTTTTTACAGCTTGCCCCTGGAAAGAAACCAAAAAATCCATTTTAACAGACTCTGGGAAGCAGTAAAAAAAAGTCTACTGATATTTCAATTTTTTTTGGCATAATTAAATAATTAAGTGTAAACAGAGTCATTAAGAGTGGTTTGATATGAAATGCACTGTTTTAAATAAATTTACTGAGTCAGAATTGTTCACAGCTTTGGTGATAGAAAGCAGACATCTCTTAGAGTTACCATATAAATAATCAAATTTACATGATTTTCCTCTTACCCCAAATGCTGTCAATCAACCAAGACATGTTTGGTGTCTAATTTTTGCTTCTTTAGGGTAGAACTGGAGGTATGAGGCTAACGGTGGTAACAAACACAGGACGTAAATACTTGCCAAACAATTTCCGTAAATACATACCCAAAACTTCTCAATCCGCTCAAACCGCATCCAGGCCTTAAGTCAAATCATGCATGAGTTGTGATGTAGAACACATTACACACACATTATACAATAAACTAGAAAACCAAAAAAAAAAACATATTTACTTGTTGAACTTAACCTTAGTGGACTGAGGACTGCACAGGATATTTAGACATTTTAAGGGTTATTCCAAACAATAACTGTTCCATTCCAAAAACTTCAGACTGCACAGGGAGTGCTGAACAGTGGTTTATCACTTTGCAAGAAGTTCCAGAAAAGTTTACCTATCAGTCATTGCATGTTGATGTTTTACAACATGCAGCCTTACAGAGTTTTGAGGCGGAATAGTACAGGAAAGCGAGGTGTTTGCGGATGATAATTCCAGTTTTAGCTTAAATGTGGAAATAAGGTCTGTTCGTGCCATTTTATTCGTTTAATTTTTCGAAACAAGGTTACGAAAAATCTATGAAGATTTTGGCATATATATGTGGAAACAGGATGGTGATTTACTTTCAGTGTTTGTTAGCACTAATGCTGTAGCAGCTCCAGTTCTAAACTAAAGAAGCAAAATTTGGAAACCAAACATGTCTTGGCTGATTGGCTGCATTTGGAGTCAGTAGAAAATCATGTATTACTATTCCTTTGAAGCTACCTCACAGAAAGCCAGTCTGATGGCTAAGACACTATTTTGTAGAAATTTTGTGAAAAGATTTGGGCCTAAAACGTGTTTAAAACGACATTCATGGTGGAGAAGTGCATGCAAGATGTTGTAAAGCACACACACACATCATCTAAACCGCTTATCCTTATGGGTCGTGGTGGGGTGCGGGAGCCTATCCCAGCTGTCATTGGGCAGAAGACAGGATACACCCTGGACAGGTCGCCAGTAAATCGCAGGGCTGACAAACAGATATACACATTCACACCTAGGGGCAATTTAGCATGTCCAGTTAGCCTGACTGCATGTCTTTGGACTGTGGGAGGAAACCGGAGAACCTGGAGGAAACTCATGCAGACACAGGGAGAACATGCAAACTCCACACAGAATCGAACCCAGGCCCTTCTTGCTGTGAGGCGACAGCGCTACCCACTGCACCACCATGCTGCCCCCATTGTAAAGCAAAAAAAGAACATTTTAAAAAGTGGAACAATGTACCATTTCACATCAAAGCACTCTAACTTTGTTTATATCTCAAGAGTTAATTAAATTTTGAAACATCGGTGAAAGTCTCTATTAAGGTAGAGCTGATGAATCATTTTTTGTGTCAGAACATAAGGCAGCCTACTTTAAATGTATGACCGTCACTGCAGATTTCATACCCAGGCTTTTTACTTTTATGGAGTCACTATTTGATCACCTGTTTGAAGTCCCAGTACTTGTAGATTTGCTGCTTTGAACATTTGTGCAGTACAGGTAGTCTCCCTGAACCAGGGTCAGCCAAACAGCGTCGTTCCTGAAAATTGCTCTGTCCAATATAAATGTCTCCACGTTTTCTATAGCCACAGGCCTGTAATGATTCGGAATGAAGAGGGAAAAATAGTGATGGACTAATATGTTTCCTAAATATACTGGAGATAATGACAAGGATGTGCAGTAAAGAGAGGAGAGCTGACCTGTGAAAACTGGTGATGACATGCGTATAAGATGGGAGTGTTGCCTGAAAGGAGTCCTTGATCAACACATACATCTGTCTTCAGACTGTTGATCAACTGTGTTTGTAATTGAATGTGACAATAGAAAGTTTTTAATTTGTAATACCAAAATCACTACAGTGTTAATTGTTGCAAATTTGTACATAACAATACATTGTGCCTCAATACATGCAAGAGCATTGCACTGCCATGCGCAGATAATCTCTTTGCATTCTTAGCGTATATATTTTATATAATGCAGCCGTATGCAAAAGTTTGGATGCCCCAGGACAAATGACATGTTGATTTTCTAAGTGAAAATAAATACACTTATTCTACAGAGAACATGTTTCTGCACATTTTAATGCAAAATTACTATTTACTTGTTGAACTTAACATAATGAAGCAAAATAAAACATAAAATGTGTCCTGTCCAAAAGTCATGGGGCATTTCATATTTAAAGTTTGTGTTAAACTCAGCAGATAAATAGAAATTGCGCACTAAAATATTTGTTTGTTCCCTCTAAAGGAATTTTTTTCACTCAAAAAATCAACATAACATAATTTGAGTTTGTTGTCTGCAGTGTAAAAGCATACAAAGGTTTAATGTGTACATAAATGTGAAATACATTCTTTACTGTAATTTCTTACACAATACACAAAGGTGGGATATCAGTAGGCCTATCTATAGTCAGGGCCGAAGACAGCAGGGTGGCACTGGCTTCTCCTGAAACTGACTGGCCACCCTGGATGCCACCTAGTTTTGCATAACTGGCAGATTGGAACGCTTCCACCCACTCAAGTAAGAGAAAGTCTTTCAGCATATGACGTAACGTGCAGTTTGACAAAACTGCAGCATGATTGTAATGTTTTCTCCATGTCCTCCCTTTAACGGCAGCCAGCTGGCACTGTCTCTTTCTAATGCATTCATTTCCAGCAATGCTGATATGAAGTAAATGTGAGTGAGTATTTTGTATTTCTTCCAGCATCATAATTCCGATTTTTCTCTCTGTTACCGACAATTTTATTAAAACACAGTCCTCGCCAATTTTGTCCCATTATAATCACTTTTTAGTTAATAACCCTCAGTTTAAAAATGTGAGCAAACTAAAGAGCCTAGTGCATGTAAGATTCGTAGACCATGCATTGTGTCCACTTTAGGTGTGTAGGGTTGCCAGATTGTTTCTGTATTTTTCAAAACCCACCAAATGTTTGTCAAAGATTTCATAACTAATGACAGGTAGGGAGAATATCAGCTGCTTTATTAAGCAAGGCAGTTTATTACTTTTATACACTTTTTAAAAACTTGCCAAAATCATGGCCAAACAGTGCAAATTTTGTCCACCTGCAAAAGCACATTTTCCCTTGCCAAATCCAATCAAAATTTGCCTAATTTGGTGGAAAAATGCTCAAAGTAATGAGTTACCTGTTGAATGTGTCAGTGTTATAATTTGTTTCCACAAAGAAAAAGAAAAAAATGGAATATTCATCATCATTTTTTGCGAGTAATATTTGATAATTACACATATTTTTGGACCACCTAAAATATGTGCCTTAGCTGCCCAATGGCCACCCCATTTGTACAGTCCTAGAATCACCACTGTCGATGGGTTTCAGTTTTGTGAACATGCTGGATAGAACATTGGAGGGAAAAAAGAATGAATCTGATTCGATCTTGGAACAGCACTCATTCACACTGTTTGATGTGATGTTTGCTGTGTATTTCCCTTTTGGTCAGTAGAGTGAGTAGTTTGAGCATGATGGCCTACTTTTAGATGATCATCTTCAATAAAGAGCTTCAATTAAGCTTAGAAGTTTTTAAAGAAGCAATATTATATTGTACTCAAGGTTTCAATATCTGTATTGGAAAGTAAATAGTGCCATTGTGCCATCTCAAAATAGATTGCTTTCCTTTTCAGTGGTTTGTGACTTGCTTTATAAAGAGCACTCACCATGCCATAACCAAGCAGGTCATCCAGTGGATCTAGCTGAGGATAGACATTATCCAAATACCACTTAAAGGGCTTGCACTGCAGCCTTTCCCTCAGTCTCTTTCTCTCTGACACATCTCCAATGTCTATGCCATGGTCCTTGAAGAAACAAGAGGAGTTTGTTCCTCAGTCATGAACACAAAGGCGCCATTTAGGTTGCCTTTGATTAGAAAAGGTTATTTGCAAAGTAAGGATTAAAACATGAGCACAATACACACTGGTCACTGATGGCACTTCTATGGTGAACCAAGCTATTCACAAATTCAAAAGCAAACATCTGAAATGAGAACTTTGACAATTTGAGACTGAATCTCTTGAGGGAGAGAGGCCATTGTTTATTCTTGCACTAGTGTACAGACTGCAGTACCATACCGTTGGTGGAAGGTTCCAGGCTGCGTTGACATTTATCTTGTATTCATCCAGCCAGACTTCCCCCACCCTGAGAGCATTCCTCTTCATTAACTCACCAAGATTCTGTGCATACGGTTTGTGTGCTCTCTCAATGTGCGCCACTTTAGAACATGGAATAATCTCAACACTACCTCCACACAGCCACACCTGTGGTCAATAAAACATAACAGAGAAACAGTCATGGTTTCAGTGAATACTTTAAGGACTAGTCTGTTTCCTTGGCTAGTCTGGACTCAATGAACTTATAAAAAGCAGCCAGAAATATATTTTTTCTCCTTTAGCAGCTGTAGCCAGTCAGCAGTCTGTGCATGTTGTCCACCCTCACACACACACACACACACACACACACACATATACAAACATGTACACACACAGACACACACACACTAACAGCAGGCCATGTAGGAGGAGAACAGAGTGAAGGGACACAGCACCTCCACATGTTTATTTCCCGCGGGTTCATCCCAACACCACATGTGTCATATAGATGTGTAGGGGGTTTATAGTGTGAAGTCAGCTGTCCTCCTCCTTGACCTCTACCTGCCTGAAGGTTCAGTTCCATCCCAAATCTAATACACCTGTTCCAAAAAATCAGGAATGTCTGAGGTGTAACAGATTAGGGTTCAGACTAAATCCTGCAGAAAGTTAGATACCTACCATAGAATACCTGACTATTCTTCTTGATCACCTTCGAACGGAAATCCTCATAATTAAAATTGTTGAGATGTAAAGTCATTTAGAGTGGTTTGAGGTGAAATGCTTTTACAGAATCAGAATTGTTTGCAGCACAGGAACCATCCATCCATCCATCATCTAAACCACTTATCCTTCTGGGTCGCGGTGGGGTGCTGGAGCCTATCCCAGTTGTCATTGGGCGGAAGGCAGGATACACCCTGGACAGGTCGCCAGTCCATCGCAGGGCAGACAGACAGACATACACATTCACACCTAGGGGCAATTTCAGCATGTCCAATCGGCCTGACTGCATGTCTTTGGACTGTGGGAGGAAACCCACGCAGACACGGGGAGAACATGCAAACTCCACACAGAAATGACCCTGGTCACCCGGCCGGGAATTGAACCAAGGCCATTCTTGCTGTGAGGTGACAGAGCTACCCACTGCGCCACCATGCCACCCAGCACAGGAACCAGACATCTAAAAATGCCTCTAAAAGCTACCTTCCATAAAGTTATTATAGGAAATGGTTACAAAGATGTTGCCTGATGCCTTAAACATTGCTTTATAGTTAATAGTTTTGAGAGAAGGTTTAGCCTAAAGGTGGCGGCTTAGTGGTTGGCACTCTAGGCAATTAAAACTTGGGTTATGGGTTCAATACTTGGGTCTGCTAAGTTCTGAAGAGAAGAGTTTTGTTGTACTGTACAAGTATAATGATAATAAAGGTACTTAAAAAAAATAAATCCATTCAGTATTTAGATATACATACAGTGTGTATAAAGCTTAGGTTTTCAGATGTATTATTATCTTGCTATTATCAGCATTACATATAACAACTCAGACGACACGTGTAGTTCACTAGTCGTTTTGGATGGTTAATAAAACTGGAAGGGTTGTCCTGACAAAGCCGTTGTTATGAATTTCCAGGTGGTTGTTAAAGTGTTAATATGTTATCCTAGGTGATTGCTAAAATGTTGCCAGGCCGTTGTAAACAAAATGGTTATATTAGCTTTTGTAGACATTATGACCCCGGTTCCAATCACCACCATTATGAAGAGTAAGTTTCTCTACAGTGAGCCATTTCTCCTCAAACCACTCTGAATAATTTTCTTTCTTAACCGTTGAACCATTGAATTATGCAGAAATTTTGAAAGCAATTGATTGCTACTCTAAGCCTGTTGTTGGGTAAATAATAGAAATAATACTTTGGTACTATTTAAATAAATTAATGTGATCAGCAGCTCACCCTGATGCCTAGCTCTACATTCTCCCCACCATATGTTTTCATTCCTCCATCAAGTGTTCCAATCTCTCCAAAGAAAAGGCGATCTACCACAAGAATACCCATCACAGAGGGACTCCTAGTGAAGGGAATGGACAGATATAGTATATTTCATTTTACAGCACTGTTTTGTTACAATAGAATTTAAACGGTTTCATTTGGTTTGGTTTACAAAAGGGCATCATGCCATTACTAAAAATGGCAAGTCTGTGGTTACAATTACAAGTGGTGTGGTGATAGTTCCATGAGTTGACAAATGTTTTCCTACCAGGTTATAAATGGTTTTAAATGGTTCTGTGCTGTCTTACAACTTGTAGCTATAGATGGCACAATACTGCTTTTTTTCCTGTACTGGTGCAGCTCCAATATTTATTTCTTAAAACTGTTAAGTGATTTAATTGAAGCAGAGAAATAAACAACTAACAGTGTGATGTCTCACAGTGTAAGTGTGCGGTGTTTCAGGCTAGAAACATTCTCTTCTCCTTCCGATATCATTTCAGTGCCATCTCTATTTATGATGTGATTTCATAGTGTATAAATATGTACCTTTTCATAAATATGTAACTTTGGCATACAACTAAGTTCTTAGTGTATTCTGGAGGAAAAGCTATCAGACAAAAGCATTGAATGCAGGAATAAACAAAGACACTCACTTGGCAGGTAGCGATTGGTCATTGCGATGATACCATTCCTGTTTGAAGAAATCATACCGACACCACAAAGCCCAGTCAAAACCTTGAGCTGCAGCTGAATATGGAGTCACTTCCATGTTGTAGAAATTCACCCTATCAAAGACTGGGCTCAGCACCAGCCTGCGGTCAGCTTGGATACGAGCAAGTAGAGGCTCAGCCCTTAAATGAGCAGAAGGTAAGTGCATGTTGGAGCTGTTCTTGTGCCTTTATACTGTAGATATGGAGGGCGCAATTACAGATAACATTGATGGTTTCCAAAACCATCTAACCCTCCAGCACTGTAATTGAGCACCCCGTCTGTAGATCATGAGTTTTTCATTAGATCTTCATATACAGTATTATACATGCTTGCCAGTGCTGGCTCTTGGCTTACCACTGAACATGGACCTCAATATGGGCATCCAAGATAGCGACCACATCCCCTGTGGCTGCCTCCCAACCAGAGAGGCGTGCTTGAGTCAGGCCCATCCGCTCTGCATGCCTCACCTTCTTCACCAGGCCTGGACGAGTTTTGTGGATGAAATCGATGAAGGCATTCAGCTTTCCTTTTAAATCCTCTGTGAAGGCAATACATTTAATATTCTTCATCACATCCTGATGAAGCTGATTAACTGCATGTAGAGAACATGTTCTGTGTTTTTTAACAAATATTAGGTAACTAATATGAAACAAAAATATAGGTTTTGTAGTTATGAGACTAAAGTGTGGGCCCACATATTAACCCTGGCAGTTTAGAGGTTAAATGTTCTGATAATTACTAAAGTTAAAGGTTGGAGGACCCCACCTAAAGCTCCTCCTCCTTCCTATAAATTTCCATCTATTCCTTGTTTCCTGTGACAAAGCCAGTGAGGAGAAACACATTTTCAGACACTTTTGTTTTTGTTATTAAATATACTTCCAGTGTATATATCCACTTCAGATTTACACATGTCTGCACTTACAAATATGAACAAAAAAGTATGTATTCATTACCATAAACAAATATATATTTAAAAAATAAATCTGATAGGAAAAGATACTTTGCTGCAAAGTTGTTGTTGGCAAATGCAGCTTCAAGACATCTACAATAAGAAGTCACCACTTGCAGCATTTTGGGTCAATATTGGCACATTCCTTTTGAAAAACTGTTTTCAGTTTCTCAGTCCTACCAGGATCTCTCTGATGGACTGGCAGTTTCAAAATCCTCCATGCACATCACTGAGAAGAAGACCCATATCATGATGCTCCCACCTCCGTACTTCACTGTGGAGGCTCTTGGAATCATGCGCACAACCCTTCTTCTCCCAACATGACAAGCTGAAGTTTTGCTAAAGAGTTTTATTTTCATTTTGCCTGACCAGAATACATTGTATATAAAGAATAAAGAGTTCAGCTTTCTCTAAGTGCTTGTGTACATCTCCGTGCTTTTTTAGCAGAAAAGTTCTGCATAGGGTATGGGAACGGTGATGACTGCAGTGCAGTTCATTGCTTATTGTTCTCTGTCTAACTGCTGTTCATACTACTTTCAGGTCACCCTGCAGCTCTTTTAGAGTGAATACTGCTTGCTTTCCAAAAAGTTGGAACACTAGGAAAATGGAAAAATTGAAAAAAGACAGCAATGATTTTCCATCTTTTTTAACTATAATCAACTTAAAACAGTACAAAGAAAAGATATTTAATGTTTTGACTAATTAACTTCTTACTGTTTTGGAGATACAAGGTTTTATTCTGACAGCAATGATTTGTGGATGCAGTGACAAATGGGTTTTACTGACAACCGTTTGTCAAAGTATTCCAGAGCCCATGAGGTGACATCCATAACAAAAACATGTTGGTTTTTAATGCAGTGCCATCTGAGAGGTTGAAGGTCATGGGCATTAATTTGTGGTTTTCAGCCTGTGCCTTTACACACAGAGATTTCTCTGGATTCCCTGAATCTTTTGATGACATATTACACCTTTATCAAGAGTGAAATACCTAAAATCCTTGCCATTGCTCATTGAGGAACATTGTTTCTAAACTATTGGATTATTGACTGATGCATTTTTTGTCAAAGTGGTGAGTATTGACTAATCTTTGCTCATAAAGAGCTGGGTCTTTCCTGGATGCTTCTTTTATGTCCAAGCATGATTACATTGCCTTGTCTTAAATTGCCTCTGTCCCAACTTTTTAGAATGTGTTGCAGGTATCAATTTCAGAATGAGCATATATTTATAGAGAAACAATGAAGCTGTTAACACATGAAATATCTGGACCTGTTTTTTATTTGCATTTCACACACTGTTCCAGCTTTTTAGAAATGGGTTTGTATCATTCATCTGACAGTGCATATATGGACTGGAAGTACATTAATAACTAAATCAAAAGTGTCTGAACACTTGTTCTTCCTCACTGTACGTGTTTATTGGGCTATGGGTTTATCTAAAGACTATGGAAATCAGTTAGACATGCGGTCTAAAACAATTATTTCTGAAATGAAGTATAGGCATACCGTTGGTGCTTTGGTCATCCACTAAAATGATCTCCTTGAGCAAATGGGCAGGAGTTCTGTTGATCACGCTGCAAATGGCTCTTTTAATCACAGACAGAGCCTCATCCAGATATATCAAAATTACACTGATGGTTGGGAGGTATGAAGGATATTCCTTGGTTAAACACCTAAAGCATGAAAACGAAGTTGTTTTTGCATGCATAATTGTAGATTCCGAACAATGTTAGATTACTCAAAACAAGGGCATCTGACTATTTGCCTATGAAAACACAAGTTATTTGTTGACGTTGAGTAGTTAGAAGGATGAAGTCATAGCCGCAGCAAGATTAGAGTTCTGTGCTCAATTTGATAAAAATGCACAGACTAAGGCTGACCTGTGGTCTCGTGTCTCAGGCAGTTCTCTGTCTAGGGGGATCTTATCACTGAGAAAGACGTTATATCCATATCTCTGGAAAAGCTCTTCTGCTTCTCGCTGCTCTTCCTCAGACAGATCAGGATGCCATTTCTTAAATAGTTCAGAGTTTGGGAACAGGTTCTGAGCTGCCCTCCTGTCCCTTTTCAGTGTTGGACTTTGTGTAACTGCACGTGCATCCCTCTGGTCAATGTGGGAAGACTGAACTGAGAAAGTAGTGTAAAAGATCAATGGCAAGTAGTTGAAGCAGTTATGCAGTCTATACATCATAAACCTCTTGCTTCTGGTGAAAATGAACAATGTCCATGAAATAAACTGAACAGCTGAACACTGTCTGCCTCTTCAAAATGATTTGTAGACCTACAGTGGAGGAAAATTCTTTAACAGATGAAGAACTTTTACTTATGAAGGTAGAGATGTAGCTAAGTTCACAATATACAATATACAATACACAATGTGCAAAAGCTTGAAAACCCCTGGTTAAATTGCATGTTTTATTGATTTTCTAAGTGCAATCAGTTAACACATCCTCAACACAGGACAAACTGCATTTTTCTGCAAATTTTAGTGTGCTATTTCTATTTATTTAATACACATCAAACATGAAATAAAACAGTTACGTGCCATAACTCTTGCACATATTTTGCTTTATTTTTCTCCCCAATATGTTGAATTCAGCAAATATTTGTGCATTAAAATGTGCAGAAGTGTGTTATCTGTAGAGGATATATACTTTCCTCTCAGAAAATCAGAAAACAAAACGTGTAATTTGACCAGGGATGCCCAAACTTTTGCATACAACTGTATGCCGAACAACTTTTAAACTTATGTAAATGTCTCTTGCACTGTTGCTGCCCTTTAACATGGCATAAAGGTTTTAATGCCTGCTTAATGTGGTTGAAAATGAGACTTAGTATGCATTATTCAAGGAACTACTCAAGATTAAAAGAGCACTGATATGGCAAGGCTACAGACGGTCATTAACTAAAGTCTATTGACACAAACAAATTTTTTTTTAAAACCCAGTTCTTGAATTTTCATGCAAAAAGAACATTCTGTTCGTGTCATCTAATCATTTGATCCCAAATAACTCTTTTGGTCCCACAAAAAAGTCTACCTCAGACGTGTTCACCACTAGTCTTAAAGTGCAACTTTTTTTTGGAAAGATCCCAAATTACTCTTTTGGGTCAGATAAAGCAAAATACTTTTCATCTGCCTTCAATTTTGAATGCTTGAACAAGATCAACAAGATCTTTAACTGTGATTTAGGAAGAGGGTGAATGAAATAATAGTCGTTCTCTCACCAATTGCCTGTATTTGAGTCTCCATTCCCTCCAGCCTGTGCAGGATGTCCTGTCTGAGGACAGAAAGCTCCTGTTGGGCTTGATAGAGATGTTCTTCATGGGTCCAGATCTCCTTCCTAACTGAGGCTACATACAGAAGCATTACTGCAACAGTCAGGACCAAAACTAGACCTCGCGTCCAGCCCAGCCTCATGACTTCTGCTGTATCAGTGCGTATGACAACCTGTGCATGAGGTGTGACTTTCAGTGAGGACCTTCCCCAAGTTCTCAGTGGTTGTAAATGTTCTTTGTGCAGTTTGCCTATTCACACAGCTGCTTTATTCTGCTGTCAAAGTAGTTACCACTCCCCAAGGGCTCACGTGCAACCTAGGCTTGCTTAGCTCTCCAGCTAGGATTCAGGTTTGATTTGGTCAGATTCAGTTACAAACATGTAGGGTCAGTCCAAAAAATAAATGATTATTATAAATAATTTGCCCCATACAGAATTTGTCTAACTGCATGTTGCTATATCCTGACCTGCTGTTTCTAAGCTACTGACTGTTGCTGTTCACGAGAGATCATCCTCTAGGATACATGCATAGGATCAGATAAATGCATAGACATGTTTAGTTTCTGATTTAAGAGACTTTCCTTGGTACCTGTTCTTTTTGCATAAACAAGAAAATGACTTTTTCTATGACACTCTATGACACTCATTTATTAATAAATATGAATAAAAATAAATTACTTCTGATTATAAGTTTTGTCCCAGGTGTCTGTAATAAAATACAGTAGAGCACCGTAGAGCAGTAGAGTGGAACAGAAAGACCAGGACACTGTATCCTGCTGCGCCTGTGCGCTTTGGGTGAGGTTATATCATATCATACTTCTGAATGAAGTACACAGTGCATAAGCAAACACTAAGTAATCAAAGAAGACGGATGACTTTAAGACATCTGCGGTTATCTCAAACAAATACATTCATACTGTACATACTGCAACATTTACAATAACATACTTCTATTCTCCATCCTGTTAACATTATTTACATCTTTTGTGTAACATTTTATGGAAAACAGACAGAAACATTTGAAGTGTCAAATCTGAATCAGCGCCAGGCTGTCATTTCACTTACAAAAAAAAAAAAACTTCCTTGAGAGAAACACCAACTTTGAAGACATTGACTTCTCTTTTGCATGAATATCAAGATATTTACAGTACAAACAGTATTCAGCACTGACTATTATAAATGTTTTGTACAAGACACTGACACATCAAATATGTCAGGATCAAGTAAGTAAATGGCACGGTTTAACAAATATATTTGTTTCACATCTAGTCATATCAATGTCAAGACCTTTGACACATTCATAGTGATATTAGTCAGATAATTATGACCACAAGATAATCCTGTGCTTCCTGTTTACAAAACTCAGGAAAACAAAAATGATAGTGCAACAGGCTCCAGAACGGCAAGGCACACTCTATTTATGGGGTGTATTCAGGGTTTGCTTAAAGGGAAGAATAGTTTCAAGACTCTTTTTGAGTGTTAAGCTGTTCAACTGCACAGAGAATTACCTGTAGATGGCAATGTCCATCCTGAATTTCTTTTTTATTATTGCTCTTGCTTGTTTTAAAGCACTTTTAATGCACACATGGCGTATCACACTCACACTGTATGTCCAAAAGTATCCAGACACCTCTCTCTTCTAGTTGGTAAATTAATCTACTTTACAGTGCCCTCATTACATATACAGGTATAGCTACAGAAAGCATTGCTAATAGAATGGGATGCTCTGTGTCTTGTCTACCTTTTTTAAGATCATGTTAATCGATTTTTTTGGTGTATCTATGTATCTATTGATTTGTTGTAATTAGTGCATACTGTATACACATATCTAAAGATTTGCTGAAATTAGGTTATGCTCAAGGGTTGATCATATTAGAATGGTGTGTGTTTAAGGGTAAAGGGGCTTTCTCTCTATCAGTATTACTAAATGCCAGTTACAGTCGTAAATAACAGGTCATGCTGTGCCCAAAAGGTAATTAACTGTACAAAAAGAACGGCATGTATCATCTTGGATGTCTTTCCATTTTATCTACTTCATGCACTTGGAAGGTGTAAAGAAGTACTTCAAAGTGAGTGGACAGAGGCTCTCAACAACTGCACATAAGACAGGCTTAAAAAAGGGTTAAAGGAAGCCAGCTGGCTAGTGACAGGCAGCTGGATATTCTGGAACTCAACAGTAGCAATCCGTTTTCTGTGTTTTGGGAACAGAGAGAGAGAGAAAGAGAGAGCCAAGTGTTGGAGCAATGCTGCCCCGGCCTTTTCATTTAATTTTACATTTATTTATTATTTAATTTTTTATTTTCCTGTTATTTTACCTGTTGTTTTATTTTAAACATTTAATCAACCAATTTTTCACTATGTCAATTTTTCTTCAAAATCTGACAAATTATTCAAATAAACCTGGCAAAGACAGTGTTGACGGTGCCGCCACTTCATTTCTGCACCAAATGAACCCATATGTTACAATATCATCCCTCCATGTCTCTTGAGATATTTAACATTTGCTATATTTTACATTAACATAGATGTAGTTGCAGACCTTTTAGATTACTTTTTGACAGCTTTCTTCTTTTCTTGGACCTTTATAAGCAGCTTGACACAGTGAAGCAAAACAAATTTTTTTGAGTTGCCTAGAAAGTGTTAAATTATTTTCTTTTCAAATCTGAAGTTGTATCAGTATGGAAACAGATCAGTAGCAAAATTTTAATTAAAATGTAATATGTAAAATGGCAATGTAATTCAATGTTTACATTTACATTTCCCACTTAAATGCAATGTTGGGTTCAAAATGAAAATGCTAATTCAATACAATACTGCACATAGATTTATTTAAATTAAAATGTATTTCCAGAACTGCAGGGGTATACTTAATATGATTATGCAACAATGGTGTCAAAATGATAATTAAATGTAGTTTACCTTATATGTTTTGGCACTCTCAAAAGGCTTTTGAAACTGCATTATCAAAGAGAACCCCCAAGCTAGAAAGCTGCCAAAATTCAAATGTAAAAACGGAACAATGCCTCTTCTCTTTGCAATTACATATTCTTACTTAATGCACCATTTAAGGTGGAATGTAAAATTAAAAAATTAAGCTAACTTCAAACTGACGTTAACTTTGGTGGCTGAATGACGGTTCTTATAACTAAGGGAGAACAGGGAGGCCTGTCTTATAGATTCCAGTTGCCATAAAGGGGTATCTTCTACAAAGTTAGCATCAGACTGCTCCTCTTCTCAGTTGGATTGCTCTGTTAACACTGCAAAGACTAATATGCTACGTGAATTGTAGAGATAATCAAGCTACCTAACATTACATTCCCAAATAAGGCAGCATCTAACATACTGTTTTTTGTAATATTCATTTGTTTATATGTAGCTAACTGATAGCTTTGCTGTTGGCTAACTGGATACAGGTGCTAAACTTGCAGTAGCTGGCAACACACTACCTTGTCGTATTTCAATTGAATTCGGCTGGGGGACACATGGATCCATGATAATACTGACACACTGTGTAACATTCTTGTGAAACTTAAATGAGCAGGCTGTGCGAAACTGCGTATGATAGTCACACCATGTGACAGACATATTAGGCTACTGCTAATGTGGCCAGCTGGGGAATGGCAGAGCTACCAGTAAGCTAAGCATAAACTAACTCTTGTCAAATTCACACAACATACTTTTAAAAATAATATCATGAAACAATGCTGGTATAGGAGTGGCACACTGAGCTGTTTCACGTTAGCCAGCAGCAAAAAAACACTAGATGGGGTCTTGTTGGGAATGTAGCTAGCTTAATTCTGCAGCCATCCACAATTGACATAGTGTATTAGTAAGTATTAGCAGTGAAGTGATGGCAGAACAATAAACACACATCAGATGCTCACTTTGTATAAGATATCTCTACATGGCCATCAACCGGAATCCCGTATGGCGGGATTCCCTGCTCCCTTGATTTTAATAAAAGCCACTGGCCTAAGTTTAGCAATAACTTTCAGACTAATAAACCAGAAAACCTGGCCACACGTTTGAGTAAACACTTTTTCATCAGGCTTGTGTAAGGATCACAAGCAGACATATTGATGTGCTTCATCTCATCTGCTAAAGTTAGACCAGCTGTAAACTTTTTCAGATAATGGCTTTTCCGCTGAAGGTGCTGTTGGCCCCCCCGAGAGGATTACTGACAGGTGAATGTCTATGAAATGCAATTGGGTCAAATGCCTTTTCCAAATCATTTTGCCACAGAATGAGGGCAGTTGATGAAAAGATACAATTGCAAAGAGGAGAAATGCTGTTTTCCCTTTTTATATTAGAATTTTGCCATCTTTCTAGCCTGGTGTTCTCTTTGATAAAGCAAATGCATTATTAGAGAGTAAAAATGCATGTAAGATAAATTAAATTGCAATTGTCATTTGACACAATTATTGTGTATGTGTGGGAATACTAGTATGTAAGTGGGAAATTTAAATTTAAACATTCAAATAAATCGCCATCTTACATATTCCATTTTCATTGTGGCTATTGATATTCCTCAATATGTTTCAGTAACGTATATAGCATTGTACTGGAATAGGTTTATAGATCATATTTGCAGGAAAAATGTATGGTTAATGCTGCTATTTTCATTTCTTACAAACAAGGTGTAGAAAGAGTCCTTTAAAATCCTTCATAAATTTTACCCTGCAAAATATTAGATGGCTTAATGCTGTAAAAATATCCAACCTGAAATGGTTATTCACCTCTTCTCAACGTTTTTCACTCTCCCTGGATAACGAACCTACATAATAGAAATTCATAATCGAAATTAGCCTGTCTTCCATGGCCTGTAGTAGGAGCCACTGAGCAGAGCTTGTATGCACTTGTCGAAAATATTTTCTCTGTTTGATAAGATATATGTTTTGTAGCACCACTCTTGCAACCCGTACAATGGTGTAGGAGCAGCATATTTATCTGATATGTTGAAGCGATAACAGCCAAGCAGAAGTCTCAGATCATTAGGAACTAGTCAGTTAATCCTGCTAATAATCATTTAGCTCCTATCCTGCTCTTAATTGGAACCAGCTGACAGAGAGTATTAGAAAAGCCCTGACACTGTACACTTTTAAAACTACGCTGAAAACATTCCTATTTGAGCAGCTTTCAACTCAGTTTAAAACACTGTTAGCTCTACTGCATTTCTCTCCTGTAAAGGCACTTTATTATCCTAATTTAATTTTTAATTTGATTTTTATTTCAATGTTAATTTCTTCTCTTTTAAATCTATTGTTTTAATCATGTTTAATCATGTTTTTAATTTCTATTCTCCAACATCTTTAAATCTGAAGTGAATTTTCTCATTTGTAAAGAACTTTGAATGACTGTAGTATATGAAAGGTGCTATATAAATAAACTTGCCTTTCCCTGCCTACTGGGACCACTTTCCTGACTGCCAGGTTAAGTACCCCGTCTCTAGAAGGTTCTGGCTATGTAGATTTACAAAAGCTATGTAGATTTATTACTGATCTGTTGTATAGAGATTTCTTCCTGTTGTGGAAAGAAAGTGCCTGGTTCTTGATTATGACAAAGCCAAAGAACAGTATTATTACTTAACAAATTTAATCTTATTTTTAGCTAAACTGTGCATTTATATTTTTAATTCTAAGCCTTCATACCTAGTCTTTGTGAAGGAATGTGAGCAATATCTGAACCTGACTAGTTTTTACTAACAATAAAAAGCTGTTAAAACTATTTGTAATAATTTTGGAATTGTTTCATCAAACTTGTAATTTTATTTATTTATCTAGGTGTGAGTGTGTGTGGGAATGTATATGTCTGTCTGTCTGGCCTGCGATGGACTGGCGACCTGTCCAGGGTGTATCTTGCCTTTCACCCAATGACTGCTAGCATAGGCTCTAGCACCACCCCCCCCGCCGCGAACCAGGAGGATAAGCGGTTTAGAAAATGTGTGTATCCACCCTGTCCTGTATGTTATGGTAAATGCTCATTAAGAAAAAGAGACATTTGACACAACAATAAACGACTTCCTAACCTCTGGCACAGTTCCTACTTGTTTCAAACATACACCTCCTCTAAAGAATGATCTCTACACTACCTTGCGTAGAAGTTTTTGACCAATTTCATAATTATCCTTCCTTTCTAAAGTAGTTTGTGCTTTCTTTAGTGTCTAAATAAGTGTCTGGTTGAAATGAAAGTTTGGATGTCAGACAGCTTCCTCTAGCAAACTGAGCTTTTTCTCTTTGATCCTTCTAAGTTCTTTGATAGTTTATTGAATAATCTCAGTGCACTGTCAGAACATGAAACCTCAGGTTAAGAACCTTGGTGTGATCTTTGAACCCGACTTCAGGTTTGATAACCAAATCATCAAAAGTCTACCATTTTTCTACCATTTCTGGTCAACTGTGAAAATTAAACATTTTCTTACACTCCAGGTATTGGAAAAGGTTGTACCTACACTCATCACATCTTGCTTACAATACTGTGATGGCCTGTATGTAGGTATCAGTAGGCTTTCATAGGCTCGTTTACAGTCTGTGCAAAATGAAGCTGCGAGATTGCTCACAGGCACAGAGAAAAAGGATTACATTTACAACAGTTTTAGCCTCACTTCACTGGCTACCTGTCTACTATAGGATCCAGTTCAAGTTTCTTTTATTTGTTTTTAAGGCCCTTAATGGACAAGTGCCCTCCTATCTCAACCTTCCTCTTCCTCCCGGTCCCTGAGGTTTTTGGATCAGTTGTTTTTGGCTGTTCCATGGTCTCGGCTAAGGTTCAAAGGCGACCAGGTTTTTGCAGCACCGAGGCTTTGGAACAGTCTACTACTGACCCTCTGTCTCCAAAAAACATATTTTTGTTTGTTAACTTTTTGAGTTTTGTGAATGTTTGTAGCTGTTTGTGTATATATTGTTTTGTAGTTATTTTATGTTTTTATTGCTTTGTTATAAGCTTTATGCAACATCTACACAGCAATTGAAGGCTCCCTCCTGGCCATTAAACGGCCACTAAAATAGTAGAAAAACACTGACACTAATAAACACCTAAGTCCTTCTTTTTGAATGTCAGTAACATCTTCATCACATTTTGCTAACTAATAGTTTAATCATTTTGAAAAACAGAAGTCTGTATAGCAATCTATCCCAACAGTGCCTAAAAATATAAATGGCATATTTTCCAGTTTATCAATGCACAATGATTTTGCAACATAAAAGGTCACCTCTTCTGTCTTATACCCAACCTGACGCTGTCAGGCGCTGCTTCTAAAACTGCTCCTGGCAGTCTGGCTCATTGGTGATATCTTCTGGTGGCTCAATGATAATGTGCACATAATGTCCTCCCAAAGATGATCCCTGTTTCCCGCTGCTCTCTCTGCAATTCGAGACACAGCCTTCCTCATTCTGATCCACTGCAGAGGCTCTTAATGGTCGGCAACGCTCTGCTGACATGGGCTTCACTTGGCTTGAGAGCTCCTTCCTGGACTTTTCAGAGCCATTAAACAGGGACTTCTCCCCTAATACAGGAGAAAAACATTGACACTAATAAACACCTAAGTCTTTCTCTTTGTACCTCAGTAACATAGTTTCATTTGCTCACAGTAACAAATGTTTCAATAAGGTCAAAAACAGAACTCTGTAGAGCAATCTATTCGCAAAACAGTGCTTAAAAATGTAAACAACATATTTTCCAGTTTATAGAAGCATGTTGATTTTGAAATATTGGGTTCAGTGTCATGATAATTTACAAATACATCATGGTATCAAATATATAGTTAGTTAAATTAATAAATTAATACGGCCTACTGCAATATTGATCCCAAAAGAATTTCTTTAATAAATAGTTTATTAAAAACTATTTATTGTTTATTATTTTATTAAAGAGTGTTTTTGTCACTTGGCTCTTCTTAATACTGAACTGCTAATGCCAATTCCATACCCTCAAATGTTGCATGTCTTACTTAAGAAAAAGAATGTCAACAAGACATCAGTAGAATGGTTTTAAATGTCTCGCAATCTGACAAAACACTTTCCTTGAACTTATGACCAGACTCACCAGCCCTGTTATTAACTGCTTTGAGGTAGGCAAGCCCAGTGTGGGTGTCCATGCTGCTGTTCCTCAGAGGTCGAGTCTTGGGCCGGCTCTTATGGCAGCAGTCCTGTATCCACGCATGTCGCATGGCCTCCTCTGGGGTGAGGCGCTTGTTAGGGTCCCACCTATAGCGAATGGTAAATAATAAATGCACAAATACTACATTAATGCAGATATGAGGCAAGAGACAGAAATTTATTGAGTTGGCCTGATCAGTGATAAACATACCTGAGGCAGCGCTTGATAAAGTCCAGAAACATCTGGTCATTGGTCTTTAGAACAACAGCCAGATCTTTGGAACTGGGCATTCTACTCAAGCCTTTGCTATTGATTATGTTCCTGGGGTTTCCCTTAAAATCTGTGCAAAAATACAAAACAGATGGTCAGTACCATTTCCATGCATGTAATTCATTACATATTCACAAAATTCCAACATAAACAGCTCACCAAAGAACAATTTCCTCCTGGAAGAAGTCTGGAGAAAGTCAGTGGGTGGAAGTCCAAGCACCTGAAATATCACAAAAAACATAAACACTCACAGGTTCATGTTTGCAGTTAATATTGCATACACGCACTATTAACTGCACCCCCAGTCACATCCTCCACAGAGAACACAAATACATATGGCATCGTTTCGCACATTTATTGCAGGATTTCTATTTCTTTGCAGAGTTTAAAAATACTAGGAAAACATTAAACATTAAATAACAAATGTGCTATAACTTTTGCATAGGCTAGTTTTATCTTTTCCATTATGTCAAATTCAGCAAATAAACAGTAATTGTGCATTAGATGCATAGAAGTGTACTGTCTGTAGAGGATACATACTTATTTTCACTTAGAAAATCAACAAAATGCGTAATCTAACTGGATGTGTTCTAACTTTTTTCACTTAGAGAATAAAAAAAATCATTGGACCAACACGTTTGCATACAACTGTATCTAACCAGAGGAGCAATGCGTGTCCTTACCTCCATCATGCATGCGATCTGCTCAGCCTCGTTCTCTCCAGGGAAAAGAGGCAAGCCTGTGTAAAGCTCAGCCAGAATGCAGCCCAGGCTCCACATGTCAATAGAGGAGGTGTAGGGCTGACCCATAATCACCTCTGGAGAGCGGTAAAAACGACTCTGGATGTACGTGTACACTAAAGAGGAATTCATGAGAAGAGAGAACAGGATTTATCGATGAAAGAAGAGAAATATAAGACAGCTGAAAAAGACACATATACAGACATCATTTGTTTCACTCACCTCTCTGATGCTCATAGCAGCTGGATCCAAAATCAATCACCTTGATGCTGCCTTGGCCTTTTGGTGACAGCAGGATGTTCTCCTTTCCGGATAAAAGTGACAGGTGATCATTGTTGTGACAGGTGATCATTTTTGACTTCATGAACTTCATGATCTTTGACTACTACTTCTTAAGCCTTTAATGTCTGTGCAAAAATGGCTATATCTGCTCTACAGACCAAGATCTAAGAGCTGAAAATTTCACAGATTTTTATTTTGTTTTTGACACAAACTGCTACTCTGAGTAAACAATGAACATGAATAAGCATCAGATTTCAGTTGTCTTTTATTGTTTACTTTTTATTGTTTTATTGAAAAAAACAATAATAATGCCCTCAGTAATATAATTATTCTGTTCTGAATGTGCTTGCCCACCTAGAAAAATACTGGATACAATGATAAAATCAGCATTGTGTGTATTTTATACAGTTACAGAAAACATGGTAGCGCTCAGAAATCTCTGATTCCACATGCTTATACATATCACAACACTATGGAAAAAACAGTTTCAACTTAAAAAAAAAAGTTACCGGGCTATCTGGTAAATAACTGTGTATGCATCACATCTACAATACAGAACACCACTTATGACCACAATTTGCTTTTGCGAGCTACCACACTTCTGTCGCAGTTGATGCTGCATGGTTTCTACACCATGCAGGGCTCAGCTCTGAGACAGCTGAGGTGGTACTCACAGGCTTAAGGTCACAGTGGATGATCTTCTCCTTCTTCAGCATCTGCAGGCACTTCAGCAGAGCTTGAGCAATTCGGCACACCAGAGCCTGGCTTAAGCCATGATAGCGGTTCTTCTTTACGAGCTCATACAGGTTCGGTCTGAGCAGATAAAGAGGGGCAATATTAAGCAGGGGCAAAATTCTGAGGCCAGGCTTAATACAGACAACATTGTGCACCAAATGGAGATCGCTTCCATTTTCCATGATCTCTGCAGCATCTCTATTATGTTACCTGTCCAAGCAGCATTCAAACACACACATACACTCACCCCAAGAGCTCAAAAGTGATGCATAGGTGATTGCGGAAGTAGAAGTAGTCCTTCATGTGGATGACATTGTAGGAATTTCCTCTGTCCTTCCTCCGCAAGACATCCAGAATCTTTAGTTCCACCATTGCCTGCTGATGAAACCTAAACACAGGCCAAAGGTCATTTAAAGGAAGCCACTTAACAAAAGCACTCTAAAACATTTGCTTACAACAAATGTTTAAGCTAGTCTCTAATGCAATATTAACTAATACCAGAGTGATATTAGCAATAGCAGTAACATTATATCTATTAATCGAAACTGAAGTGTGGACTGTTATCAGCCCCTTGGAGGTCAATAACAATGGGCCCCATTCCCCAACTAAGCTTAAGAAGAAATTTCTACTTAAAACCCACTTATGCAGTTTTCACAAAGATTCTGACATGCACCAATGGTTTTTTATTTGGGATTTGTTCATAGGTGAGAACAGAATCTACACGCACTCAAGAACTGCAAACAATTCTGCGGTTTAAGAAGACGCCAGGAATCTGGCAGTTTTTCTTAGGACCTCTCTCAAGAACAAAAAAGCTTAAGAAGATATTGGTCAATGAGGCCCAATGTTTCTTCTGTATCAAATATGACATGGGGTTAAATGCATGTTGTAAAAAATCTAAGTTTATGTATGCAAATACAGAATATCTTTACCTCTTCTTGTTACGAATAATTTTAATAGCCACCATTTCATTGGTTCTGTGATCCAAACATTTAAAGACCTGTCCAAAGGATCCCTTTCCAATCATGTCCAACACTTCATAGCGGTAAGCAATATGGTCATGAATAACCTGAAAACACACCAAACGAAAGCGGTTCATGTTTAATGATCCACTAATTTAGTGAAATGATGAACTTGCTATTCAGCTAGGAGTGACACACAATCATCAGGACTCACATTTTTGTAAGTGCCACTCTCATCATCATAGCCAGAATTATGGTCCTTGCTAAGGGATCCATCAATCTTCTTTGAGTTCAGGCCCAAGTACCAGATCTCGGAATAGTCCAACACCTCATCCTGCTCAAATCCAGTCAATGTCTTTCCAAAGTACTTCAGCACATCTGGAATACACACAAAATGAAACATGCAGCTATTAGGCTACATGCAGACTGCTGGCCTAAATCCGATTTTTGGCATATCCAGATTGTATCCAGATTGATCTTTGATAGTCTGGACAGCAAATAAACACATGAAATGTAATTTTTGCTAAAATCTGGAGGTGGTCTGAAATGAGATTCCAATCAGATTTGTCCAGATGCGTCTCACTCTGGCCACTCAAATCTGATATTAAAGTGTTTTTTGCATCGCTCACAGCACAACAAACAACAATGATGTCAAATCCAGACTGATGAAAGTGCTGGGATTTAAGCAGAGCGCCAAAGATTCACGCTTATGCTAGAGAATTCTGAAGAGTTTAGAGGGGCGAAATGATGCACCTCCATCTCTCCAGCACCTGCGTTTGGAATCCACATCATCAGTGTAGCTATGTAGTTACTGACGCTGTGTCGTTACCACAGCAACCTATGCACATAGTGATGTTTGCATACCAACCTCTTCCTAATCACATTTTATACCTGTGGGAGCCATGGGGAGTGCATATCCCTCCAACAGTCTCTCGCACTCTTGCTTGTTGAATGGGCTCTTGGTGTCAATGCACTCTGAAAGGTTCTGCCGAGTGGATTTGAATTCCAAGGTCTTCTCCTATTTATTAATATATATCGCAGAAAATACACAGTATTTAACCTAAAGATAAATGTACTAGTGAAATTAGACCATTAGACTTGAATTATTCAAACCCTTCACGCTTCATGCTTTGTTTCAGGATCAACTCTTTCTGCAGATTAAGGGTACAGCTATGGGTGCCTGCTATGCTCTCAGCTATGCATGTTTATTTCTAGGATATTGGGAAGAAAGATCTGTTCATAGCTCTTTAAATCCTTTTCGAGATAACGTTGTTTTACGGCAGGAATATTGATGACTGTCTTTTATTTTTCAGGGGTGCTAAATCACAACTTTTGGAGTTTCATGGCTATCTTAACTCGATCAATCCCAACATCAAATTGAGTCTGGAGTATAATAAATCAGAGATTTCATTTCTTGATTTAAAGATCACTAAGGATACGAACGGGGACCTTCACACTTCAATTTATAGGAAGAGCTCTGATCGCAATACTATACTTGGAGCAGATAGTTTTCATCCTCCAGGCCTGATTAATAATATTCCTTTTGGACAGTTCTTACGGTAAAGGAGGACCTGTTATATAGAAAGAGATTTTGATAAACAATCTAGTATCATGTGCTCTAGATTTAATGATATGGGGTTATAAATCAGACATTTTAAATAAGGTGTATCATAAAGCTAAAAGCGTGGATAGGAGTGGATTATTTCAGGGAGTGGTACGATGTCAGAGACAGTCTCAAGTCCATTTTGTGACTTAGTATAGTAGACAGGCTGGCTGTATTAGAAGCATTATTTTAAGAAATTGAAATATATGTGTGCAAAGTGACCCTCTTTCACGTACAGTGTTTCCTGACCCTCCATCTTTTTGTTTTAGAAGGGCCCCTATGCTTAAAGACAAGTTGGTGCACAGCCGGCTTGGAAAGACAATGAAGGACACATGGCTGCGCAGACCCAAAGGCAATTTTAGACGTGGTGGGTGCAATCTTTGCTCCAATATGATTAGAGATTATCTGTTTGTGGATTTGTTTTCTGGTAAATCATTCAAACTTAATTAATTTGCTAATTGTAACACTACTTTTGTAGTATACAGACTTGAATGTGGTTGTTTTTATATTGGTCGTACGAAAAGGAGGTTTAGAGTTGATTTCTCTCCTTGTCTTTGAATTCCGCTCCTGACCAACAGGTGGCAGAAGCCTGCATGTATATATACATGTGGGTGTTCTCAGGTGTTTTATTCTATTGACATTCTATTGTTTTGTATCCTGATGAAGGCCTAAGAAGGCCGCAACACGTCGGCACATTTTTATACATATTGCCGTGTTTCAATAAAGGCTTTTTATACTTTTTCTAAGGACGGTGTGCCCGGGATTTCTTTGCTTTGGGATTTATTTTGCACATGCCTTGTGGACGTGGATGCATACTTTTTGGATTTTTTGCCTTCCCCAGCATGGAACCCTTCATGCTTATTATTCACTAACTACAATGAAACTTTTATGTAAATTATATAGTTATGAGAGTGAGGAATGAAAGTCTGAAACTGATGCTGGGTTAAGGATGCTTTTAATTTAAAAAATGTTGTAAACGAAAGCACTGACTGGTTTGCTGAAAGTTATGTAATGTCTTGCTCTGTAAAATGAAAAGAGGACAGGAAAGGTAGTATTTTATGACCAGGTTTGTTTTAGGAAAGTAGAACAAAAGTAAAAGTAAAACATTTTTTACTGCTTACTATACCACTTAAATTCTACTGCAGTCAAGATGTGTCAGTGCCAGTGTTTAAGTTAAGTTTAGCTTTAGTATAACTTGAGAGCTTAAGTCAAATACAGGATAATTTATGCTGGCTTTTATTACTTAGGAGCATAAATCTACATGAGATTCAGTGTTCTTCAGGTCTCAGGTTTAAACCTGAACAAAGCTCACCCTAAAAGGTGCTAATGGTTTTGAAAGCAACGGCTTCAGTGTCTAAAGAAAAGCAATGAGCTAGCCTACTTACATGAAGACGTCCCTGTTGGACTGGAAGGTTGTTGGGCTGGCGTTTGTCGCTGATGTGAGGCAAAGTGCCACAGAGTTGAAAGTTGGATTTAGCAGGGTGGACAGACTGTGGCTTTGAATTCAGTTTTGGGAGAGCGCCAACACCTGTTCCATTGCTCTATATAAAGACAAAAGATAGGTGAGTGCCCATAGCATTAAAATTACCTTCTGCTATTCCTGCTATTTCACCAGCAGACCATCTTATTCATTCATTGAACTGCATGTATGTTACTCTCCTTTGTCTTCGTTTGATGTTCATGGTGCTCTGCCTAGTAGTTTGATATATCAAAGTATACACCACTTACAGTACATGCTGGAGATATGATGAGATATGTGTCCTTATGCTGTACAGTTTTATACAAATAGCATGGGAATAAACTTAAGCTCTAGTCAGATCATATCACCAAAAACATCAACACCTAGAACAAAAGCTAGCTGCATATAGTATAGCTCATCATCACATACATTGAAGGGAATGGTTGAAAACTAGGGAATGCAAATGGGAGATGCATAACCCCTCCTGTTTGCTACACAGCTGCTGTAGTGTAGTAGACACCCAGTGGCAGACACCAGGACCCTCCAGGTAACAGGAAAAGAAAGTAAAGAGTAAAGAAGTGAGACAGGGAGATAGGCATGATATACACACAGTTGACATTTTGTGTCAGAGCATACTTACTGGCTTAGCTTCACTTACTCATGCTCTCCTTTTAACATCTCTCTTCTAGCCAGTGAGCACATGTCTGGTACATACCCCTCTACTAGAGTCATACACCCAGAAGCACCTAGTCATCAAGTAGGTGCACCTCTGAAGTATTTCCATACACCATAGGTGCCTTATCTTATCCACAAAGGGTTGTGTGTGTTTGCACGTTTTCAATTAAACAAAGCAGGAGCTTGTCTCATATAACTACACTGTAAAAAATGTTTTCATTTTAAAAAGTTAGTTACTGGGCTGCCTAAGAAGTTTGACTTAATTAACAGCTAATACTGAGTTATCTGAGCAGAAACCTGTGCCTTACCCTCTGTAAACCTATTTATAGATCTGTACTGAACTCAAAATGTTAAGTCAGCCTGGTTACTAACTTTTTTAAGTACACAGAGTACACAGAGTCTTTTGATTGCACAAAGGCTTTAGGAAATGCACCTATGACAGTAGAAAAAAGGAGGTATTAGCCCCATGTTGTTAAATAAAATGGTGGTAATAGGAACCAAGTTCTGCAGCATCTACAATACAAATACAGACATTTTATTTACTTCTCAAAATGACCAGTATATGTACATGTGTCTTCTGAGTGTATATGTAATGTTGCTTGTATGGTAGTGGTAAATTTGAAAAAAGTATTCTTTGGGTACTCTTTTGCCTTAGAACACCCTGCATGTACCTCTTCACCAAGAATGGATTAAAAAAGGTTTAAGGACAAAGGTTTACTTCAAAACTATTGTAAAATAATGTCTTAGGCATCAGGCAGTGTGTTTGTAACTGTTTCATGCAATATCTTTATGTGAGGGAGCTTTTAGAAGTAATAAACTCTTAAACCTATGTGAGATTCTTCTTTAAAATGAAAAGACTCCAAATGTTAATGTTTTACTGCAAGCACTTAATCACACCATCCCAATGCTTACCCCTTTAAACTTCAATTTTTATTTGAACATTCATACTGTTCGGCTCACTCCGGCCCCACTGCTGATGTTGAACAGAATTTCAACCTCACTACCGAGCCTACTTGACTGACATTTTCCATTTAGCCCTTGTGAATGTCTCTTCCAAAATCACTTGTTTTTTCAGGCTATGTTATAGATCCAATTAATATAATTTAGAAAGAGTAAGACAGGTCGCATTATGTGTAATTTAGTTTTAAAAAGTGAAGGCTAAGCAAGCTACTAGTCAACGCATCAGTCAACAAAGAAATGCTTTTTGGCATAAGAACAATCTTGACAACAATTCACACTTTTTCCACAGACACACACAGCATGCTCTGATACAGTGAAGCCAAACTGGAGCAGGAGCTCTATTAATAGGATCAGTGTTTTGTCTCCAGAGTTTCTCTCTCTGTCACAACGCTGGGTGATAAAGGGAATCCCTTCCAAGTGTGCTGTACCATTGCATGGATTAACAAGAGTCTTACCAGCTTGCTGGGCCGGGCAGATCCCAGGCGAGCATTCTCACTATACAGTTTGTTAAGCTGTTGTGGGAGGGCATCAGGCTTCCCACCCTGTGTGGGCAAGAAACTAAGATCAGTACATGCTGAGATAACTATAAATAAATATTAACCCCTTTAAAACTCCAAGGACCTGTTGCTGTTGAACTGAGTAAATTGTAGCAGTTACTGGATAATAAGCTTGAGTGACGAACTTGGACTTCAAGGGCTTAACAGTGGTTCAAAGTCATATTCTACACTAACATAAGAATATAAAAGCAAGTGGAAAGTAAAGGGGAAACAAAGGGAAAGCAACTTAAACTAATCTGATATTGCCTGCTTTAACAACACTGACGACAAAAATCGCATCGTCTGTTGTGTACCTGTTTAAGCATGTTTAAAGATGTAAAAAGCATCTCTGAACAGTAATCTGAACCTCAAATGCAAAGAAAAAAACGACCAGAGCAGGTTTTGAAAAAAAAGCAAACAGCAGCAACATGTAAGTTTCAGATCTATAACGACACGCCCTCCAAACACATTTCAGAGCCAGTGTAGACGACACGACACGACACGACACCGCACGGCACCGCAAACGGCGCTCGACAAAGGTTCATATGGTTTCCACTCACCTTGCTGTTTATCTCTGGAAACATCTCTTCATCGATTAACTTTGACTTTCTCGTGTGATTTCAGTCCCAGCAGTCACTCTCCGTCTCCGTCTCTGAATACAACTTCATAGTTCGCTTTTGTGACGCGCGCGCGTCACCTTCAGCCGCTGATTCCACTGATTCCGCTGCTGATGTCACATAGCAACGCGGGCGATTCTTCAGTCGCACCTCATCGGCCCCCATCGAGTTACGGCATGTGAACGACGACGACGAGCTCATAAAGGTCCAAAACGTCCCTTGAGAAGAGCGGCAGTATTCCTCTCGGTGGTGTGTGGTGTTAAGCTGAGCAATACATTTACAGTTCGTGGGCATTTTGTTTAATTCGACTTGTATGTCTGTTGTTGCACATTTGTAGTGGCTTTTAAAGGTGATTGATAAGACTCCAGACAATCGTTCAAGCTAAAACACAGATTTGTCAGTATGAGCTGCATGCTCGGCTGTTGGGGACTAGCTGGTGGCGAGGCACAAGAACAGAAGCCTCTCTGTTAATAATTAGTTCACGTGCACCCCCCGCGGAGTTTTCCACAGAATTAGCTCATTTAAAGGCTAATTTATAACATATCTGTGCTGACTTTAAAGGTACAGGTAAGATTAATGATGGGTTATTTTTTTAAAAAATGACTTTATTAATCTAATATTGTCAGAGTAAATGTACAAGTACTTTGTTTTAAAGGGGAATGTCATCGATTTTTCTAGAGAAGCGTATTGAGTCAGAATTGTTCACTGTGGTGATGATAGGAACCAGACATCCAGTGCTTCTAAGTTGTTATAGATATTATATATATTATATTAAAGATATTATATGAAATGGACACGAATACACTGCTGATGATTGAAATCCTGTTTTATGTCAGGTTTTAAGCTAAAACGTACTTTTAAATCCCCCTCAAACATATTTTAATTCATTCAGAGAAATATGCAGTGTTGTAAGGCAAAATAGTACCCAAGGAAAGTGTATTGGCATTACATATAAAAACTTAAAATTCACATAGGTTCACTTGTCATTTTGGATAGTAAATAAATTGATTATGTTTGTGTAGACATTATTACCCCTGATTCCTATCATTGACATTATAAAAAATCTCAACTGCTAGGTTTCTCTACATTATCTACAACACAATTTTACCAAAAACAAACAAACAAACCAATAAACAAACAAACAAAAAACCTCTATGATCTGAATGACTTCTCAACAACTAAATTAAGCAGAAATTAAATAAAAAGGTACTTTTCCACTGAGTAGTCCCTGTTCTTTTTTAAAGTTGCAGCACTTCTAGTGTAGATTAGCTCAAAGACACAATGTTCAATAGCAGTAAGCAGAGGAACGAACATTGGGCCCTGCTGCCCTGCTAGTACCACCAAGGACCATCAGCTCCACATCTGTCTCAGATAGTGGTTTACACAGATCTCTGCTCTCAAGAGATCTCAAGAGGTATTATGAAAGCAGCTCATTTGCAGATATTTGCTTAATTCATATTATGCAATGAAAACCTAGCCTGATCATTCTACAGTAGCCACTTTGTGATGTTGAGGGAAGACTCTCCTCCACTTTCTGTTTCCCTCCCACTCACACACATGCCCATGCACACACACACACACACACACACACACACACACACACACACACACACATGCAGACACCCTTTCAATATGATAAGACCACACAAAAAGATCAAGGTCATAATAAACAGTAGAAAGACTCTGTGGAGCCAAATGCTTATGTATGCAATCTGAAGTGCTGTGGGTAATATTGCTCAAAAGCAGCCTGCATCAGAACATATGCGTCATCTCAAAGATAAACCCATCTAGTCTTGGGGATGACTGCCAACACAGGGAGGAGGGAAGGCACAACTATGGCGTCAGTTATGTAATGGGTGAATATGGCATCTTAAAGCACACTCTCTCTCTGTACACAGAACCGTCCCACAGACAAAGCACTTTATTCCCACTTCCAATCCTCAACTCCTACTCCACTATCAGGGAGGTCCCAAAGGCATCTCTGGGTCTCTACACTACATTTGGAGTGCATAGATTCTCACTCTTCCGGATCAAAATGAAGTACTCATTCTTTTTCTCTATGTGTCCACAAAAGAAAGTGTGTATACAAAATAAGTAATTGGGATTGGGGGCCAAAGTCAGACGTTGCATAGGGCCCCCATATAGGGACATCATGTCCATTCAAGCTGGGGTGGGGGGGGGGCTGATGGGAGTACATGCTCCACCAGATTTTTGATATCTGTAATTCTTACATTTTTGATTTTATTTAATTACTATTATTTTTTATAATATGTGGTTATGGTCATTTTATATATTGATTCAAATGCATTCTTCTAATTTCATCATAGATCATCCCTTAAAAAGTCACATACCCCCTTTCCCTATGGTACTGGTTTGGATGAAAGTTGCATGAAACTGGTTTCATGGCACATCAGTGCCGAACGGTGGGTTGTTGAAGTGGTTAGTGGTGCAACAAGTTTGCAAATGTATGAAAATGAAATGCAATTTAAGAAAAATAGGCATAGTTTGCTTTTTTGTTTACCCTTCCGGCTCGCTAGCTAGTTGTGACTTGTGATAGCACAGCATGCTATCTAATATCGGTAAAGGAGAGCTGTGTGTGAATCTCATGGCAGTAAACAGTCTCATCTGTACTCATGCTGCTTCCTATTCATTGTGTTTGGAAATACAGCTATTACCATACTGGTGTTTTCTTTCATCTGTGGCTTTGTTTTCTAAATTAATAAGGATTGTGGATGTAGTTTTTTATGTGAGTTTATGCCCCTTTTAAGTGAAGCAGACAGGATTTAGCTCTTTTTCAAGAAAAGTGGCAGCAGTGTATGCTAGTGTAGAAGTGAGTGAATAAGTGAGTGTCATTTTCAATAATCATAGCAATACAAGTAATTGACATGAAAATCTCTAACTGAATATACAGTATTTACCCTAATATAAAGTAGGAGATTACTAAGGTATGAAGGAAGATTTAGTGAAAATTTAAAATATTAAACTTTGCCCACAATCAAAGTCAAAATGCAGAAATTTTGGGGGATTTTTTTTGTGGGGAAAGACCCCCGATGCCCCCTGCTGTATTTGTGCCCCTCCAGAATTCTGGCTTGCATAATGCCCCTGCCCCTATATGTTCACAAACGCCCCTGGAGGTTTGTAAAAATACAGGTCGGTCAAACGTCTTCATTGAGAGAATCCTTTGAGGCTAGAAAAGCATGATGCTCTCAGAATCTTATTGGTATCTGCAGATGATAGCTTAAACCTGGATTATGTAAAATTTGGGGATTTGGAGGCCTCTCTGGTGGAAATGTGTAATTGCATATGATGTGTAGAAAAACACCCCAATCGGATGAATCTGGTGATTGTAAATTCTCTGAAAGAGTATTCAAAGAGAACCCAAAACTGGGTGAACAGTGGGTCTTCTGAGAATGTAAGTGAATTATCTACTATTGCCATGATGCACTATATGTCCAAAAGTTTGTAAACATCTGCCCATCCAGCGTTTCCTCTGAAATCCCTCCTGTGCTGCAGTAACATTCAGCCACAAGAGCATTAGTTAGGTCAGGTGCTGATGTTGGATGATTAGTTCTGGATCTCAAACATAACTCCAACTCATCACAAAGGTATTGGGTGGAGCTCCATCGCTCCACAGCCCAATTCTTTGGGGCTTTATACCCATCTAAACTGGCATTGGACATGGTAAACTTAAGCTGCTCCAGAGTGTCCCATTCTATTGTCTGGATACTGTTAGACGTGGTGTATCATCATCAAAAATGTTGATTTTGCTTTTGAGACTTAAATATTAAGCTGAACTTACTTTTTGAGCCTGTGTAAACAACATTATGCAAAGACATATGATGTGGTCTGAAAAACCTCTGCAAAATCATTGGACAGATCTGTAAATATTTCAAAACAATATTTGTTTACTTTAGAAGAGCAGAATGTTTAGGTGATGCTGGGATACTATACTAAAATGTCTGCTTTTTATTCATTTTATTGCATTATATATATATATATATATATATATATATATATATATATATATATATATATATATATATATGTGTGTGTGTATATATATATATATACATATATATATATTACATATTTCTCCATAATGCTAATCCAGCTGTCCCAGTTTGTAAAGTTAATAAATTATGTTAAAAAAAAGTTATTAAATGATGTATCGACATCAGCATCAGCAGATATGTACTTGAAATGATTAAATATCAACATTAGCGCACAATTCCCATAACAGTGAATCCACCAATTGAGACCTAAAAATAAGCAAGCAAGCAAAGTTTATTTATATAGCGCTTTTTATAACAGGTGTTGTCACAAAGCAGCTTTACAGAAAAATCCGGGTCCCAGCCCCCATGAGCAAGCCAGTGGCGACAGTGGCAAGGAAAAACTCCCTAAGAGCAGGAGGAAGAAACCTTGAAACCCATCCTCCTCTGGTTGACACCGGATAGCAAACAGCGTTAGTATAAAGTATTATAGTACAAAATGGGGAAAACAGGCAGAGCAATGGTTAATTAGATTAGTTTTAGTTTATGCAGCAGCAGTAGCAGTAGCAGCAGCAGCATCATCGGGAGGGTCAGTTCATGAGGGTCAGGTTTGCACAGCGTTGTACAGCATGAAGCTCAATGGTGGTCAAGCCGGTCCAGAAGGCTGGCGAGCAGTGGGCACCCGATCAAAGCAGAAGAAGCAACAGCATCACACCGCCCAGGATGGGCAGCTGTTCAACTCGGCAAAGAAAGGAAAATACACAGAGAGTTAGTTCTGTAAAGGGTGACTGATCACAGATTACAGTACTAACAGAGCAGCAGAGACTCCGGCAGATCTAGTTATTACAGCCCTTTACTAAAAGGGAGAAACCAGAAGGTAACAGAGACATGAGGGCACGCTGAGATGTCAGCCCCCTCCGCTCCACCGTCAGTAAACTTGAGTGAACGCATGAGAGCAGCAGAACGACAGCACCAACACTCCCAGTTTACCATAGTACTCTAGGACCAAGAACCCCCAGATCTGCACCTTTTATATGACAGGGAAAACTAATTACCAAAGGCTTGACTAAACAAGTAAGTTTTTAGCTTAGACTTAAAGACTGAGGCTGTGTCT